GGGGGGGGGGGGGGGGGGGGGGGGGGGGTTCGGGACGTAAAAGGGCAGTTTCTTCATGTTACTGGCCCCTCCAGTTTAGAATCGGTGGCACGGGCCCTGTGCGTAAAGCGAATATTGCCTTCCTTCACCATCTAATTTTTAAGTTTTTTCAAGATGCTGTCAGGGATTTTGCCATGCTTTTAAACATTTTCATAAGAAACAACACCATGATTTATGAAAACACAGTGTCATGGTGTTTGTCGTTATCTGTACTTTGCCATCAAGATTTTCAAAGTGAATAGGGCCCCCGGTTGAACTCAGTTGTTCAGGGATGTTGCTCGAAAAGTATAAGAATGCTCTCGCGAAAATATCTCAAAAATGAACAAAGTGAAATGAAAAACTGAAGTGAAACAAAATGAAAAAATGACCACCCCCTGTCAACCCCCTCCAATCTAAATTTCCCCAGTGATGTAAAATGCTAATCGTTATTACATAGAACAGTTATCAGGGGGCAATGACGTTTACAGTTAAATTTTGTTTTGCATTCCAGGTTTTTGTTGATCTTTATGGTGGACGGTCTTCAACAAATAGCCCACAATTACAGGTAATATGTTCAGGGCATTACGGATTTTTCTTCCGTGTCATATATTACAAGCAGCATACCCGGTACAGAAATACTGTTGCGTAGAAATCTTTTTATATAATGTGAAAAATTTTCTTGCCAGTTAGTTATCCCTTGGAGCAGTGTCCCTCAAGCGTTTATGTCGATTAAAGATGGCTGATCACAGTAAAATGAAAATTTCCTAGATTTCCTATCTCTTCATTTATCTGTTGGCTAATGGCTTTGTGAAAACTATTTAATGAATTCGTTGTGCAAGTGGCTGAATTCATGGGAAAGCATCGAGAACTAAATGCTATCCAGATCACCCATGTAAAGCTAACCCATACCACAGTAATTTGATATAATCTACAAAAACAGCACAAGGTTCCACAAGCTCGGCTTCTGGGTCCAATCCTTCTTATCTTCATATTTTTCCTCTAATGAACGCTCTCGTGTCATAGAAAAAGACTATATATCTGGAATTTAATAAAAGTTTTTGTTCTCGGCGTTGGACTGGTTTTCAATCCTACTGTCTTGCCTTGACCAAGCTGAGCATAGCATAGATGCCGAATTTTTTAGGGGAAGTGCTAAAGATTGCGTCTATCTCAGTAGTTGTAAAATAGGAGTGTGAGGTTTTCTCCCTATACGAGCTTATTTGAGTAGCATATTTATGTATTTTCTTTATGACTATTATTGGGAAATTTCTTATTCATATTTTATTAATGGAGCTCAGAACTATTATTTTGAAACATTTTTGTATTTCGTTTTCAGGAATGGCTTAATGCAACTCACATCCGAATGCGTTTTTCTGGACTCTTTAAAAAATTTGACATCTTTTCTAAAAACTGGGTTTGTATCATATATATTTTATATCTTTTGAGTTTTTACGATGTTATAACGAATGCTAAGGCATCTTCGGGTTATTCCTGTTTCAAGTGCATCACAACTTAATCTTGAAATCTTAGGTATTCTTTGAATACCTTGAATGCCAATTTACTACGTCACTGCTTATATATTTATAAATAGCTTTGAAAAAAGCAAACATGATTGGGCAACCCCAACAGTCATGTGCTCGCGTTTCTGATTGGCCTTTTTCGATCCACAACTGGGTATATATATTTCCTAGCGTAGAGTTTTCGATCTATGTTCTGACGTTTTAAACTCTGAAGAGTGTCAGACGAAAAGCTTAAGTTTACTCAAATGTTTGCTTTTTTCAAAGCCATTTTTAAGTTTTGTACCACCAAAAGATTGTTTACATATTTCTACTAATTACATATTTCTATTGTATGTTTACCACCTGATGTGGATATGCCTTTTTGCTGTGTTGTTTATTCGCGTATTTTGCTGTTTGGGTTTGTTTTAGTAAGTTCTACCGATCAATAAATATTTTGCCGATCTATATAAGAAGTGGGTTGCTCGTTAGAAGTATTCCCCAGGGCAAACCCCCGATACCCCCCAACGCAATCTCAAATAACATCATCACAGTCATGCATCAGTGTCTCCTTTTTTTTCATGGGGGGGGGTGTAGGAATGGATAAAAGTTTAATCAAATTTTCAAGCGTGATTAAGCCACAGTTTATAGGGAAAATTATGATCTTCTTCGTAATTGTATCTGATGTCTAGTCCCCGGTGCACCGTCTGAATGCATGATAATGTCTATTTCAGCATCATTACGCTGTTCGAGAGATCAAAGTCACTGGCTCCTGTTTCTGCAATGGCCATGCTTCGGGATGCACCATTAACTCAACAACTGGTGCAAGGTCCTGCCAATGCCGCAATAACGCTTGTGGCCCATTATGTGACAGGTGCTGTCCAGCCTTTAACCAGTATCCATGGAAACAGGGAACAGGGGCGCCTTTTGAAGTTGACACGAGAGCTGCCTGTAGACGTAAGTATGATGTTTGAAAAAAGGGCGCGAATCGTGTTAAAGACATGAGCAGTTAGACATTTTCCTTTCTTATCACCAAGATTCTGGTGGTGTATGTGATTCGTTGCAGTACAACTGCCAATCAACGACTGATCAATGGAATATATATTATGAAAAACGCTTAGAAGTGAAAGAAACCCATCAAAGTCGCTCTGTTTGAACTAAGCTTCAGCATAGAGATCTAATTTTTCTAGGATCTCAACCTATAATTCTGTACACAGCTGTTGAGCCAAATGTTGAATCACACACAAGGTAGCATCCATGTATCCCTACCCCCCCGTCCTCTTATGCTGGTGCGTATGCATTTCCTTAGCGGATATATGTAAATCGAACTCAGGGAAGGGGGTGACGTTTGTACAGATTATCAACAAAGACTGTCCTGGATTGTAACCTCTCGAGAACGATTTCGAAATTAAGGACTTCTGTGTTAGTACGCAGAGGTAAAAATATTTCTATCTTTATCTATATCCGAACTCTTATTGACAGCTGAGCTTTAGTCATTAAAACGTTTTCGATTTCGTATAACCCTTTCTTTTATCATTTGAAGTTTGCTTTTTCTGACACTATTGCTACTGTTCCATTTAGCATGCAATTGCCATGGACATGCCAGTTCCTGTGTTTACAACCAAACCGTCGCCAACTCAAGACTGAGTTTAAACTCGACTGGATTTTACTCAGGTGGAGGTGTTTGTCAGAACTGCACGGTATGTAGCTAGAAACCAGGGTAAAAACTATAAGAGGACTAGAGAGAAGTTTGATTTATAAAAAGTGGAAATTATATCAGGAAGGGAAATGAAGCATTCGAAATTACACAATCAAACATTCGGTAGCTGCCTTCGTAACACACAGTTAATGTGGTTTGTAACTCCAAATGAATAGAAGCGGCTTCCTAACTCGTAATTCTTGATTGTTTTGTCTTTAGTACTAATGATTCCTTAATTTTTTCTGCCTTCTACATGTAGGTTCCTTATAAAGTGGTTCCTTAAAAAGGCGTGTAAAGTTACAGTCATTAAAAATCAGAATTTCCCAAAGTGGCCAGATGGGCTTCAAGAAGTAAAAACAGCTTTAAATTTTCAGCCTCCAGTTTGCTAGGCTTGTCCAGTTGTTTCAACTAACGAAATATTTCCTGGACTAATCTATTTTAATCGCTGATATATTTTCATCAGTTTCCATCCTTTTCAGCGCAATACAACTGGGATAAACTGCGAAACTTGTATACCGTTGTTTTTTCGAGCAGTTGGAAAGAGTCGCTCTGCTATTGATGTCTGTACAGGTATTATATCAGTTCATCTCTCGAGTTTCATTCTAAAAAAGTTTACATACCTACCTTTATTATATGCCAGTTTTTGTAGCTGCTCGAGTTGTGGGACAGATTCATTAACCCCTCCTCCCTCTGCTGCCCATGTTAGTGTTGTCAGGGAACCAGGAGACTGGTAGATTTCTTAGGAGTTTCTCAAATAATTCCTTATCAGTGTTATACTATCTTTGCAATAGAGCTAAGAATAGGGGATAACAGATCCCTCTTCTCAGTACTCCTACCCTATCATTGGCTTGTACTCACTTCGGAAAACGAGTATAACCAATTGTTATAAACATCTTGGCATAGGCCTACCAGCAACAGAAACGTTTTGACGTAGGCCTATTCTTTTTGAAACCTTCCACCTGGAGTGTCCGACAAATTCCAAAACAGCGTGTCTATGAAACACAATAATATTCGTTCTATGTAGCCTCGGTTTCATATCTGTCTCGTTTATCATTTGCATCTCTTAATGTTACGCATGCAAATCATTTGTTTGTTTTTCCACAACTAAATACAACGTTTTTCACATGTAAACATGGAGTTACTTGATCGCTAATGAAATGAACATTAAACCAAGAAAATCGTTACTTCGCCACGAAATCCTGTCGCAATCAGATGCTTTAGCACCTCAGACTGACCATCACAGGCCAGGCCGCCACTGTCATTCTTGCACCTTTCAAACAAAAATGATATGTTATTTAAGTTGATCTTTTCATAAGATTAATTGATGTTGTGTTCATGTTTGTCATAGAATGCAATTGCAGTGTTTTGGGGTCAAGACTTGTTCCTGGAGTTCAGTTTCTTGACTGCGTAAGGGATGAAACTGTTAACATCTCAGCATTGGTAAGGGTTTCTTCTTGTCAAAATCTCATACACGCATTTTTTATCAGGAACTATCTATAAGAAACTGAGCCCTTAGATGACCTTAAAATAACGAATCCAAAGTACTTATCACCTTCAAACTTAAAAAAATGCTCGAAAATCCTGCTTTGAAAGATTGGTAGGAAATTATACTTTCTAACGATTAAGGGCCAAGGTAGATAGATTGAAAAAAGGACTCCTTATGACTTGTTAGACATTCTATTTCATATAGTCTCATGCTTCATTTTTTCCCTAAAAATCAGCTCTTTACTATTTGGTCTTTAAGAAACCTTCAAGAAACCTTTAAGAAACCTTTAAGAAAACTTTAAGAAAACTTTAAGAAACCTTAAAGAAACCTTTGAGAAACCTTCTAGAAACCTTCAAGAAACCTTTAAGAAATCTTCAAGAAGCCTTTAAGAAACCTTTAAGAAACCTTTAAGAAACCTTTAAGAAACCTTCAAGAAACCTTTAAGAAACCTTTAAGAAACCTTCAAGAAACCTTTAAGAAACCTTTAAGAAATCTTTAAGAAACTTCAAGAAACCTTTAAGAAACCTTCAAGAAACCTTAAAGAAACCTTTAAGGAACCTTTAAGAAAACCTTAAGCACTGAAATCGACAACAAAATTAAGAAACTGTTTGACGATTACGACCTTGGCGTAAAATAAAGTGCTTCTCGTATAATAAAAGACAACACATACTTGTAAATCGTAAAATGAAGTCCGCACTCATAGGTCGTAATTTTTCTCATATTTCAGTTTGCAAGTTCTGTTGCGAATCATTGAATTGTTAATTTTGATTTTAGTCTTGACTTTCTTGCAGACGGCAGGTGATTGCTATTGTAAGCAGAACGTTCATGGCAAGAAATGTGGTGTCTGCAGACCGGAGTTTTACAATCTCACTCAAAACAATCCACTCGGATGCCAAGGTATCAAACTGATGTTTATATATTTATGTATTACGCTATCTGTATTAGCTATAGCTTTGTATTGTCAATTTTTGCATTATATATGTCCGCCTGATTATTGCATTATATTATCCTATTTTTTAAGAGAATTTACACTCCCTTTCGCATCGCCATAAACCGTGCGACTGATACCCTTTCCACTTTATTCGAGATGGTCTCTTTCAAGTTTGTTGATTTATTTTCTAAAATTTATCAAACATTGTTATGATAGATTGTCTTTGTCATCTACCTGGAACTGTTAATGGGAGTAACGTGTGCGACCCTGGGAGAACAGGGAACTGTCCTTGCAAGAACAACACTGAAGGCAGAGATTGCAGCTCATGCAAAAACGAATACTTCAATTTGACAGCCAACAACCTAAACGGATGTCAAGGTGAATTGTAACTCTCAATTAATTCTTTTCAGGCTAGGGAAAACGGCAGTAGTGAAGCAGTGGGTAAAAGATCGCTCAAGGGGGCATGCCAGTGTCCTCCTCTTTGTTTTGTTTTCGACTTCAAGCTAGAAATATGTTATCAGACAACCATATTTATAATCATTTATCCATTGCTGTTGGGTCAGTCAGCAAAAAATATGAGTAATAAACTTATCAAAGAACTTAGAAATGTTGGTATAACATTAAAGGTAAAAATTTTACAACAGGAGAGAGAATATTCACCGATGATTTGATTTTAATTTGAATGCACTGTCTGTACCTGGCCAGAACTGAGGGCATTCAGCGTTGCTGTCTACCATATCTCCTTCGCAGTTTTTTTTCACCCACGTACTACGAACATATTTCCTTGTGAATTTATTTAAAATGTATGAATAAATTTTTTCTTTACCATATTAGGGTACATGAAGCTTTTATTTATGGGGGGGGGGACAATACTTCAGAGAACAATGGTCTTTTTTTCTAAAACAATGGGAAATGTGACGTCATCTTATTAAAACAATAGGCTAGCCCCCCCCCAATATTTGACCAAGTGTCCGCCCCTGTCCGCAAACCCTAAAAGTTCTGCAACTGAATATAGTCAAATCTTTGGTGTAAACTCATTTAATCTCATTTATTACCCCACTTTCGAAGCAAACTTGATTGTAATCATTAATTAACTGTTGGTCTTTTATCATTACAGATTGTAGCTGCGACCCTGGCGGTAGAGCATCTGCCATATGCAATAAGACATCTGGTCAATGTTCCTGTAAGAGTACGAACTTCACAGGAAGGCAGTGTGACACGTATGTATCTTTCTTTACTTAGGTACTGCTTTTCTTAGGTACCCCTATAGGAAAGATCCATATGATTATGGTTCTAGTTATCAGGGCTCGAATATCTTACGAAAGTTCAAGGGGTATAAACAAACAGGTTAGCTAATAAGCGTTCTAGGTATCGAAGGTTCAAGTCATCAAGGGTTCAGTTATCAAGGTTTCAAGTTAACTGATCGGGAGGGGGTGGGGAGGGGGGGCGGAGAATAAAGACTTCATTTTTTGGAGATGGGAGAAAACCTTGCATTTTTCTTCAAGACGATTTATCTTTTATATTATGTTTTGTTATGGTTGACAAAGTGTTATCCATGTCATTAATTTTATTGGTAAATATTTGTATTATTAGTTGTATTATTTCGGGTTTGTTTTGTTCAAGACACGTAGTCAGTACAAAGAGGACGATGCGGTGATAGAGACGTGTATTCAAAGTTTTTAGCAATCGAGGAGTACTCCTTTTTGATATATGCCAAGATTTTCTAGAGTACTTATGCATTTTAACACGTACATCTTTTTTTGACATATTAAGCATTGTTTTTTATATACTTGGCAGTGAAAAAAGGGTTCACTCGAATCATAAACATAACATATCCTCGGTCCTTGTTACACCTGGAAGTTATCAAATCCCTGTGAATAAAATTGTAAAAAACCATTCTATTGTTGAAAAGTGAAGTTCGTTTTATCCTTAGACTCACTGGTATTATTTACAATTGGCAACCTGCAACATTTACGTTTCTGATTGGTCTATTTGAGTTCATAATTGGCACAGGTGTAATAGTGCTAGGGGGGCTCATATGGGAATTTTGGGCAAGAGCCCCCTTGTCAATTTGATAGCGCACTGACAAGTAGCTAATTTCTGCTTTTGCTGTTGTTGTTGCAACTGCCCCCACTCCCCACCGTGTTTTTTTGACGCATTTTACCCACTTTACCCACATAAAGAACTTTACATGCAACTGGGTATATGTATTTCCTTGCTTTAGAGTGAAGAAAAAACGTCTTTGTTTTAGGCCTGAAGGTGGCTTTTACTTTCCCAATCTTCACTTTATCCAAGCATCAGTTTCAAGAGTCCAATCCTCGGTAAGACTTAACAACATAAACTTTATCTAAATACATAACTGTTCAGGATCAGTATATGATAGGCCATTCTACTTTTATTGGAAAGTTAACTGATCTTTGGGTCTTCCAGTTGCTATTCAAGACTCTTTTCAAGCAACTTTCTTCAAGAAAAATGCTTAAATAATTTAGCGAAAAACTTAAAGACTCATTGCTAACAATGAGCCATTGCGCTACGCAAGCATCCCATAATGCATTTTCAGACAGTCTGAAATCAATTATGGTTAATCCGTAGAAGTTTACTGCCAATGTTTGGATTGTCGCCTGGATAATTTGCCACCCTCGCAAAGGCTCATTGTTAGCAATGAGTCTTTAAGCAATCGAAGACACAGTCATCATCATTGTCACATTTAGAAACATTCTTAACGACGTTGATTGGTTATAAGAACAAAGGAATTTTTATTGTTTCCAGTCCCCCTTTAATTTATCGCATTGTAAAAAATATTGCGGAGCGCTGGAATCGTGTTTAGGCTATTGTTTCAGCTATTGTTCTTGTTAACCAATCCACAACGAGACAGATTGCCTTTAAGCTTTTCAACTCAAGCTGTTCCGAGAATGAAACACCAGAATGCGTTCGTCTTCATAGCTTAGATTTTTCCATCAGTAGTTCTATACTCGGTAGAGTCGTCGTTCATTCTAGCACTCATAGAATCCATCTACATAATTTTCGAAAAAACTGCCATCGTGTAGACAAAAAAGTTCGTTTTTAGAAAAAAACGCCATCAAGGACTTGTTTAACAATAATTGGATTTCGGTACGACAACCTTGCGGTGCCTGGCAAAAGATGGAAACGCCTGTTTCTTGAATTCAGTTCTTTATTTTAAGATAAAGATAAGAAGATAAAAAATAGAATTTTGCATCATTTTATCAACACTGTCTACAAAAATTGCTTTTTACCGAACCGAAGCAAAATTTACCGAATGACGCAAAATATTGAAAGGGGGAGGGGTGTCGCGCCCCACAGCCCCTGGTAAGTCCATCCCTGGCTTTGACGTATTTAGTGTGATGTGATTCTGTAACTAAACTCGAATCTTCTTTGTTTTTCAGAACAATTTGAAAGGTGCGGTACAAATACCAAGGTTCTCAAATGGATCTGGCGTGTTTCAGATAATCATTAAATACAGAAGCAGTGTATCTGCAAGTACCTCGCGAGCAACACTGAATATGCCGATCGGTGGGACAGCGTCCCAGTTTGGCTTGTTCAGCATCCTCCCAACCTGCACTTCAACGTGCTATGCACATGTCAACCAAAATTTCACCCTTGCACCAGCAACCTGGGATATATTCCTTAACTTTGGCAGCTTGGCAAGTTCAGACATCTCAAAAATCGTTATTGAAAGCGTCATAATTTTGCCAAACGAATTCTACACTGCTGCCATTTTGGGGACGGCTCGACACGTTTTCCGTAGCTCGTGTGACGTCATACGGAATAACATGTCAAGGAACGGCACATTGAATCCGGTTTGCGTCAAAGGCGTTTTTTCATTGACAATGGGTCTGCTCAACGAGCCTATAGGTATGGGTTCCTAAGTTTTAAAAAGTCTTGCGACATAGTACAGGTGAAAAAACATTATCACCATTTGAACCGGATGATCGGATCCGTTAAACGTCGGCAACTCGATGTGGAAACTGTAGAGACCGTCTGTTCTATATTACACAAGCTGTTGTCCTGAAACCTTAGCACATCGTCTTTGGCTCATAGCGAAATATTCTTATAGATTTATAAGCGGGGACCAGTGGAAGCATTTATCGATGTAATCAAAATCATCTACGTAATGTGTTTCCCTAAGGGGACCTGATCAGGCGCATGTACTCGTCGGAGTAGTGACTTAGGAACGTCCTGCTATAAGTACCACCAAAAGCGTGTACAGTCCGTTTCTCTCATGAGTTTGTGGAACTTTGCTTAATTGCGACATGCTTTCAATACACTGTGCTTGGAGATTTTTACCAAAATCAGCCAGATCTATGAGTTTTTTCAGGGTTCGGGTGACAGACAAATTCTTCTTTTCACAAAATATTTTGATGGGCATCTGCATTATCGTAACGTTCTATTTTTTTCAGAAAGAAAACAAGCTTGTGCGCTGCAAATTCAACGGGAATCAATGAACGGTGTTCTGCGAAAAAATATACCGTACGGATCCCAAGGTAGTCTGTAAAATAGTGGAGTCCTTTGGAAAGGAGTGTGACATTGTTGTGCGCCAGGATTCCTATCTACAACTTCACTCACCGGTTGTACAATACGTAAAGTTCTCTTTTTTGAGCCAACTAGTTTTTATAAAATAATTAAGCGGCAAATCGTATGGCCCTAGATCAGAAATGGTGGTTGGTGGCGGCTTGTCTTTCTTGTTTCACTTGTATGGGGAGGGGGTTTAAGCCTCCATTGTCGGCAACCATGGGAGGGGGGGGGGTGTGGGTGGTGACGGAATGGGGTGGGGACGGGCGGCGACGGAGGAACAGGGGGGTTGGCTACGGGGGGGGGGTGGGGGGGGGGGGGGGGGGCGGGGGGGGGGTGCTGATTTGTGTTTTGTGGGAGGATTTGCGGCTTGATAGGCACGTCTCCTAAAGCTTCTTTGGCAGGATCAGTTTTGCAGATTTCATCTAAAAATCCGATAGAAAATGTGTTTGGGGAGGGGTAGATATTTTTGGCAAACGTACTGTTTGTGATGTAATCCTATCGAGCTTTTCAAACTGCCCTTTTAGCAAGCCCAAAAGTGAGTCATGGGCGTTCCCTTCAGGTAAAAATTGCGCTCCTTGTTAGTAAAAGGGCGTTTTCTGGTGCTTAAAGAGGCATGGTATACCAATTCAAATACCCTTTCTTCATTTTGCTATTCAACTACTGAGGAATTGGATGATTTGCACATCTTTAATTTCAAAGGGTCCACCGAACCCAGCCTACTAGATACCCCCCCCTCCCAATCAGTGGCGGACACTTGGGGGGGGGGCGAGGGGGGCACATGTAGCGGGATCTTTATCGAAGAAGTGTGACGAAGAGAAAATAACTTCGTTTATGTTTTCTGCTTCATCATCGAAATCAAAAGTCCTATAACTAACTACGTGCTGAAATATATATAGCTTTAAGTTAAGTGCGTCATAAGTAACATGATAACGAGGTTAATACTGGAAAGGAGAATATTCCTATTACATACGCGTCGGTTTTTACTGCCCCTGGGTGTTACTTTTGGGTTTGTTTCAGCTAAGGCTCGTTCATGCCTTTACTTATTCATCTATCTTTCCTTCGTGTATTTATGCATTAATCCATTCCTTCATTTATCTGTTCCTTTCTTTTGTTCATTCCGTCATTCTTTCTTTTATTTATTCATCAATTTATTGTTTTATTATTCATCAATTTATTGTTTTATTATTCTACTCTCCATTCGTTATTTCGTTGATTCGTATATTTTTCATTAATTACTTAATTAATTTATTCAGCTACTTATCCATTTTTAATTCATTCCTTTAGTCACTGATCCATTAATTAATTAATCAAACAATTAATTAATTAATTAATTAATTCGTTCGTTTATTCATTAATTAATTCATTCATTCATTAATTTATCCGTTCATTCATTCATTCATTCATTCATTCATTCATTCATTCATTCATTCATTCATTCATTCATTCATTCATTCATTCATTCATTCATTCACCTATTCATCTATTCTCTCAATCATTTCTTAAGAGTTTCCATTCATCTAAAAGCTATTTTACAACCTTGTACACACCTTATCAACTATATAATATCATATATCAAAACTTAATTTTAAAGGATATGTAATTTGATTGCATTGTTTTTATTTGGTATTTTATTGTCTCTTTCTCCATTTTACAGCGTGCAACTGCTCGGGTGACAACAAAGTTTGCAACCAGACAACCGGTCAATGTGTATGTCCGCAAAATACGGTCGGGAGAACTTGCAGTCAGTGTAGAAGCAACTACTGGGGATGGAACTCGACCACTGGTTGCAAGGTAAATAAGCAATATTTCAATCTATGAGATTTGTTACTTCATTTAGGTTTTTTCCATTGTGACCTTTAGCGCTTAACCTCTGACCCATATCTATACCCGATGACATATGACCTTTTAGACTCCATGCCCTGCATTGTTTTTCTTGACCCTGACGCGCATGTTTGTTATTGTTTATTGACTTCATAGATTTTTTATAGATCACATGACGTCTAGTGTTCAACCTCTGACCTTTCTCTTCCTTCTACTTACCTTTGACCTTTTTATGAATACTGGGCCTACTCTATTCTACAATTTTTATTTACGATCCTTGATCAAGACATATACCTCTTGCTCATAATCTCATCACATGTCCTTTCACATGTCCTTTCACATGTCCATTCACATGTCCATTCACATGTCCATTCACATGTCCATTCACAAGTGACCCCCAGGAATAATTGTAATATCTGACCCATGATGCATTGGCAATAGATTGTTGCTTTCGTATCAGTTCTGTTCGTAAAGCTCGTGTATTGGGTTGAAATGTACATGGTTTTAAACCAACTTGCAATAGTACAATTATTTACACTTAATTTGATTTTTAGGCCTGTGCCTGCAATAGCACTGGATCTTCAAACCTTCAATGTGATCTCAATTTTGGAAACTGCACGTAAGTATAACAGGTTGCCTTCCTCTTACGTTGCTTTCGACCAGGATCTAGATATAAATTTCTCAAAGTGAACAGCCACCTCGGTCTTGCAGAGCTAAAAGTACAACTAAAACGGGCAGTAAATGCGTGCAGCATTTACTGAAAAACCCAGATTGTGCAAAAAACTATAATGGCGACATGTTTCGGATTATTGGTAAAGCTCGATCTTCGTTCCACCTAGCAGTTTTGGAATCTATCTACATAAGCACGAAAAAACCGCTACTGTGTTCGTTTTCACCTTAGGACTCCATTGGTAACACTCTCAATAGGCAAGCGGCACTGATTGGTCAACCTCAACAGTCATGTGCTCGTGTTTCTGATTGGCCTATTACGATCCACAACTGGGTATATATATTTCCTAGCGTAGAGTTTTCGGTCTATGTTCTGACGTTTTAAACTCTGGAGAGTGTCAGACGAAAAGCTTTAGTTTACTAAATGTTTGCTTTTTTCCAAGCCATTTTCAAGTTTTGTACCACCAAAAGATTGTTTATATATATTTCTGCTTACCTTTAGTCATAATCTAACGTGCACACTCCAGGATAAGTCGAGACACTTTTCCAGTTCTATGCTTCTTTTCTGTGTTATCTTAAATTGAGCGAATCGTTGTGGAACAGGAAAGATCAATTATCAAAAGAGCTTTTCTAAAGGCACAGCCCATGCTTCAATCAACAAATTAGCCGTTATTTATTGTTATGTCCGAAATTAGTCAATAACCAAACGGGTTAGGCTTGTTGCTTTTTTCATTCCCCCTCCCCCTCCCCCCTGAGTACAAAACTAACTTACCTTCAGTTTCTTCTTTTGTATTACTGCATACATATGGGTAGGTTTTGAAATTTTTCAAATGACATTTGACCGGTGAATGACGTCTCTAAATTTCTGAAAAAAGTTTACAAAAAGCTAGCTAGGCGATTATCTCAAAGAATTCCTTAGCTATGTGATCAAAAACTTCAATTGTACAAAATATATTGCAAAAGATGTAGAAGACTAATTTTAATTTTGGACCATCCAAACTTTTTACTCGAGGAATTTTAGACGATAATTTCCGTCAATCTATAGTATTATGTTTTCATTGCAATCTTGAAAAGAGATCAAGGCCACGATTCGTCGCTGCATCTGTAAAAATCTTGATTTCATATTAAATTCTTGTTAAAAAGGTGATATTTTAAGCCAATACTTCGTTGTTTTTTGACAGCTGCAAACCTGGAGTAGATGGGCCTAAATGCTCTAACTGCTCGGACACTTTCACTGGATTCTCAAATTCAGGCTGCAGACTGTGCAACTGCAGCAACAGCGGAAGTCAGAATGCCGTCTGTAACAAAGTATCAGGACAATGTGATTGCAAGGTAGTTTCACATTTCACTCATTTGGCTTTGTGAAAGGGAAAGTTTGATAGTCAGTGAATTGATTTTGATCATAGCAGTTTTTATGTCCAATATCTTGTTGAAGGCATTGAGTCATGATAAAATGGATTGGGTATACCCAAAGTGCCAAAATCCGCTGAGTCACGATTTTCATAACTGCGATGCTATTGGTTGACCTTAAACTGGTCACATGAACTCACCTCATACTGATTAACAAAACAGTCTCCATCGATAGCTAGTTGTCAAAAACGGATGCCAATATCACATGAAACAGCAACGATCATGCCGAAACCAAATGACCCCTTATAGAGAAGGCCTATTTGCCATGACTCAATGCCTTTAAGTCCTGAACGAGTGGAAGTTGTATTCTACTCTGAATTGTGATTAGAATAATTTGCTATATGGTCGTGGTCCAAATAAATCTTACGAAGAAGCATTTTATAGCCTTTTTATCATATTTTATTGCTTGATTAATTCGTTGATGTAATACAATAAGCATTTTCTCTGATAGCAGTAAAGCCATAATCATTTCCAGGTTTAAGTTGCGCTTTGTCGCCGTTGTCATACACCGTTTGCTCTGTGATTTATTTGTTATGCCACTTACCGTAAATCTTCGAATTAGCCCCCTGGGGCCTTATTTTTTTTTGATGTTTTTGGATGGGGTCTTATTCGGGGGAGGCTTATACGAGGGGGGGGGCTTATAAAATTATTGTACACATTAAGAAGATATCATTAAAATACCTCGTTTATTTTAGTAGAAATTTCTTTATGAGCATTTAATTAATTACTACCAAAAGTATGAATTTGTTGTGGTAATTCAATAAAACGCCATAGGCAACCTCAGATGGCAAAAATCATCAAATTGAGGGGTTCAATTTGAGAATTTACGGTAGCAGTGGGGGCTTATTCGAGAGGGGGGCTTATTGACATTTTATAGTTCTAAGGTGGGGGCTTATTCGAGGGGGGCTTTTTTGAGGTGGGCCAATTCGAGGATTTTCGGTATATTGTTGGCCAGTTTAGGTGACCCTGACAATTCTATACAATATATGTATGGTTTAACAGCTCAAAAGGTTACAGAATATTTTCAGTTTTTCAATGGCCTTTTTTAATTTTCACTTTGGTTGTATTAATCAAAGTAAAGGCCATACCTTTTAATCAACGTAATCAATATTTTGCATGAATTTTATTTTGACTGATTTAATGGTAGCATTTAAATGATTTTGCTTACAGGCAAACGTTATGATCACCCGGACATGTGATCGATGTGATTCCCAATCATTCTACCTATCATCCAATCATTCTTATGGATGTTTACGATGTGTGTGTATGGGTATCACTTCCAATTGCAGCAGCTCTCGAAATTTCGTATTTCAGGTTTGTTTTGTTTAAATCAGTAGCCATTAAGTCATGTTGGAAATACCCCAACCTTGCGAGTTCACTCGTATAAAATAGCGAAACTTTAGCGATGAATTCTCTTTTTGCGACTTCACCAAAACTCAAAATAACAACTCAACTTGAAACATGATACCCTGCTGTTCTAACTACAAACAGTGTGAATATAAAATGCGGAGCCAAGTCCTCATGGTTAAATGGCTATAATATTTTAAACACTTATTCAAGGGACAAGTCAGTCTTCGTAAATCTTCGTAAATATTTGTAAATATTCGTAAATCTTTGTTAAAAATCCTATTGTTTTATTTGAAAATCCCTGTAAATTATTTTGTTTTTATGAAAATCTCCCATGATATTTCCAAGAGTTAATATCCCCTAGAACTGATCTAAATTATTTGTAAAGATGCACTAAAAATAACTTAATGAATACATGATACTGATACTGAATGTATGCTTATCTCTTTATCATTTAAGTTTTATAGTTTATGAACCTACAGGAAAAAATTTTCGGCAAGTCAGCCTAGCAGGCACTCGTTTAGTCATAAGGCAGCAGGCGAATTTGCTTGCGAGCTGACAAATCCTGAAATCCATAGCATCATACCAGGTGCTAGTTACTCCTTATTCTAATATCAAGATTTTAAAGTATCGCTCACAACATACTTCATCCCTAAAAGGACAAGGATTGCTTCCTGATCTTTCTTTTCAACGCTGTTCAACTGATATCATCAATGACCTTTCGACTTTTGACGTAGTCTTTGAATCGATTTGTAACATTCACCTCTATACCTTTAATCTGCCCTTTGACGTTTGACCTCTGGCGTTTCCAGTGACCCCTACGAATTTGAATATGACCTCTGAGATTCGTCTATCTTTAAGTGAACCTTAAATTCAAAGTTTCTTTTCCTTGATATGCTTGCTTCCTTCTCTGCAGGAGCCTCTTGTGGTATATGGCTGGCGGATGAGCAACGCAACAACTCAACTTGCTGCCTCTCATTCTAACAGCACGATTGTAAGTACATTTTTGATACGTGTAATACCAAATGCCCAAACTTTGTTTATTCACATTGTGAATTTACCGGGAATCATTTCTTACAATGTGGCTGGAACAACTCTTTGTTCATTGAGCTGGTCATTGTACCTGGCAAGCCACACACAAGAATCTTATAAAAATTTAGAAAGTACATGGTTATAGACAATATCCACCTAATTATCATTATTGTTTAAGGTATTCGACTATTACACTCGTTTTTTATAAGGAACAGGGATCGACGTCAAGTCCTCTAATTGTTTAACGCTTTAGAAAACTTCGCAGCTCTGTTTTCAAATATTGTGATGTTTCTGTTAAGAGATTTTGTTCCGTTTTTATCTTAGACTTGGATAAGGGCGTAGGATATTTTCTTTCTCTGTGTTTGAATTTTTATGCCAACCAGCTAATTATTTTGGTGGATTTTCACTACATTACTGAATTGTCTTTTCAAGCTCGATTCTTTCTTAATTATTTTGCTTTGAGCATTGATTTTTCTTCATTTTTTCCTAGTACTCGTTTATTATAGAGAGTTTCTTATAAGAATAGCAAGTATATTCATCAAGCCTTGATATTTCATGTTTGGCCATTTTCACAGGGCAATGGAGGGCAAAGTATTCCAGCTATGCAATCTACAATAACACGTCACAACGAGCCAGTCTATTGGATGGCTCCTAACAGCTTTGTTCGAAACAGCTTGGTATGTAGGATACAATTTCTTTTTGCCTGATTTTGTCTGTTTTTACAAGAGAAACTTTAGAACGTTTTCTTTTGGAAATATCTTCCAAAAATACGTCCTTATGTATGCATTTTCACGGGGCCAGTTCCTGAATCGCCTTGCAATATGAGGTTCGGAGGCGCATAACGTAAAACGCAACGACTACTTAATCTCGCCAATTTTTAGAAATGTTTCTGGGCTGAAAATTTTTTGGAGTCATGACTGAATTTGTATCAGAAGAAGTTTCAATACGGAGAACCATTTTAATTCCCTATAATTCATGATGTGATTGTGCTGGAAAGCAAAAATAATAGAAGTGCAATGTAAAAAACAAATTTTTGCGCTTAAATATAAATTACGAACCAGCCTCAAAAATCAATCCCAATTTCACTTTTTTTGTTAGCTGGAACCGATCCAAAAGTTTACACGAAAACCTTTCGAAACGGTTCCTTATGGGACTTTGTCTAGGCAATCTGTTTGGATACAGCTAACACTTCTATTCGAAACGGCTCTGCCAGGCTCCCTGCAAACGAAAGGCCTAACTGCACTCATTTCCAAATTGAGCCAGTCTCATGCCAGCGCAGCCTCTAGGTCAAGTAAATTGTTTTCACATATGGAGTTTGACTTGTATTAATATCCAAAAAGTCTTGCACCTCCCATTTCTTATACCAGTTCGAAGGGATTCAACGCTACTTATTTCATACAACGATATAACTTCATTGGCAATTTCCAGGAGCATAAGTACCCTAGCGCGCCTCCCGCCTACACAACTGCTTCGTTTAGCATATAAAGGCATTATAGGTACGAATATTTACCGGAGTCTCCGAATCAAAGTAACTGTCAATGCTTTTGTACGGACCTCAAAACGGTCGCTTTCTGGACGAATACAATTTCATTAGAGACAACCAAAGTTTTCTAATTTGCTGTGTATATATATTCATATGCTTGCTTAATGGTTCAGTACAATTTAGGTTTTCATTCAATGCAAAATATTGACTACATTTTTTTTGCAAAAGGTTCAATCATATGGAGGGTATTTAGAATTCACACTGACGTACTCAAATGCAGCTGGTGCTGCGAGGGCGCCTACCCAGAATGCTATTCTCAAGGTGAGCTTGTCCACAACAACGTCCAAGTCAGCCTTTTCTGACTTGCTATTTGGAACATTTATCAAGTTTTTGCTCAAATCTTCTTTCGACTTCCGACCCTACTGGTCGACTTGATTTTAATACAGCTCATTATATGCATAACAATTTATGTTGTAAGTCGTCAAAGAATGCTTGAAGCTAAACCCTAATGCTCTTTAACTATCTGTTATAAAAGACACGATTGTCAACGGAGAACTACTAGGTTTCGTTGTATTTCCACCCCATTTTGCTAACGTTATTTCTTTTTTACTTAGAGAGGTGTTGTGGCCATCTATCAAAATATTTCTGATACTTCACCAAGCCTCATCAATGTAAGAAGAGTCAGAATGCATGAGGTAAGCGCTTACCGACCTCATCGCTATTTCATACATCTGTTTGCTAATGAATATATGGAATAGTTTCAAACATCTTCTAGGTATTAAAAGTTGTTTGATGTTATTGCGGGTTCCCAGCAGTAGGCCTGTCTCTTACTAATTTCACTTCTGCAGTTTTAGTTTCAAGTGCAGATGTAAACGGGCAAGTAGGAACATTCTGTGTGCGAAGCGGAATGAAGTTTTTTTCTAATAGTCCAATTTCAGAAGATGTCTTAAAGGGGCTAGCTTTTTACCATTAGAAAATCACCTCCCAACAACTGATGTATGTTTCCAACACACACCTCACAACAGACACCTCCCTACTACAGACACCCCCCTACAACGGACATTCCCTACAAAGGACACCCCCCTACAACAGACATTCCCTACAAAGGACACCCCCCCTTCAAGGGGCACCCCCTAGAACGGATATCTCCCTACAGCAGATACCTTATTACAACAGAAACCTCCCACAGCGGACATAACTTTAAAACTTACACAACTTTGAGACGGACACCCCTATTCTCACTGTTGTCCGTTATCTAGAGTTTCTCCTTTCTTTACCATTATTCTTTCCTAATTCTGCATTATTTCCCAATTATAGGACTCCTGGCGATATTCAAACGGATCAACTCTCACCCGATCTGCATTTGTTCGCCTCCTTGCTAAGCCAACTGTATTGTTGATCAGTGCTTCATCGTATGCAGATAGCAGCAATTCTTACACTTCAAGGTGAGTTTAAGTGTATTGAGTTTTGTATGTATTAGGCAGGCACTGCAGTTACTTCCTAAAAGCCCAAAGGGTTCGCAATTATGGGCAGACGATACCCCAATACCCTGAGGCCCTGGAGGACTTCCATTAAGAAATATTGTTGGACGGACGATCGCCCCCCCCCCCTCCCAAAGCCCATCCATGCGGGCAGTTCATTGCCCTTAGCTGAATGAATGAGTCCATCAAAATGATAATAAGACTAGATCTTATTTGCCAAAATGCTTTATTCAATTTGTCAATCACTGTTTTACAGAATTGGTGGCCTATCAATATCGACAACTCGATCCATTATAACGTCACTTGGGAGAGCATTACAAGTAGAACAGTGTCAGTGCGGAACTGGATATTCGGGCTCATCTTGTGAGGTGTGTATGCGTTGTATTGTGTGGTTTTTGTGTGATGCACATACATCCGTGAAGAGCATGACATCTGCATTTTGTCGCTCGTGCTTGACATTTATTAGTTAGGCCCTAATGTACTGACCAAGTCTTTTGTCTAGGACAAATAGTATACCGTAAATCCTCGAATTGGCCCCCCTCGAATAAGCCCCCACTGCTACCGTACATTCTCAAATTAGACCCCTCAATTTGATGATTTTTGCCATCTGAGGTCGCCTATGGCGTTTTATTGAATTACCACAACACATTCATACTTTTGGTAGTAATTAATTAAATGCTCATAAAGAAATTTCTACTAAAATAAACGAGGTATTTTAATAATGTCTTCTTAATGTCAACAATGATTCTATAAGCTTCCCCTCGAATAAGCCCCCCCCCCTCGAATAAGCCCCCATCCAAAAATATCAAAAATAATTAAGGGGCTAATTCGAGGATTTACGGTAATTGAGCAGAATTTTTGGGAAGAACAAAGCGGGTTCCAGATATAACTTTGAACCTCAAATTAACGTGATCAGTTGGTAACTTGTTGATATAGGAATATTTCTGCCTATGCGACATAAAGATAAGAAATCTTAAACAGGCCAGCGCAGAGTAATATTGTTCATCTTGAATTTGTGATACTTTTCGCCAAATATAAAAAGGAACACTGAGCCATGTAATATTACCGAGAAATTCCAAGAAACTTGTTAAAATCCTCGTCATATCACAGTCTTCAAATAACAGGATTTTTCTTATGAATGACGATGATATGTCAATAAAGTTTAAACCCAATTGTCTATACAAATGTTTTATGGTTAAAATAAAAATTTATAATTTCTTTCAGCGCTGTGCACCGGGTTATAAGCGATCCGGTGTCGCTTCACATGCGTATCTCGGAACATGCAGGCCATGTGAATGCAACGGCCATTCAACACAGTGTGATCCGGACACGGGCAGATGTCTGGTAAGCAAAACGGAACATCTTCCTTCCATGCAAATTGCTCCACCTTTTTTATATCAAATTCTGTAATATGAGGCTCAAGCTGGATTGTTCTTAAAGGATCTTGCGCAACCGGCATGCTTTGCGATAGCTGTTTCTTGTGCAAAGAGAAATGAATGGTTTTTGGTATTTTCATGCAGTAGGATATTAGGCCAGCTTTGAAAAATATTCGCAAAGCATGCCGGTTGCGCAAGTGCCATTGAAGCCAGGTTGTTTGTTATTTTGTCTTAAAAGATTCTAGTGAAGTTGAAAGTATAGGTAGGAGACAATTTTACTGCAAAACAACATTAGATGTGTATAATTATTGTCTTGTTTTTTAAAAGAGGCAAAAGACATACCTTTCCTTGGCAAATATATCCTTGATGATAACTCGTGTTACGATATTTCAAATGACATCCCAATTTTAGACGCGCGCAAGTACATCGACGTTGCTCAAAATTTTTTGCCTTTAACATTATCTTGGTCCCCAAAGTCTCTGCATTGGAACTGTGCTGCACCTTTACACCTTTTTAAAGAAACTTTCCAGTCCACCTATTGCTTTTCAATCAAACATAACAGCCGATGATATCATAAAAAATTAGCTATAGCCAAGGAATGCTGGCAGGAACGACACAGAACGGCAGAAGCAATCCAATGTAGATTTAGTTTGAAACAAAGCTCAGGGACACTGGAGCAAATTTTGAAGGAGGGAGGGGCTCTGTACGAATTAGTAAACTATCATGGTGGCTAAAGCCCCCCCCCCAGCCCCAAACTTAAGTTTACTAAAATTTTACCCCGACATACGAACTCTTGACTTCATCAGATAAAATGTAACTAGACTTTCCCAAAATCATTTTTGTTTTCCTCGAGGCATTCGTACTACTGCGAGGGCAACTCTAGACTGCGAAGGCTCCTTGGCAGTTTAGATTTTCCCTCGCAGCAGTACGAATGCATTGGGGATTTAACAAAATAGACTTTGGAAAAGTCTAAAATGCAACATACTAGTAGCTAGTATTCAAGATGTTTTGTATGGCCCTCTATTCCTCCTTTTTTCTAAAAAGTTAACCTCCTTTGCAGAACTGTCAACACAACACAACTGGGGATTTCTGTCAGCTTTGCTTACCCGGTTTCTATGGCAATGCGACTAATGGCACGAGTTCAGACTGCCGAAGATGCCCCTGCGATGCACCTAAAACAACAACGTATGTGTGATCAATTACAATACATTAAATTTTACATCGATTGTCTGTTATTTTCGCAAGCTCACAAGTTTTGTCAAAATAAACTGCTAAAAAAAGCCAAACTCCATATGCGAATTGTGTCAAATATATTGTTATCTAGACTTTATAGAGTAGTTTGTTATTCCTTTATGAACTGAATAGTACTAAGTACATGCAAATAATTAATTTTCATAACTGTTGATTTGCATAAATTATTGTTATTACATTCTTTTTTTACAAGAAGTTTTTTATAAGAATATTGAGGCGCAGAATTGAGAATATTGTAAGAATATTGCTCAGCCTCAGCTCATATTTTTGTAACATTTTTCTGCAATTGCCTGTTTTGCCATGTTCACAGCAGATATCTCATATTTTTGACACAATCTAATCTTTTCAAAAAGCATGGTTTCTATTCGAGGACGGGCAATGTTCCCTTGAGCCTATATCAGATTTCAAAAGATATATTTTAAAATATATTCAGGCTCTAAACGAAACATCTTAAGAATATCCAGGCTGGTCAAAATTTATATTATTCTTATAAAAATGTGTTTTTAATAATATCCAATCAATACAGTGAGAGAAAGTGCAAGCGAGTGATACGACCAAGACAAGACTCGAACCAGCGACCAGCACCTCTACACATCATTGCTCTGCTATTGGGCTTTCATGTCGCATTTTCAAATCGTGGCACAAAGCTGTAGATGCTACACGTTTTGGGTGCTTACCACGGTTTTTGCGTGAATATAATTGCTTCATCGAGATAGGAGCTACCCGAATGGAGCCGCCTGAAATGCGATAAAATTTTCCTGATTGGGGAGGCTGTAGCACCTCCCCCCGCCCCATGTGTCATCTGTGCCTATGGTGGTAGATGAAAAACGTATAGATTCATTGTTTGCGGGGGTCGCGCCCTTGTCGTGTTACTCGCTCTCGCAATATTTTTTCAAATCCTGCTCTACACTCACTTATTCAGTCGCTAACAGTCACGTGCTTCTATGATTTCGTTCTACGTTTCGTTCCGAGTGCTTTATTTTGCACTCATACTGGTAGCTGTTCTTTGTCTTCGTTCTACTCAAAATGTTTGTTTTTCTTACAGCCAACTTTGTAATCTTGATGTCAATGGAACTGTTCAGTGCTTAAACTGCTCGCAAGGATACAAGGGGAAAACATGTCAAAGGTAGGATTCATTGAAAGCATTATAACATTCGTATGACGTCATTGGGCCTTTGATCAGATTCAAAGATTTCCAGGGCTTTTACGTCTCTATAGAAAAACATTTATTTCGGGCCCCTTTTACAAAAACACCTTATGTGGCTCAGCTAATTCTGAAGGTTCTAGAAGAGGGTATAAAAGAAAGGAGGCTTTAGAGAAAGGGGTCTTAATGAAAAGGGAGCTGATTTTTGATAGAAACATTTCTTTGAACTCAATGGCCTGTCATCTAGCATTAGGAATATTACACACAAATTTAACAAAATCTGCTAACATTTGTTGTGACCATCTTTATCGTGCGAGATATAGAAAAGGTTTAGAAGAGAGGGGGCTTATAGAGAGGGGATTAAAAACAAAAGTGGTGGCTCGCTAAGAGGGGGCTGAATTAAGAGATCACGTAATAGAGAGGAGACGTAATAAATATAGGGGTTTATAAAGAAGGACCTTATAGAAAGGGGATTCGATCGAAAGGGACTCAATTGACAGGGGATGTTATCGGGGAATGGCTTTTTAGAGAGGGTTTTGATAGAAAGGGGACTTGATAGAAAAAAGATTGGGCACTATAAAGAGAATGCTTAATAGAGAAAGAGGCTAGGTAAAGATTTAACGATTTTTTATAATTTTTTTAGCTGTTCAAATGGTTATTATGGCCAACCCTCGGTTCCTGGAGGTACCTGTCGAACATGCCAATGTACTAATAATTCCGATATTTGCAATACAACTACGGGTGTTTGTCTGAATTGCCAATTCAATACATCCGGAAATCATTGTGAGAGATGCAGTGATGGTTGGTATGGCAACGCTGTTCTTCGCACGTGTCAAGGTAAGTCTACTATCTTTTGAGAACCTCAAACAAAATCATTTTTCTCTATGACTTTATTTATTTATAGGATTACTTTAAATATATGTTTTGCATTTGAATCCGCTTTCAGAATAGAAAGCAACATTGAATTTCCTTTTCGTCAGTCTTTGTTCCATTGGCAATGCAATCAAAGATTCTTGATGTCAATAAATTTTGGCAAGATGTAAACTTGAAAAGTATTCTGATGTTATCTATATGTCGTTTTCTGTAGCATGTAGCTGCAACATAACTGGATCGAATTCAAGTGTTTGCAACCATACAAACGGCCAATGTCCGTGCAAAGCCAATGTCATCGGGGACAAATGCACTGCTTGTCAGGTAAAACCTAAAAAACATCATTCTAGTTAAAAAATCTTCAATAACAATAAAAGCTATGAACTCGTGATAGCCAATATTTTGTAGCTTGGATATTTATAATTGCTAAGTTTTAAATCGTGCAGTTTTTTTTTTAAAGAAAAATATAGTGATGACGTCATAATGATTTATTCATATAATTTTTTAATTTGGATCACATAAACTGAAAGACCATTGTGAATAACCTTCATCAAAACCAGTTTAATATGTTTCAAGTTGGCTGAGCTAGAACCACATAAAGTCAGGCCCTTTCCCATTTCGTTTTAGTTCTAACTTTGAATTAGGCCTAAACTAGTAGCCGACCAGCACTTGCCACCTCTCAGTCAATTTGTAACATGTTTTAACTTTTTCACACATCAGTTGTATGCCTTGATGACCTTTTATGTTATTTGGTCAAAAGTAGCCTAAAGCATTCGTAAGATACGCTCTTGGTGTACAGAGCAGAACAGTTCTGAGTTGCTACTCCGATTTCCACGCCCAACGCAATTATCAGGCTTTCAAAAGTTATGCTTTTGTATGGTTTAACTCAGAGTCAGGAAAACATTATGGTCGCACGGCCACTTACCGGAGGAAGGTCCACCAAAAACAATAGAAGCTCCTATGACACACCCAAGCCACGCCCACCTTCTATTGCTTTGTGAGGAATGTTTGCCTTCTGGGATGTTTTTGTCTGGAGAAAGGTTAACAACTTTTCTGGACTCTGGTTTCACTTTTACGAAATCTATTGCAGCAGATTTGCCTTGTTTTTCTGGAACAGTTGAGCTCCTTGTCCTCTATTACTGCTACTATTGCTCAAAATATTACTTTGTCTGCCAAAATATTACACATTTATATTTAAAGTATTTCTAAACTATACTCAATTGAATTGAAATGAATTGTATTGAAATTGATTGAATTGAATTAAATTGAACCTGCAATGTCTTCTCAGAATAACAGTTATGGATTCGACAGCAGTGGATGCAAGCAATGCGGTTGCAATGCCTTTGGGTCGGTAAACCTGCAGTGCAACGACTCAGGAATTTGTGAATGCAAGAACCAAACAGTTGGATCAAAATGCGACCAGTGCATGCTGGGAAATTTCGGATTGCCGTTGCAGCAATGTGAAGGTATGTAACCCATCTTAAAAATCTCCGGATTTGTTTCGGTGTGCATGATGTTTCATATACAAGATGGATTTAATGCAACTACGCAACTAGAACTTTTATGAACATCACTACACAAAGTGAAGTATAATTAAAACAGATGGATAATCAAGCTACAAGTAGAAAAGATTTGATCTAACTCATTTATTTTCATTCGCGATAATTATAATAAACCCACTCGTGATAGGCCATGTGCAAGCCCAGTGTAATCCGGGCAACCGTTTCACTTTTGCTAAAGGGTCATAATGTATACGGCTACCCGTGTGAGTTTATCTACAAATAGCAAGGATTAGTGTAAACGGAGGCCAATCCGTATCACTTTTGATATGGTTTTTAAAAGTGACCTGTAGCTGTGTAAAGAGGGTCTAAATGTATTTGCTGTGGACCGCAATGACGTCATAAGGACCCTGTCCCCTCATAAGTTTTTGTATGCAAGCTGCATCATGGAGCCCTCCTGCAGTTCTGATTAGTTTCAAATAAAATACATCCGTTTTACATACCAAATCATATAAAGGATTTTTGTGCCAAAATTTATCATTTTCATCCACATACCACGATGTTATATATATATATAAACACTCTTTTTAATAAGAGTATAATAAATTTTTCAAGCCTCGATGTTCTAAAGAAATTTTCCTTTTGAGCCTTAATATATTCTTAAGGTATTCTTAATTTTTTCAAATGTAATATGATCTTAAGGACCATCGCCCGCTCTTGAATATAAACCAAGCTTTTTAAAAAACGAGTTATGTCAGTTCTGCGATTCCCTGTCATGAACATCGCAAAACAGACTTAGGCTGAGACGGAGGCTGAGGCTGAGCAAATATTCTTACGATATTCCTAAAAACTTGATGATTCTGAGCCTGAATATTCTTTTAAACAATTTTCTTGTAAAAAATGAGTGCATATATCAAAATATATGGATTTATGAATGGTTTTTTTCTTTAAAGCCTGCAACTGCAATACAACAGGAAGCAGAAATGAATCTTGCTCCACGTCTATTGGTCAATGCTTCTGCAGAAACGGTGTTAGTGGGCGGCAGTGCGCAACTTGCCAGAAACAGCACATAAATTTCACCAGTACGGGATGCAGTGGTAAGAAAGCAGTTTCTGCGAACAACACATCTTTACAATGATCAACATTTATCGGCTATGTCTTTGAAAAACTGTTTTTATAAAGTAACGAATCCTTTTTTGATTGACAATGTTGATTTGTCTCCCACGATTTACATACTTATGAACAGATTCATTTGCTGGCCGTCTGTCCATAAACGTGGATTTTACCTGTCTAGAACTAAAGCAATTTTAGGTAGCAACATGTGACTGTGCAAACGGGGCCTCATTATATTTGCTGTGGATCGCTATGACGTCATAAGGGCCCAGTCCCCTCGTATTTTTTTGCATGCAAGCTACATCATGGTGCCTTCTGTAGTCCTGGTTAGTTTCAAATTAAATTCATCCTGTTTATATATCAAATCATAAAAGATTTAGGCCTATATGTCAAAATTTATCAAGTTTAGGTAGCAACATAACAATGATGTTTGGTTTATAACGACCCATCTAGAACTGTCATTCTTTTTAGACTCTCAACAACGTTTTTTCGTCTTCGGCCACCTGCTCTCAAAAAATCGTTTATACGCCCATGAAAACGTTGAAAACTGTGTACCACTCCTTAAAATGAATTACTATGGTCGTTCGAAAATATGAAATTAAGATCCAACGTGTCATTTCTAGTTCTGCATTTCAGTTAGGCTTTAAAACATTTCCGGAAATTGTTTATAAGTTTGCGACCAAGATACCTGTTCTTCACATTACAGACTTCTTCTGATGCCTATCTGATAATGCTGATCACATTAAACAACCTCTAGCCAAGCTTGTATTTCTCTTTTCAGCATGTCCCCAGTGCTCTATGTTGCTTCAGAGAAAGATCGATGTGCAAGTTGCTAATGTGCTAAATACAAATGTCAATTTGAGAACAGTGCAGCTGCTGTCAACTTTGACTCCGGCACTTCTGGCTGCAGAGCAAAGACTCAATGCGACCCAGGTACTCAATCTTTTATTTATCTTCCAGAGCGTAATACTTTGCAGGATTTGGCGGCACTGAAATGTATTTAGGATAGAGGGTAGGCTGTAGTACAAACCATCAACCAAAAAATTATTTCTAGCATAAAAATTGACCCCAAAAAAGTAATTTTTTCTTGCCATGTGCAAGAAATTTTGATGTTTTCCCCATTTTTTAAACTTTTCTCATATCCGAGACCCAAATAATTAATTCAAAAGTTTATAAACATAAAAAGGGAGTTGCACAAATGATTGAAACCAAAGGAATAACGTTTTGAAATCCACTTCAAATTGATATCCAAAAAAGTAACCTGAGCATCCCTGATCTAAAAATATATGGGTACACCGCTAAAGGGACTCGCCCCCCCCCCACTTTTTTGCAGAACAGTAAGACTTTCCATAAAATCTTTTGTTATAGGTGTTAACCTTTCCCCTGCTCCCCCCCCCACTTTCCAACCTGAGGCTACTAGTCTTAACTGGAGTACCCCTATACCAAGTTCCATACTACCGAGTTTGTAATATTTTTTTCTGTACTCGTAACAAGGAGCCTATTTTTATGTCACCTTGGCGCTGATTCTCGTGATAATCCCTTGAAACTCCTTTATAACTAGGCCCTTTGAAGGGCTAATGAAATTGCAAAGACCCTTTATAAGAACAAGTGATCCCTCCGTTTTACTTTTTCCATTCCATCCCTCTCCAACTGCATCTACACCCAACCTCACGCAGGTCTGTGTCGCATCCCAATCGTAGTTCTTCTAAGAATCTTCTGTTGCAGAAATTCCCTTGGCACTGGTCCCCGGACTAGAGTTTTGAAAAAAGCTAGGGAAGTGCTTGGAGTCAGAATTTGCGGGATTTTCCACGAATATTCCACGAACAGTTTTTTAATAATTTTCAAGCAGCAAAATACGACGTGTCTCGATTGCTATATAAATCGTGTTAAATACAAGTTGGGCATTGCAGACTCAAGACGTGATAAACAAATAGACCGGGCTACAGTGGCGGTAGGTACCACCTCAGGGCGGAGAAATTCAAATGGATATTTTCAGGTAGCTATGGGTCTGGTTACTTGGAAAAGTGATGGTGAACGGGAAATTGTTGGGGTTTATGGGGTAAATACGGGGGTTAAACTTCGTCATATTAGCATATTATCTCTGCGGAGGAGCCACTGTTTTGTTTACGACTTCAGATAAGTGAAAGTGCTTGTTATCATAAAAAATGATCTAGAGGGAGTCTTTTAGAGCCTCTTCTTTAAATTCCGACATATTGCTACAATAAGAGTAGTCACGTGACCAATTTTTACCCCTTACCATATTTGAAAGGTGAGCTTTTTTAACAGAATACCTTTGTTCTTTTTTTTGTACCACGTATTCTTTTGTTTGATACTCTTGAATGTTAAAAGATGCAAGTTAAGGCAAAGATACCTGCATTTGTCATTGTTTATCCATTTTAGGTTTCATTTTCACTTTCTTTATCATCTCCGAAGGTCACGAAGTTAAAAAGATCTGTCAAATTTATGGACCTTTCACCCGATGACTTCCAAATCTTTGCAATGATGTTTGATCGCAATATGTGTAGCCTCAGTGATGATTGGCATGGAGGCAAGAGTGAAATGTCTATGGCTTTGCCTTGCCTTACATACTTCTTGCCAAATAATTTTTTCCTCACATCATTAACATTTTTTGCCGATATCCATATAAATGGCAAACATATTCTTCAAGGTTAACAAATATTTGCTCATCAAGTTCCCATACCTGCCCAAGTAGGGAAAATGTGTTAACAAATCTGTTGTTCTTCTGGACAACCTCCCAACATTCTGATTTCCCTTTGCGGAAAAAAAAGACACATAGTTATTCCCCGTGAATGCATGAAAGCCTATCAGGCATTTCTTCAACCCATCTTCCATCTCAATATCAGACAAAAATAGTCCTTTTCTATTCAAACCAACTCCAAAATCGAGATATACTTGACTTTACTCTTTAATAATACTTAATAAAATTACCAAGATGTCGATGTCTGAGGATGGAGAGCGTACAACAACTTTTTTCGATGGATGCCGAGTTAAAGCGTTTCTTTTTCCTTGTAAACTCTTTGTAGCAGAATTCATGGTGTTTAAATTCTTTAGCTATGAGATCAACATCTTTAATTTCATAATAAATGTTCTGATCGATATTGGCTTCGGCATCTTCTTTTACGTTAGTTCGGCCTGCTTCGTCGTGATCGTTATTGGTACATGATGTTTCTGTTGCCTCTTTACCCGGTACTTTTGGCAAAAATTACACACCTGGGGATAAACATCTGGTCTCTGAGTAGCTGCAGTCTTTAGTGTTTGTGGACGCTGAATAGCTTCAGTGCTAGTTTCTGCGAGGAATTTCTCACGGGACAGGATCTTTGTAAATTTTTTTTTTAACAAGGTTCTAAGTGAACTCCGTGCTTATTTGGATCAACCTCGTCAGGAATGGAGCTGCATTGTTCTTCGTGGAGATTTTTGCCACCAAGTCGTAAACGAGTAGCCTTTGCAATTTTTTCTTTATTTATGTCAGACAAATCTTTAATATTACTGTACAGACAATCTTTGCTCGAGTAATGAACAATACAGCTTAGGCCTTGCATGTTTAAAAATATAAATAAAACAGGACCTCCTCAATACTTTAAAGGTACACAGAGTATCCAATTTTCAGAGCGAAAATAACAACTTAAATAAAGAAAATGACGCTTAGAGCAAAACAATTCTTTCTTGGTAATGATGCACACAGGTCTTTTTGTTCTGCTACGTATTTCCGTGATTTATTGAGTTCATTGCGTTACATATTGGTGTTACTATTTGTACAAATATTTTCAAAGCGATGAATTTCGAAAAAAGTTGCCCAGCATCTGAAGGAGATGTGGAGTCATCACGTAATAACCAAATGCGCATGAAATCAAACGGACCTAATAAATTATCATGTCTTCGCAACCATTATTCTATACATAGTTAAAAACAGTCATTAACTCAAAGTTATTCAGGGTATCTATCAACAACAGTTCGGTTATAGAATAATCTTGCTGATTTGTACATTACTGTAACATTTAAGAGTATTAAACAAAAAAAATTTCAGGTATTCTGTTAGAAAAGGCTCACCTTCCAAATATGGTAAGGGGTAAAAATTGGTCACGTGACTACTCTTATTGTAGCAATATGTCGGAATTTAAAGAAGAGGCTCTAAAAGACTCCCTCTAGATCATTTTTTATGATAACAAGCACTTTCACTTATCTGAAGTCGTAAACAAAACAGTGGCTCCTCCGCAGAGGTAATATGCTAATATGACGAACTTTAACCCCCGTATTTACCCCACAAACCCCAACGATTCCCCGTTCACCATCACTTTTCCAAGTAACCAGACCAATAGCTACCTGAAAATATCCATTTGAATTTCTCCGCCCTGAGGTGGCACCTACCGCCACTGTAGCCTGGTCTAAAAAGCTTTGCAGGAATTAACTCTTGCCTTATTTGTATAGGTTTCCAAAGCACAATTCGACAACCGAATGACTGTACTCCAAGCTGGAATTAACAGAATCAAATCTGATTCTCTCTCAAGATCTGTAAACAACCTTGTAACTAGAGTGAGTATATTCTTTCTTCATCGATGGTTGCTTCGTTTTGTAATGTTTCGATTATAATCGTCCGTAATTTGTTGATTGGAATTAACCCAGCGTAATCTACTATGGTTCTTGTATGACTCTTTTTTTAGGCTAATCAGTTAGCAACATCGGGCGCCAACCTTACAAGTGAATCGTCTGCAGAGCTAAGAAGATACCAGCAAATCAGAAACAGCAGCGAGCAAGCAGCGACCTATGTTATTTGTAAGTACATTGCTGCATAACAATTTTTGCTTACTCTTAATGATAATGTAATTGTTTTTATTTCTTTCGTTTTATATTCAATTTTTAGACGTCTTTGTTGGTAATTGTCACTACCAAGCTTCCGAAAGTAGTTTTTAGGACACTGAGAAGCTTATGCTTCAAAATCTTTGCATCTTCTCCATATGGCATCACAGCATCGTTGCAAGGATGACGTAAAAATGGAATATTTGAAACATTGTCCTTTTGAATGAATTATTAAGACGAAAAAAAAAAGTTATTTTGCAATCCTTCTCTTCTGTATTCGCCCGCCAGTCCAGTCTCCTCAAAGTTCTATGGTTTACGTCTTGAATATAAAATAAAATTTTCAGATTTTATCGAATTCTATTAAACATAACTGTACTAAATTGAAAAGATGCGAATGAACAGTAGTTTTGTACTGGTATTTTATAAAGCCCGCCACCTTTAATCTTTTTTTGCGTGACCGCCCAAACGATTTCGGCATTCCCAGGGACTTGTTTAACCAATATCTGTACATTGCATCGCTGGTGGGTACTCGTTGACCAATCTATCCATACCTTCAGTGGATCCTCCATAATATTGGATTCATTTTGTACCCATGAGGTTGTAGCTTTAGATGTGTTGTGAACTAGTGTCAACAACGCTTTGGTCACGTTTTCAATGCTACCATGTCATTGATCACATGTTTATCTGTTGACCTAGGTCATAGTACAATTCCCCAGGGGGCTCGTCACCAGTCCACATTTATACCTACGTAGATGTAATGACAGAGTTGGAATGGATAGGTGTGTGATCGGTCAGAATGATAAACTCAAAGAAATGTAATACTCTCGCTCTCTGTGGTCTTTCTCACCTTGCTTAAGCCCAAGACACAATAATGTTGTTTTGAGATTCTATCGACTTGTTCACTGCTAAACATACAACTAACTTAACTCTACGTGACGCGTGATAAAAAGTTCTACCTCAGCGATCATTAGAACTTTCTAGAAGCTTCTAATTAGCTAACAATAGAGCAGCAAGCAATCTACTCTAACTACGCGTCCTACACTAGCTACTAATTACGAAGGTCATTAGCTTACTTACAAAATCAGCAATTACGTAACTGTTGAGTGCACGTTCCCAACAAATAAGATGTATCCGTAGAATGGAGCTTCCTTTTTAAGCTTTTTGACCTTCTGGACAAGGACATCTGTCAGTTTTTTTTCTGAGGTGTACTCCTTTTAGAGATGTCATTTATACCATGTATCAATATATTTTGAAAATTTGCAAATGTGATGAATTTAGCAGACATCGCCCTCCTCATCTAGATTTGTATTTGCCCGTAACTCCCTCTAGATGTATTTTCAAGAATAGTTGAAGATTCAGTCTCTTGAACTCAATTCCTCAATTTTGTAATTCAATTCATCAGTTCAATGTGTTTTACAGTATGGTTTTCGTTTAACATTGCAGCTGTTAATTCATCAGTTCGAACGATTGTTTCTGGACTGCAGCAGATACAAGCAAATGCAGAAGTCTTACTTTCCAATGTCCAGGGCCTCAGTTTCAACTTCACGCATCAGAACGAGTTGCTTTTAGCGCAGAGAAACGCTTCGCAGGCGCAAGCTCTCCTTACACGGATGCAGACATCGCACAGCAACGCAAGTTTGCAAGAAGTGCTGGTCCTGGCTGTGAATTCCAATGTATCCGTTCTGGTCTCAAGACAAGCTAATCAAAGTCGCAATCTAACAGACCTGCAGAACCAGGTTGCTGCGCAGGAGATACGGCTTCAGCATTTGAGTCAGATTATATCATCAGTTCAAGTATGCTTGAGTTTGCATTTTTTTAATACCTTAAACTAACACTGAACTTAATAAGATGTATAGAAATCACGAAAAGGAGCTGTGATCATGACCAATTTAATTGGAAAGCCATAATGTTACAAAACTTGTAAATGGCTTTGAAAAAAGTAAACATTTGGTAAACTAAAGCTTTACGTCTGACACACTTCAGAGCACTTATATAGTCATGTGCTCGTGTTTCTGATTGGCCTATTTCGATCCACAACTGGGTATATATATTTCTTAGCGTAGAATTTTCGATATATGTTCTGACGTTTTAAACCATGAAGAGTGTCAGACGAAAAACTAAAGCCATAATGTCGATATTCTAAAGTTGAAGATGCCGATCTTTGATCAACTCTCAATATTTCAATGCCTTATTTGCTAAATTTATTCCCAGAATACAATTCGATCAACTAACGCAACTAAAGGAAACATCAGTATAGACTTTGAAGCAATACAGAATTACACGTCAAGAATCAGTGGGGTTTTATCTCAAGCTCGGGATGTTCTTCAGGTATTCCGGCTTTTGAATATTAGTATGACGTCACAATTTTATCCATTCGGAGTTCAGATAAAGTTTCAACCTTCCTCCGGATGAAATTAAGCCCTATTTACCTTCCTCAAAATTTTCCCTTTTTTTTGAATACAACTTTCTTGGAAATGGAATTTAAAGGCACTATATCCGGTCCGTTAACCGTTCAGCGTTAAATAGGTTTTGCAGCGCGTCAAGAATTAGCCGATTGGATACACAACAATATGTCTATTGTTCAGTGCAACCAATGGGAAAAGTTTAAACAGTCAGCAAAATGTGTCAGGACAGAGTGACTTTAAAGGCTCTTGCGCAACCGACATGCTTAGCGGCAGCTGCCTTGAAAATTTGAATGTGTTCTGTATTTTCATGCTGTACGATATTAGGCTGGTTTTGATACAGGGGCGGACACTTGGTCAAATATTAGGGGGGGGCAAGCCTATTGTTTTGATTAGATGACGTCACATTTCCCATTGTTTTGGAACAAAATACCATTGTCCTCTAAAATATTGGGGGGCGGTCGCCTCCCTCCCCTCCTCGCCCCCAGGCGTCCGCCACTGTTTTGGTAATACAGTCGCAAAGCATGCCAGTTGTGCAAAATCACCTATGGTTTAGTTTTTATGCTTTGTAAGGAAAAGACTTCATGCACAAGAGAATTCCTCTCACTTTATATACCCTTGTAAAGTTATGCACCGGCCTTCCTCTAAACTACTGCATCGTTGTATAACCTTCCTCCGGCTCACAGCCGTGGAGCCGTCATGTTTTCTGGACTCCTTATTCATTTTATAGTGAATACTGCTTGAATTAATAACAATTAGAACCACCTTTAAGCAATTTAACCAAATTCGTTTTTAAAAATTTCGTCCTTTTGAAATGAAGTACTCGTCGTGCTTAAAATACATAGAGTCCATGCCATAAGTAGTTGAAACACCACATTATTCTCATTCTAAAGTTGATAACTCTACGATTTAGCTTGCTCTGCAAGTTACAACACTGTTGCTATATTCTTCCCTCCTGATCCCCTCCCCTCCCATGCAATGTTGATTCCTTCTTAATAAGTGTTGATGCTTCCAATACTAGTTAGATTGCCTCCGATAACCAGGAAATATTGACATGAAGAAACATTTTAACGGGAGAAGGGGAATCAACTTTAAAACTACGGAGGCTTGTGTATGTTTCGCAGAAATTATTGCAATGGTCGAAAATGGTTGAAGCCGTTTTTTATGCTGGTTGAATGTGACCAAAAGGCAACCTTACATCTTAAATGTTAGACTGAATAACGAGCAAATAACCTTATTTTGAGACAAACTATACTTCTTTCTAGAGCGCCAGTGAAACATTGAACAACGCAAGTGGTCTTTCTGTGTCTCTAAGCACTTTGACTGGCCTTGTCAATGAATTGCAACGAAACTTAAGCGCCACTAGGGTGACCGTCAACCAAGCAACTGAACACTCAACAATGCTCACGAGAGAGGCGAACAATCTTACGAGGTTTGTTCTGTGTGACACATGTCTTCTCCTAAGACCAGAGTCCGCTGGGCATGTTTTATATAAGAAGGGGATGCACAATGTATTTAGGCTAAACGTATTTTAATACGAATTTAAGTCACGTAGAATGAATATTGAAATATTCAATATTTTAGGAGATGTTATTTTGGAAGAATCGCCTATTCTCTATGTATTTCCAAAATTTAAGAGGGCCGATATTTTAGGAAAATCACAATTTGTGCTATATCATTAAACTCTCGGATTCTATTATTTTTGTAGCAAATGTGTTTGTTTTTTTCCGATACAGAATAACCTGATATGTTTTCATGAAGGGTGCAAGATGCTTCCACCAGAAAAGTTGCACAACTCATTTTTGATGCTTCGTTTGTCTTCCATAATTCAGACAAATGTTAACCTCTTTTTTGAAGAGTCCGGTTGTTCTTGATCCTTGTTTTAAAGCCTGCCAGTAGGTACTTTCCTCTACAGAGGGTATTGTATAGGGAAATAGGGGTTGAGGAAAGCTTGAGATGTGGAGAATAGGAGAGGGAGGAGGGAATTCTTTACCTCCTTCTCCCTCACAACTTCTCCGCGTTTCCTTTTCTTCCGCAGTTCCCTTTTTCTGCAGTTGGAAGAGAGTGGCTAATAGGGGTGTTCCCTCGTGGCATTTCAAGAGTCAATCCCCTTCAAAATGACAAAGCTTATACTTTGTCAGAGAAAAAGACATAAGTTCTCAGGGTCTTCGTTATGGTGACTGACTAGACTTAACTAGATGTGTAATTGATAAATGATCTCAATTTTTAAGTGCATTCCTTGGAGCAAGAAGTCACGGAGCAAATGCAGTCAACGCCGTTAGAAGATACGAGGAAATAACAAGGTTGATAAACGACTCGATGAAATTGTCGGCTCAGGCAAACAGATCCGTTCAAGAAGTTCTCAACTATGTGAGTAGGCATTCAAGAAAATTTTGATTATTACATCCTTGAGGAGGAAACTTGTTCAATATAGCGTGCGTTTCTATAAAGAAATTTTTTTGTAAGAATCAACAAAAACGTTTTTTTAAAAACAAAAGAAGATTTTCCAAGGGTAATGGAGAGTTTTGTAGTGGTTTGCAGGCATCTTAGGCCGATTCGACGTGAAATGAAATCCTAGACTTACTCCATGAGCCTCTGTTTCGCTACTGCCTCACTTTACGGACGCTTCTAATGAAATCCTGTTTTTTGCAAAGACAAAAATATATTTTATCAAACGAAACTTTACCAGATATCAGCCTTTGCCACCGTGTTCCCACCATTCTCACTGTGCAAACATTAAACACCAAAATCCAAGTCATTTGTAGCCTTGAATATTATACTTGACATCTGGTATTCAATAATAGTCTGAATAATTACCATACTATATGATCTTAATTACTAACACTTGATATCAACCTACCATGATTACTTATTACCAACATTTGATATCAAATTCAATTTTAAACTGATTTGAAGCAGTTTTGTTCATAGACGTAGGAACCAGGGGGCACAGGGGAGAACAGGGGGCACGTGCCCACCACTTTCAGAAATAGTGGTAAAGTACCTACTTTCAGCTTACAGAGGTGTCCCTTTTTTAATACTTGTGCCCCCCTCTATTTTGAAATGCTCCTTTCGTCTATGATTTTAAAGCAGTTCTATTTAAAGTGCCTTGTGACGTCATGGGAGGAACTCGTTATTGTAACAATGATAGCGCTACCTTAAAAAATCTCATCCTCACTGCCACTACTTTCTCTGGAAATATCGATCATCTTAAACCTGTTAGATTTCCCTCATTGACTACGAAACAAAAACTCGAAGGAGGAGGCGATCGGGTCCCTCCCGTGACGTCACTGTCTATTCATTCTGAAAACCAAGATGGCGAATTTTGGCGTAGAAGATCGCCAATAACTCCTTCATTTCTCACGAAACGTAAAAACTAACCTCAGAAATGAAAATAACAGGCCTTTTTATATAAGAATAGATATATAAACCCAAAAGTACGAAAATCATGTCACAGGCACTTTAACATCTACTTCGATCTTTACTGTAGTTGAGGCAGCCTGGCAGTCAAAACTTGACGAAGAGATCAACAGCATCACTCCAGCGCAGTCAGGCATTGCATACAGTCTCACTCACCCAACAGAAGGCTATTTCAGGTAATGAGTAAAAATAGTTTATTTTGTTTTATTAAAAATTTTAATTCGAAAATCTTAACAAATTTTATACTGTGTGTTGTCTTTTGAAAGTATATGGCATTTCCATTAACTTCAAGTTGTGTTGTATCTTAGTGTTGTGTATCATATTTTCATTTCATTTATTTTTCTAATTTCTAAGAGTTTGTGAGCCCCTTTTTAAGATTAAGAATGACTCTGTGATACCTTGGGATACATCCATTTTTGATGAAAAATTTTCAGTTTTTTCTCTTTAATTTTTGTAGATCTTTTCTCTGCCTTTTCATTAATTTGGGCATAAAAGTAGCGTCATCAAGCTTTATTTTTTCCCACGATTTAGCACTTAATGGCATTGATTTAAAACTCTTTCTAACAGACGTTCGTGGAAACTTGAGCCAAGCAAACGTTACATATCAAGCAGTAAGACTCACCGGCAGCTCGGTTTCTTACCGGTTCAATTTGTTCTTGTCGCTGTTCAACCGATTGTCAGTTACCGCTGAATACGGGAATCGACCGCATAGCTTAGAAAGATCAATAACTCAAGCCAATCAGCTGACAAACAATATCACACAGTCTAGCTTAACTACGATCGCAGAATCAGCAGGTCTTCAAGCAAATCTGTCGTCTATGACGTCAGTTGTAAGAGAGTTGAATGGCACTGTGGCAAACGTAACTCAAAAAATGGCACTTGCATCAAGTGTTGGTAAGAATTTTCTTTCGATCTCTACAAATTTTTTACATTACGTAAGATCAAGTCACGAAATACTCTTAGATAGTTTTGCATCTTTTTCACATTTCATCAACCACTTGTTCAATCGTTGACATATGATTTGTTTGAAAACGGCTCTTTTCATATCAGCTCGTGTCCAGCTATTTAAAGGAAATCGACAGATGCTAAAATGGCTTAAGACGTATGTCAATCAACTGTTGGCCAATGAAAAAGCTTCTAGGTATCACCATGCTCAGTGATTGGCCTATTTTTGATTGATTGACGGCTTAGTATCAAACTAGCCACTTTAGTATCTTCCGATTGCCTCTAACCATGCTCTAACCTACAACCTTTAACCGTCAACACTGTACCGGCTCAGGGCAAAAATCACATTGAAATGTTATTTCTCTTTATGATTCTCAACAGAATCGAATTTTAGAAGAAACTCGGCGATTGATAAGTAGCAATAAATATTCAAAAAAATTTCAAAATGCCGACTATCATTCTAGTAAGACCTTCCTCGTTTCTCTCTTTGTAGTTGCTAACATAACAAGGAAGCTGAACAGTCCAGTGAATGCCCCAATTAATGACGTCAACAACATCACGCGTCTGATGCAGCAATTCAATTCAACGAGACCAAATCTTGAGAGTCGACTTTCAAGCATACAGTCGAAGTTAGATGCTTTAAAGCAGAGACTTGCTCGGGTAAGATATCTTCGCCATGTTTTAATGTGCATCGTAGACTCATTGGCAGTGAAAACCTAATGGTCCATCAAGCCAGACTGTGGGAAGATGTTTTGAATTGAGGGAAAGGGGTTGCAGTGGGTCCGGAGGCAATTACTCGCAAAAATGCTGGTCGGTTTAGTTTGTCAAAATAGCATAACGCCATTTGTCAATTTTTTCAATTAAAGTCAATATTTATGCAATCGAGAAGTGGGGGAATGATTTCATATTCCCCTGATGTTCCCAACTTTTGCATAGTATTGGCGTTATATTTTCTAAACATATTTTTTGAAAATTAGGATATATCTTTATAACATCCTGTATCCACTTCTTCATCTTCAATTTTTCTTGGTTAATTCGGTTGAATTCTATAACATGCTATGTCATGTCATGTCATGTCATGTCATGTCATGTCATGTCATATCATATCATGTCATGTCATGTCATGTCATGTCATGTCATGTCATGTCATGTCGTGTCATGTCATGTCATGTCATGTCATGTCATGTCATGTCATGTCATGTCATGTCATGTCATGTCATGTCATGTCATGTCTGTACAAATGTCTTGTTATTCTGCCATTCAAAAATTGATTCCCTAATCTAAATATTTCAGGCTCAAGCTGCCATCAAGCTTAATGGGAGCAATTCTGTGGTTTACAAGCCACCGTCAAATGCCTTATCTCGCAGCGTATACAGTGAGGTGCAAATGGATTTCAGAACGACACAGAGAAATGCCCTTCTTCTGCATCTTGGTAACACATCAGCCTTGTCAACGGTAACGTCTTACAAGAAATAAAACTTGGTTTTTATATTTTTTACTCGCGTTTATTTTGAGCCAAATTGCACTAAAGTGCTATTGTGCTATTGGTAGGGTAGGGTAGGGTAGGGTAGGGTAGGGTAGGGTAGGGTCGGGTAGGGTAGGGGTAGGGTAGGGTAGGGTAGGGTAGGGTAAGGTAAGGTAAGGTAAGGTAAGGTTAAGGTTAAGGTTAAGGTAAGGTAAGGTAAGGTAAGGTAAGGTAAGATAGAGAAGAGAAAGGAAGGAAAGGAAAGGGTAGGGTATTGCAGAGTTGTTCGGTTGGGTTAGGGTGAGTTAGTTAGTGTCCGTCACCGAACGAAAACCAGTGGCGTACCCAGGGCTGCAGCCGTGGGGGGGGGGGTCTGGGGCGTAGTCCCCATAAATTTTTTGGGACCACGCCCTTCAAACAATCGCAAATGCGGGGAAACACCCTTTTTGCAAAATTTTCTCCCATTTTTTTATTCATGTTAGCTATGGCAAATAGCAAAGCATTTTACAATTGTTATTGACACAAGCATACAGTATACTACCCCTCCCCCCAATGAGTTTTACATCGTTTTTAGACAAATCTCGAGGACCATATTTTAGAAAAGTGGGGGGGGGGGTTCCGGACCCGGGTCCGGGTACGCCACTGACGAAAACTTAAAATGGTCAAATGATAGTGTTCAATTCTTTTTGGAAGGTGGTGAGCTCAAGCCCCATCGAAAAGTGTTTTCATACGTTGTGGGCATGCTCCATTTTGCTTTGTTGTAGAAGAACCCATTTGAATAAACACCTACAATTATTTATCAAGTATTATTTCAGTTTATTTTTAATTAAACAAATTAAATATAAATTTCTTTTGCCAAATAAATCTGGTGATTTGATTAGCCTATATCTTTTAAATCTCGTTTTCGTAGATGGATAGGATGTCATTGAAGATTGTTGATACCAAGGTCGTGTTCGAGTATTCTATTAACGGATTATTGCGACGGTTGACAAACTGGGAGGTTGGTGTTTCAGATGGCCTTTGGAGAAGAGTCCTAGCAACTCGGTTTGTTTCTATTCAGTCGCTCATTTTTAATGTCTTTTACATAAGACCCAACCAACTTCATGAATGAATAAAAATTGTCCAGGTCCTTCAGTCAAAGAGTCTTAACCCGTTAATCCAACTTAAATTTTAAAAAAATGAAAGCGATGAGCCAAAGTTAGAAAGCAGGACAGTTTCTTACTCTAATTCAACGCTTCAATTTTCATGTTAAGATGAACGCCATTATTTTCGTTTTGTCAACTCTGCTTTCGCTTAATCCACACTCACTTTGGCAGCCAGATTAACAACAACTTCTGACGTCAATGGCGCATGTTTTGTTTTGTTTATGAAAATTTCCAAGCCCTTTTACAGCATATTCAAATTTTTCCTTCGGAAATAATTAGATGTTAAAATGAGCCCTCTCTCTATTAACCCCCCCCCCCCTCCTCAATAATGTGTAACAAAATATACCTCTCTAGGGCTATACAGAAGTTGCATAGCTTGGCGTTACGATATTACGTCGTCAGCGTTATTATTCTATGTCAAAAAAGCTAGATAAATTTTGTTCATGTTCTGTAATATAGGCCTTATTGGCGCTGCAGCATTAGGCCCATTTTGGGCTTGATCCGGCCCGGGCCACGACGCATCTTAGTAGCGCTCATGAGATGTTCGCGAGTCTAAATTGTTCATTTTGTTTGTATCTAGACAAGGAGACTTCAGCCGTTTAACAGTGAGTGTACTAAGCGGCAATTACTCGCGAACGTACAGCTCGTACACTGGAAGTGACTCCACAACCATGACATATTCTACAGATTCTATGATATATCTAGGAGCTCTGCCACCACCAGACATGGTAAGGCTTTTGCAATGTTGAGAACATTTTTATTGGTAATATCAAAAAACTATGTAGTGATAATAGTGAAGCGTTCAAATAGGCCTATGAGATGCATTTGAGTATCTCGTGCCTTAAATTCCATGTTGTAAGAAACTTTTATTCAAAGATACAGGGGGAATTACAAACATTGTAGTGTTTATTTCGGAAATATCGTGTGCATTTTGTAAGATATTGCTATAAATGCATATTGCAATTTTATATAGATCGAAAATGAAGCATTTTAACAGTATCCTCAGGTGGTGGCCTACAAGAAATCTTTCTGGAAATTTTGCTCCTAGACTCACATTTTCGGCCCCCTCCCTCCAATAATTTCCTTTAGCTGCCGCCCTGGTCAAGTAAAGTTTAGCAAAGTCTTGAAGTAGATGAACATGTTAGAATAGAAATACCGATGGTTTTCCCTTGCGTGAAACAAGAATCTAGATTTGTCGTTTGCTTACTACCAAAAAGTGGATTTTGCTTTACTTTTAATATTTTGATAAATCCCTTTAAGCAAAGCTTAACTTTTTGTTAAACGTGAATTGATACTTTGTTGTTGTCAAGTCTTGTTGTTGTCAAATCTTGCAGTTTGATAGATTTTAAGCGCGAATTCTCTTCATTTTGAAACAGGTAAATGTCACTGCAGCTGGCTTCAATGGCTGCATTAACAATGTGCAAGTAAACAGGGCTCAGGTCTCACTTTGGAACGCAACATCTAGAACATTCAGGCCTGGATTTTGCAATGCGACAAGTGGAACGTAAGTAGAACTGCATTGCAATTCACATCATTGAAGGGTACATGGTAGCAATTGAGTTGAATTGATTGTATTGAAACTTGTGTGGATTGGTCCAGTTATTTTGCAATTAGATGTCTTATTTACTTTTTTATAGCTAACAAGATTATTTTGCCAGCGTTAATGAGAGAATGATTTATCCGAAAAGATAGAAAGAGCATAACTTGTCCTTAAATTTATCTTGGGCAAAATAAGCAAGTGTATGGAATTGGTAATAATCAGAGTGAAACCGCTGTTACAGACACCTCCAGGGGGAGGGGGGTTGTTCCTTGAATGGTTGGAGGTACGGGGACGTTCCATTACTTAAGGGTACCTTTTTTCTGAAAAGTGCAGAATTATCGTTATCAGTTTTTGAAATATGTGCGGCATTGTGGGTACCGTTTGAAGAAACATACAGATTTATAAACACAATTTTGGGAAAACATAGCAAAATTATTTGGGGGGAGGGGGGAATTTACCATTAACAGAAAAGAATGCTAAGTAAGAAATGAAAAATGTATAATATTGAGAGTTTGGGACAATGGACATACAAAATTAGTTTGATGATTTTGTTGTATTTAAAAGATGCTATTTTCCCTTAAAGAATTATGGATATAGTTTCATCATGTTTGTGGAATTATGGGTCACATTTTTCAGACAGGTAAGATATAGCGGGTCAAAACTGGGCTTTGCTAGAGCCCCCCCCCCCCCAACACTAGAAAATTTATCCCTCGTGGTAACCTTTTTTTAATCGACTCAGACTTGTATTCGTCTTGTTGCCAGGTCGTCATCAACAGGGTCCGTACTACCTGGCGCTAGTTTTGCGGGCAATGGATTTCTCCAACTTGGCATGGGAAATTTCAGTATCAGAAACTCATCGAAAGTTCAGTTCGATTTTCGAACGTTGCATGCTAATGGGACGCTGTTTGCTGTCACAGGAGCTGGAAATGTAAGTGTCATTTTCTTGTCTCCAGAACCCAGTAGAGTTCCCATCTGTCGTCTGAACACTTTTCATATGGAAGGTTTGAAAACCTTCCAGGAAAACAAAGGAAATGAGGCGAGGTATTGGTGGAGTACTTTCGTTTTTTTTTTATTTCAACTGGCCTTCCTTATCGACTTTGACCGTACTGGGCCCTGCTGGACTCTTGTATAGATAAAATCTTTTGAGATAATTGTAAGTATTTTCTTTATCTAGACTCCCCCTTCCCAATTTATTCAGTGCTTTTAGAAGTTTACATCAATAAATTGGAAATCTATATAAAATAATTCTTTTTAAATTCTCTAATCTATGACTCTCTCTGAGATTCTTGGAAATTAAGACTAATCAACTGCTATTTTTGTAGACCATCTTGTATGAAATTCGTCTCGTGAACGGAAACTTGGAAACTTTTTGGAGCGGCGCACGGGCAAATGCTAGGCCATCAACCACTGGCTCGTATGCGGATGGTAACTTCTACAGAGTGACAGTGGAAAGAACGCAGACATATTTTAGTGTTTTAGTTGTCTCTGTGGCAACAGGGACTGGACCGCCGATCTCAATGACGAATGGTAGTCAACCGCTTTTAGAGGAAGGCACAGTGATTTACTTTGGCGGAGTTAACGTCTCTGTGTAAGTACCTATCAGCCCTGTCACAGGCACTATTGTTGACATGAAATTCTATTGGTTGGATTATACAATAGGATATTGTCACATTTTCCAATCAGTGGCGAGGGATTGATTCTTAACGATTTCACAATTTTGAATGCACTGCAGTGCTTATTGATAAAATTAACGGGATAGATAATGGGATAAAGTGTCATTTACACTCTTTTTTTATAAGAACCAGTAAATTATGTTCAGACTAGGCCTGTCCACCGAAGGTCGAATAATCGGTATTCAGTTACCTGTTTCACTATTCGGTTAGCTGAAGTCCAAAGCGATTATTCGGTTACAAATGAATAGTTCGAATAGTACGATTATTCGGTTGGAGACGAATAGTGCGAATAACCTCACTGTTGGAGGTCCACAATGGTTGTTTGAATAGCCGTGACTCATCGAAAAGCGTTGACTATTCGAATAACCGTGACTGATCGAATAGCCGTGACTGATCGAATAGCCGTGACTGATCGAATAGCTGTGACTATTCGAATAACCGAATAGCAAGGATTGCTCTAAAAGGGAGGGGCAACTACCTATCTTCAATCTTCGAGAAAGTTTCATGGATACGGGCCTTCTTCAAAAATCGCAAACCCAAGAAATAGTTACAAAGCGAATAAAGCAAGATTGGAGGGGGCAGGGGGAGTGGAGCCTGGGTTGCAGGTGGGGGTCATGGGGCTTTTTCAGGGCCTCAGACGAAGGGTGGCCGGGGGGCTATGGCCCAATCACTATTTTGCAGAATAATATAACTTTTCATAAAATCTTCTGTTGTGAGTGTTAAATTTTCTCTTGCCCCCCCCCTTTCTCCACTTCCCAACCTGTGTCGAAGCTCGTGCTAGAAAGCTTTTCATTTCACAAAATGTTGGAAAACGACCCTTTTTGAAGACTTACGACTATAGTTTCTCGTCAATTTGATACTGACTTTCTGGCCATTAGGGGTGACTAATGCTAGAGAAGGTTCAAGAAAACATTTATTTTTGACAAAAAATCGTTTTAAAAATTGCTTTGCAGTACAAAACACAGGAAATATCAATAGGAAAACAAAAAATTAATGGTTCTAACTTATCGAATAGTAATGACTGATTAGCTATATTCACAGCTTGGTTAAATTACAATAAATTTTCAGATTGCAGTTTTTTACCACCACCCCGTCACACCCATTTTGCCACACCCATATTCGCCGAATAACCGAATATTCGTTCAATTTTAAGCCGAATAACCGAATAGGAATATCTGAAGGTTTGGACAGTCCTAGGTCAGACTGACTGTTCTTAATTTTTTCGAAAATCTGAGGCTGGATTGTTCTTAAATTTAGAGGGTGTAAGCAGTGGTATTGCTAGCTTTTTCGCTCTAAGGAGGTGTTTAGGCCTCATTTGCCAACAAAGTGAGTGAGACAGCCTTAATTTGCTGACAAATTTAAATATTCACCGAAAAAGCACCCACACATCGCTAAAAATCCTCGATTTTGAGAAAAAACGTTGTTCAAAATTGCATTTTGCAGAAGCTCAGCATCAGCTTGTTCTTAATTTGTTCTTAACTTTTGACCAGTTTTGAGGCTCGTGTTCTTATAAAATTGTTCTTATAAAAAAATGTAATGCAGAAAGGAAACCCCTGATTCAAGAGCAAACTGTAGATGTTGACGGTGTTTTACTCCTCACAATTCACCATCCTTCCCCCACAGTGGCCCCACCCAATCGGCCTTTGAAATCTGCTAACTACTTAAACATTGCTTTCTCATCGACTTATGCATCGAGCCATTTAATATTACTTGTCTTTAATTTGTCCTTAATTGTAAGCATTAAGGCCGGTTTCCACTCGATTCGCTCTGGTCGCGCGACTGAGCGAATGCACGTTAGACCAGGCGCAAATTTAACCTCCCCATTTGCTGCGAATGTGCGACCGTTCGCTGAGTAGCTCAACTCAGTTGATTCGCGTTCGCCGATTCGCTGGTTTGTTAATCCGATTTCGCCAAGTCGCGCGGCCGGAGCGAATCAAGTGGAAACCCTCCTTTATGTTTGAATTATTAAGTCGGTTATTAGAAAGCTACCAGTAAAATTTTTCTCAAGGAATGACAACTTTTTAAATCCCTACAAAACGGAGGAACATTGGAAATTTCCACCCTTTTCTAAAAATCATTATTTTGTATCCGTTGAGAGTCTTTTTGTCTTCTTTTGTCAACAAAAGGCACTCGTGTTTTGCAAGGTTTCTTTATTCAACTGCAGGAGTGGATCAACGGCTTATCCCTTCGCTGGCTGCATAATGAACGTTCGTCTAAGCAATAACAACAGGATTGACGTCACAGATTCCATACAGTTAAACGACCCCAAACTCCTTCGCTATTCTAAAGGCGTCAACTTCAATGGATGCCTTCCACAGGTATGGTGCACAAGCAGCAAGAATTTTGTCCATGAAACATACACGAATGAACAGGCATCCCAGCACAATCGAAACATTTGTGTATCGCTAAATAGAAATTGTCGTTTTAAAGTTGCATCGCTATCGAGTTCTTGTGTCTGCTTGTTAGGATCTCAAGCTTATTTTTATTTAATTTTCTTTCAAATAATTTTATTCAAATAAAAGTTTTGTAGCATGGCCTATGGCAGACTGTATAACATTACTGTTTTCCTATTCACAATTTCACATGTTGTCGTAGTTATGCTCTTTGAGCAGAATTCCAAGGCTCGAATGTAGGTTTTGTTGGTATATAATGGTTCGTATTGCAACTAGTCAGAATTTTGAATTTACCAGACACTGCCAAATAGCTAAAAGATTAACTTTCTAACTTTACTTTGCCATACAATATCACATAACAGTATGTTGCAAAACCTGTTTATAACCAAGATGTTTTTTCATAATCTTATAATTTGTTCTGTAAATCGAGCTTGGCTTCCCCATCTATTATATCTTAAACCGGTTATCGAATTCACAATTTATACCATTTTTCTTCAGATTCAAAATGGCGTCCGTTTCCTTGGCAATGGCTATGCGTCAGCTTCGACTCCTTCGCAGCGGTTATCATCCCTTAGCATTGTCTGTAAAACAACAGAGCCGGATGGTGTTATATTTTATTCAGATTATCGGGTAATTATATATTGTTCATTTTGCTTTAGATTGTGCCACTTGTTGAGCTCATGTACCCTTATCCGGAAATATAAACTTAGTCTCCTAAGGAGTGACAAAATGCTCACTGTCCAAAATGTAGTTATGCCCAAAATGTCTCAGAAACTGGACCGTGCGAAAAGACGAGCGGAAAGCCACCATTTAAGCCTAATCTTTCAAGAAAAGAGCGCAGAAAGCCAACTTACATTCTCATTCAGAAAAAAAGCATCTGAAAGAGGCACAGAACAGCTTTCGTCCTTTAAACAACCATCAATGACAAAATCCGACATTGTTTTATGCATGAATCGAACTTTGATATGAAAGCTGACATACAGAATAATTGAACTTGTAGATAAGAGAGTGCTGGAGGTCAATGACATCTAACGACTATACTGTGAGCGTTTGAACGAAAACACAATTTTTGACTGCTGTTTCTTTCATATATGTTTCCAACCTTCCTCCGATCAATTTCTTGTTGCTTTTCAGGGTGCAAAATTTTATATCGCTCTGTATCATGGAAACATTTTCTTGGATTACAAAAATGCCTCGAGAAATGCCAGAAACTTTTTGTATACGAGATCACAGACGCTGAACAGAGGACAGTATTTTACGATTGATGTTATCTTTACTGGAAATACTTTGTAAGTAATTTGTTTTTCCATTTTTTTTCAATCACGGTAAACAGCTATAGAGTTCTATTTTTAGGATTTTTTATTTGAACCCCATTTCCTTAAAAGGAATCTGTCTCCTCAATGATTGGCTGATATAAAAAAATTGATTTTCCCACCTTAACGGATTATGCTGCCCGCTTCGGCTGGCCTAGCTGTGGTAGTGAGCAAGAAGCTATTGGAAATTGCAAGTGAAAATAACTCACTCCCCTTTTCACTCCCGTGAAAATAAAAGTAGAGCACAATAGGGGATGGACTGCCTTTAAAGAGCAGCATGAAATACCTCTGAATGTGCAAAATCTGTTTAATGTGTTTCAAAATGGCAGAGAAGTGGCCTAAGCACTTTTGTACAGGCTCTTTCCCCATTAAATCTCTGTAGCTTGGTCTCAGTTCGTAACTTTATGAACGAACCCAAAGTAAAATTAATCCGTTGGCAAACTGATCAGAGTCTTTTGTAGATTACAATAGTATCGTGGATGCAAGCATGGTAATGATTTTAAGTTCTTCTTGCACGTGAAGTTGTGACAGCATAAATAGTCTGTATGTAATTGTCTGGAAAGCTCCTCCCCACTCCTCTTTTCATATTTTTGAGTAACTGTACTGTAAAGTTGTCAATCCTTTTTATGCCAGGTTAATAATCTAACTAGAATAGATGGCATTTGCAATATCATGTAACGTTTGACAATAGATTAGGTAAATCTTTATTATTTTATCTTATTTACTTTACGAACTTGTTTGTCGTGTAGACTTCTTTTTGCAAACTGATTAATGGACTAGTACTACTGTTATGAAAGACTTTTATAACTAATTTTAATATCAAACCTTGCTTTAAAAGTATATTTTCTGTTGAATGAAATGAATTAGAAAATATTCATTTTTTCTTGTTTAAAGGATGGCGCTGGCTGTTGACGGCATAAGACAAGAGATACAGCTTGCAAGCGGTCTGGCACCGAGTGTTGAGTTGAATGGGAGAATGTACATTGGTGGCATACCCACGGCATTATCAAATGGACTTTCTGAGTTCCCTGTGACGCAAGGCTTTAAAGGCGACTTCAGTCTGGTTCGAATAAACGGTGTGGAGTAAGTTGCCCCTTCAGGATTGCTATCGAAACCTTTTAACGAACGAAACTTCTTGAGTGAAGAAACAAGAAGATTATGAGCTATAATAGCAAACAACTGTCCACAATTTATGCATATGTTTGAAGTATTACGTTGCATTGCATAAATTGGTTACCATTGGTTTTTGCAATAGTGAACGCACACTGTCTCCGACAACATAATGAAATAAGATGCATGAAGTAAAGATGCGATGATATAAAATAATACTCTACGTGAAACTATAAGCGAGCCAAGCAGAGAAGCTCTGTTGCCCCCCTCCCCCCTATAACACCGATAAGATCCTCAAAGTACAATTCACTTTAACTCACCTTTTTCTTTTTTTGCTAACTAAAGGTAAAGCCAAATTTGCCAACAAGACCCATTGCAATCAATGCTTATCGAACTTGTGCCACTTTCGAATTTAAGAAACTCGACAAGCCGCTGCGTAAATTAAATTAATGGTTAACCATGCAGCCATTCAATCAATTCACAGCCAACCATGCAAAATTGTCGATGACACTCGGCCAAAGCTTTCAAAACGCCTGTAAGGTAGCATCTCTAATTTGTTGCTCACGTGTCTTTGTATGCCTCACCTGAGTTACGTATAATATCCTCCGCAGCTACCTGAGACAACTGATCACCGTCAGCGAGTTTGTTTCGCTAGCTGGAGTCCCAGTTACGCAAACAGTCGGGCCTACACCTTTACCAACAACACCACCACCAACAACGTCGCCTCCTTCGTGTGCTGCTGCCAGTGGCCCTCCCCAGTTCGATGGCAATGTTAACTTGGCGGGAATTGGCGCAAATACGTTGCTGGCACTTAGGCCGCCTCCTGCTGAGGAGAGCACCGTTCTGTCCTATTTCAGTGTGAAGTAAGTAGTATATGTTGTATATTAAGGCGTAGGACTCACGATTCGACAGTCGTGAGTTCGAGAAAAGCATTTGCCAATTTCTAAGGTAGCCCCCTTTGGAACGATATTTAAACGTACAGTGCCTCTCGCTAAACAGGAGTATATTATGAGCGCCATGCGTGGCACCTATCTGCTCTTGAGCATAACGATCAGGGGGTACAGTACAGTATATTAGAGTAGCGTTAAGGCCGATTTCCACTAGGCGAATTCTTTCGCGCGAATCGAATATATAGTCGTAGCGATAGAGTAGGACCGTGATCTACTTTCTGCGAATCGAATTTTTTCGCTGCGAAACCTGAGAACATGACACCACGCATGCTCACATTGGCAAAAATTCGATTCGCGCGAAAGAATTCGCCTAGTGGAAATCAGCCTTTATACAGATGAATGATAGACAATAAACGTGAAGGGTATATATATTACTCCTTTGACAAAAATTGATTGGTTGTTAAAAAGTTTCTTAAAAAATTTTCAAATACTGTTGTACTAAAAAGTCTGGTAGTTGAGTTGCGATAAAAGGCATGCCAGCTATGCAAAAAGTCTTTTTTCAAATGGGGGCTCTTTTCTTCAAAGGCCTGGGACTGGAAAGACAGTGGTATCTGATGATAACCTATAGATTTTTCTCGGGAAAAATGGGAATCAATTTTTGTAAAACAAAATTATGACTGTCTGGACAAGCAAAAGCCAAGACAAAGATTTCTTAAGAGACTTGGCTTTGAATTCCCTTTTTGAGGTAGCCCATGGACTCTTAAACCCGCTTTCCATTTAGTCCCCACTTAAAAGGAGCTGTCTATTTTCCATACTGCTCGACCTGATGACGTAATTAGTTTACCCTAAACCTAAGCCTAAACCTAACCCTAACCCTTACCCTTATCCTTACCCTAACCCTAACCCGAATCCTAATCCTAATCCTAACCTTAACCCTTTACTTGAAATAATTAATCATACTAATTTATGACTATTAATCATGCTTATTTATGACTATCAGGTCGAGCTGTATGGAAGCTAGACGATTCCCACTTAAGAACTGCTTGCTTTATCGACGCATCACATATTGGGTGCAAAGCATTAATAGAAGCAATTCCAGAAAATGTCCCTGAAATGATTCTCCTCTATAAGCTATGACCTTCTAAAGCATAGTTGAATAATTTTGCAGCTACTTGGTTACAATAGAGTTCAGAGCATTCAGTCCGTTTGGTGTGATATTCTTTGTGACCAACAATAACAGTGCAAGCGTGAGGCAATTTATTTCGTTGGAGCTTGTGAATGGTAGCCTCGTGTACAAGTTCAACTCAGGAGGTGGTTTGGTTCATGTGCAAACGACAGGAAATTACGCTTTGGGTCAATGGACAAAGGTAGGAGATTCATACCGTAAAGATCTCCATTGAGATGTAAGGGTGACTTTGTGGTGGGGGGGGGGTTGGGGGCTGGAGGACCACAGTTTCAAGGGTCTGTGGCTCGAGCCCCTGCCATCGCCAATCTTTCATTTATAGAGAGGGGAACCTCCTCATTCGTACAATGTTAGACTTTTCTCTATAGTTGTAGCCTGTAATCTATTATTGTGTTTTAATACTATGCCAACTAAGCCTGTATTTCAAGACTACGGTGGCTGCATATACAACATTGCTCGGCGGGAAAAGGGGCAACTCAGTTATTTCTTCAAGGTTAAAATGAAAATAGATTGAGAATTGTAGCTTAGCTTGCAAAAAGTTCAAAATCCAATTCATTGATGCCAGGCTGTATTAAGGAACCGTAATGTTTTCAACCAGTACCCTTCTAGCTTTGGGACGTAAACAAATTTGAGAGGTAATATGTAGACAATTTCATATGCCCAATCTGACATTTGGCTCTAAAATTCTTTGAGAAAATATTAATTATTTATTCAGTGTTCTGACTTATTCAGTACTATTAAAGACGAAAAGCTTTAGTAATATGTTTCACAAATGTTTGATTTTTACAAAGCCATTTTCAAATTCTATTCGACGAAAAGATTGTTTGTACTGAATTTGTTGGTCACGATACACCCTTATTAAATTGCTGCAAGGTCGCCAGATGTACCCAACTGTCGAAGCGCTCTGTCATTGATGTAGAGCTCGCAGATTGTCCTCTCTCTTCCATTATTAATAACAAAGACCTAATCTAACTACAGCTAAAAGCAACTAGGCCCACGTCCTAAACTCTTAATGTCATCAACATGTTTTGCGGAATAGTGTAATACGAAAAAACAGTGTTATAAGAATAAAGTTAAATCGGTTCAGGCCTTTGTAAAATTGTACATTTGTAGATCTTGTTTCTCATGTAGATTTGTAGATACTTTTTTCATGTTTCTGTTGTTCGCCTACCAAAATAATTCTCTTTGTTGTTTTAGGTTTTTCTTCTGCGTCTTGGTCAGTTTGGTGCCATATTGGTTTCTCCTTCGCAAGAGTATCGCAACAATCGCCATGAAAACGGACTCAATAGAATGCAACTTGCTTATCCATTTTATATTGGGAAGTTCCCCGCAGGGGTGCCTACATCAATGCTAACGGTGAGAGTGATTACTGGCTGTGTATATTCTGGACGAGCTGATAAATGTCAAACAACAAATGAAGGTCTTTTTATGACTTAGTCATCCCCAGTCTTTGAAGTTGAATCACATGGACATTCAAACTATTGCAACTTTTTGCGCCTGCTCTTTTGTTCCGAAGGCGGGGGTAGCTCATTTGACAGAAGATTTGAAAGTGTTTGTCCCTCCACAAATTATGTCCATTTGTGTAGGCTGGTTTGACAAATTTTGATTGCAATTCCTCAGAAAGTGGAACTCAGAAGGCTTTTAAAGATTTTTTGGTACAAGTGTAAGGTCTTCTTGATATTTTCCAAAAAGTGGGTATTCTTATGATACAGGGCCAAGTTTCGCTCTGAACACCAATGTCAATTAACATTGCTGGCATCGCTTATTTTCGTGCCCCACTTTGAGCAATGTTCCAATTGAAAAGTGTCCCACCTTGAACAATTTCCTACTTGGAACAATCCCCACTTGGAACAACTTCCTATTCGGAACAATGTGTCACTTAGAACAATGTACCACTTGGAATAATGTGCCAAAAATGTCCCACTAGGAACAATTCCCCACTTTAAACAATGTCCCACTTGGAACAATGCCCAACCTTGAACAATGTCCTACTAAAAAAATTTCCCACTTGGAACAATTTCCCATTTTGAACAATTTTCCACATTGCAAAAAGGTCCCCTTGCGAAACGACTTACCAGGTGCCAAACCATGTGAATTATTTGTTAATTTGTTATACTGTCACCATTTTGGGGGGAAATGGAAGCAGAGGTGGTATAATTTGAGGGAAGAAACGACCAAATTTCGAGAGAAACACCATCGTTTCGTTTTCCTGCATGTTTTAGCAGGCATAGTGTTGTATATGTATATGTTGTGTACGAACCTCAATTTGAGGCTAATACATAATGGTTAATGCCTAATACACTACGCATTGCATAGGCTTGTTTTGGCAGGCATAAGTTTTCATTTCCCATGTTTTTTTTAGAACCCGGCTGGTAGAAATTCGTTTCTTGGATGCATACGACTAGTCCAAGTTGAAAGCGCATCAGCGAGAAAGCTACTTAATCTACAGTAAGAGAGTCTTAACATATCTAGTTTTTTCTTGCTTTCAATTTTCCATCGTTGTTTCTTAGTTCCTCCTAAATCGTAGTTGATTTACAAAGTTGGTTCTGTTTTGAAATACAGTCAGTATGATCAGCCATCTTTTGATAACTGGAACTCGCATTTGTTCAAAAAAAATTGTTTATGCTGATAAATGCAAGGGCAACGCTAAAGAAATTTGGTATTGGGGGTGGGGGTGGTGGTGGGGTGTGGCATCAACCTTTGCCTATTCCCCTGGACGAATGTCATTACCGCATAATGTCATGGCTGTCTTGTATGATTCTGGTTGTCAGATCAAATATGTAAATTGCATTGCTTTTATCACAAACTGGGATTTTGTGCTTAAATGTGGAAATATCTCACAGAGCCGAAGAGGTAAAGGAACAAAACCATTACACCTTTTTGTTCAAATTATTTTCAAATGTCTCTCGCAAAATCTGATATATCGCATTCGCAGACGAAAGTCAGTGTTATCAAAGCGAACCCACTATTTTTTCTTTTCAGAATTGACTGAATTGGGCCGCCTTAATCTCAACGCTTTCTCCAATTCATCTGACATCATCATTATTAGCGAATTTCCTGTAATCGTTAATCATTCGTTTCAAGGCTTTACATACGTTTATCTATAAGCCATCTAAAGCTGAAATCACATTCAGTGACGTCATTGTCATCATATTCGTTCCTGTACTCAGATTGCAGAACAAGTCGCATAACTGCCATTAAACTCTATATCTTTGATCACTGGACTGCAATATGGTCGATTTGTTCTGAAGCTATTACCATTGAGTCCTCGAATAAGCCCGTGGGGGCTTATTTCGCAAAAAATGTTTTTGGGGTGGGGATAATTCGAGTGCAGTTACAATATCACTGCAATGCGCTGGGTTTGTACTATCTGATTATAGAACGTTCCTGATACTTGCTTCTGCAACCATTAATATATCATTACATGCATTCTATGTAGCACATTTGATTACCCTTTGAAACCTCCCGATCCTTTGTAGGACGAATCGAGACCCAGTCTCCAGGAACGTGGGAAGATGCTACCAGACAGTTGTGCCGATGCTAAGGTTTACGGGCACTGGTTACGTAATTGCAGGTTGGTTTGTCTTTAAAAAATTTGAGTTTCCGACATGATTTTTTGCATTTATCACATGTCAAGCTGTTGATATATATTTGTTCACGCCTGTTTTATAGCAGAGATAATTCCCCAGGTTTTGCCCCCTCCTCTCCCCATTAAGTGATTGTACCGTAAGTTGCCCGGTCAATATGACGACAAAAAGCCGGAAAATAGAACAAGATTCCTAATAACAGGCAGAATTTAGTTTTAGAGTTCATGCCTTTGTACCCTGTTTTCAAGTAAAAGAGCTTCTAATTTTCATACTCAAAAGTAAGTGTATGTCAGTCGTTGGCATCTGCGCATGTTGTTTCTTTTATGCAAGAAGAGCGCATCCTCTTTGAGGCACTCTACTTGGCAAGGGCAAATGTCACTCTTTGAGGTCAAACATGGTACAAAACTGCCCGAGCACCCTAGAGAGTTTCTCCTGGACCCGCCCTGGAAGTTTGTTGTGGCCTCCATTGAGCTGACAACACCATGTTTACATTTTACAGTGTTGTTTTGGCTTTTGGAAAGATGTACAACATGCCTCTAGTGTGTATTGTTTGAGCGCGAATGGTTGGTTCAAATTATCAAATTTGACCTATAAAGTTGATGTGAAAATTCTTTGTTTCGAAATAAGATTCGATGTTTACGAATCATTCGACCAATGTTCCAATGGAATTTGGTTTGTTTTGTGTATGGTTGACTTTTCTTATTAAAAATGAAACGTTTTTTCTAAACATAGAACGCCGTCTGCAGACAACATCATCATTCTCGGTGTCCGTACGGTTCCGGACATCGCAGAGGTATGGAATTTTATGGCATCAAACCAGCACCTTTGGCACTGCATCCCTTATGTTGCAACAGCGGTCTGGTCAAGTAAGTCCTATTCTCTTTAATATCCGATTGAAATAAATCAGAGATTTAAAAGAACAAAATATTTTCTCTCTGTTTGCAATTGGCTTATTATCAGTCGGAAGTTTCGTACCCCTCAATCTTCCGAAAATTTCCATCAATTAACGCCACTGCTTGTACTGAAAATCCAATCGCTTGAGAACGCCTTGCGTAATGCAACTTTTGAAACACATCATTTCCCAGTGCACGCGAAAATTTGATTTGTTGCTGTTTTGATAAAAATGCAATCTTTTGAATATGGATTCGCACGGTATGAGAAGCCATGACCCACTTGGAGCATCCCGAAAGCAGGGAGGTTGATGGGTGTGGCCACTTGGTGCGTCCAAAAATGAGATGTTGCTAGTGTGGCCCTTTTAACCTCATTTCAGTGCTATATAAAATGTGACTTATGCCTACCCAGGGCCGCGGAGAGGATTTCTGGGCCCCCATCAAAACAAAAGAAAAAAGCAAGGCACACCGGAGGCGACCCTTTTAAGGGGTCCGGGCAAAATTTTTGAGATGGTTGCTAGAATTGCGGCTATTTTGGTTGCTGAAATTGCAATGGTGGCTATTACTTCATTATTATTTTCAATATAGTTGAAGTATGACTGGTATTCTATCGTCACAATGCATGCAATGTGATTCTTTACATTTTAAAAATCTTAGGAAATGAAAAACGTTTAAATACTAAATTTGATCAAAACGGACATGCTGCACCAAATATATTTTCACTATTCAAATAATTTGAAAAACTTTACATCTAGCAATCAGAATGGAACCCTTAAATGTCAATAAAAACTAGTTGATTCGATCTTGGAGCCCCTATTGACGTTGCCACTGCCCTATAACATTATCTTTTTTACTCTACACAGTTGTTCCTTATCCACGTCACAAGCACGGGATCCAGAAGCCAACTGACATGGACAGATGCGAACATCCCCTCGAACCGAGCAGCTAATATGTCGTATTACCTGTGTAACAATCAGCCACACACAGTCACCGTGGCAAGGTCTTCGTCAAACTACACAATCACTGTCGATTCAAACCCTCCGGTTTCTGGCAGCATCGGCAATACAAATATTGATGGTCCGTTGTACGTTGGAGGTACGTTCTGTGAAATACCTTGGCTGCATATCGTTTTACCGCTGTTACTGCTTTTTGCTTTTTCAAAACCATTTTCAAGTTCTGCACCGCCAAACAACTGCTCAAATTCTAATATAGCATATATTGTGCCATTTTGTATAGCACACTGAAGCTTTGCTATAAAGGATCTTATTTGTGATGGTAACCCGTTTTGTTTATATTAACCAAACCCATTTGTGAAGCTGTTTTAGTGGATGCACCAACTACTAGAGTGTGGTAGGGTAATAGGCCTAGCCCATGAGACCACGCTCTTTGGTGTTTTTCAACATTGCATTTAGTTTTAACTCAAATTAATCTTGTGCCTTTTCTACAGGATCTTCAACGGCTGGACAGCAAGGCCTATCGGGCTGCTTACATAGCCTCGTTCTAAATCGGCGGATCAACGATTTAGCAATGGCTGCCGCATCATCTGACGCAAGGTCAGTCGGCGTTGGATGCAGTGCGACGTAACGTCATTGTGGAGGAAAACACAACCATGTATCAAGTTTTTAGATGGGACTATAAATAAACTGGTTTATTGTAAAGGCTATTTGTTTATAATAAACAATATTGCCCATTAATGTCCCAAAGGGAGGGGCACTGAATACCCTGGTGTAAAGAGACCTGCTGCAAGAGATTTATTATTTTGTGACCCAGCAACACAAAATTTGAAAGATTTCACTTCCCATTAAAACCCCTATATCAAATACCTCCTATAATGCTCAACTGTCTTCTCTTTGAAGTCACATGCTTAGCAATTCCTATCTATTCACGAATTATGGACCTGACCACATTTTTATATACAAGGAATGATGATGTCATTTAGAGGCGAAATGTGGTTTTTAACATCATCAGTTTTTCTCCCAGGAGCAAGTGATACTTGTGGTTTATGTGGCTTGTATCAATTTCTTCCAATTCATTTCTTGACATAAGACAGCCCTTTTTCTCTTGCCTGCACAGAATGGCATATTTACTTCAGGGCCCACGCTACCTATCCTTAACGGGGGGCAGCAATAAGAAAAATTTACCCAGTTACCTCCCCCCCAGGCCCCAAGCTCCCGTTTTGGCAAAGCGTTTTCTGTCACTGTTCCACTTGTGGATTCTGGTTCAATGAATTTGTTGTAATCTACAAGTTTATTCTGATGAAAATTTGGCTAAATCATGTTTTAACAAGGTACCAGGGGGCTTAATTGAAAACATGCATCAAGATTCCCAAGAACGTGATCAGATCGTGATCACGTTCTTGATCAGATCACAGATCGTGAGTAGTTAAGAATCTCTAACTGCTTAAACTAAAGCAAAAACCCCTAGTTAAAAATCTTCATATTTCAACTTTTCAAAGACTTTGCTATCAGGAAGAATTCTAATCCTCTTCTACTATGTCTCCGTGTAGTTTTATAAATATGAGTTGTAAACCATCTCCAAAGTGATTTAGTTTTTTAGTTAAATGTGTAGATTTTATACTGATTTTATACCACTGGAAAGATATGATGTGTTTTTCTTGGATGTTCCTCGCTGGACTGTAATATCTATTGGCTTCGGGTTGACGTCATGGATTTTACATGTTGCTGTCTTTGTCAAAGATGGGCCTCAGATTTGAAAGAATCCCCTAAATTTGTCTATCCCGGAAAATTCATATCGTTTGGATGTCTTAATTTAGTATTTGGAATATTTAGACATTTCTAAAGAGTTGACCCGAGAAAAAATTTCACTGCAGCAACAAGTTTTAGTGAAACGTATAGGAAAATCTAAATTTTCAAAACAGCGTAATTCGCTGCCTGCCTGTCCAAACAACATGACATTTTTGGCACGGCAGGGGTAGCTTCATATTGCCTTTAATAGAAAGATAATATGTTTTCATTTGTTTGATTGAGTTGTTGGGTTTTGCAAATTTGAATGTAGAGTTTTTGGAAAATTCGTATATTTTAGGATATGTTTTCATATTTCAAAATGCCACACCTCCGTCCTCTGTCTATTGAAGTTACCCCTGGGGCACAGATTAATTTCATCAAAAAGATTCTAAATCTATGATCCATTTTTGGCTGAAATGAAGACATATAATTGACAACTCCGACTCGAAACCGAGAATCAATCTTGGGGCTTCACAATTGGGCATCAAATGCATCATGGGTTGTTTCTTTTTGTACTAGGACTCAGGGCCCTTTCACGCTATCAAATCGAGAAAAAGGTATGTTTTTATAACAGCGTTCACAGTAGTGGAAATTCATGTCTCCAGTTTTGGAGGGGGGGGGGGGGGTGTGGCTAAGGGCCATGATTTTCTGACAAGGCATCATCTTGGATAGACGTTCGATACGTTAAATGTTTGTCCATTATTTCCCCACAGTGACCCGAACACAAACGCACAAAAATGAAGCAACTTGGTGGATATGCATAAAAAGGGATCATATGAAAGAGGAGCAGTGTCAACGGGGCCTCATAGGTAAACACTGGGATTTGTCTTGAAATTCGCTAGTATTTTTTATTTACACAAAGTTGTTTCAACTTTAAGTTATTGGTTCTAAAACACTTCTCAACTTCGCCCATCCCGCGTGAAATTACAGTCCCTTTTCACGAGTGTCTGAGAAATTACAAAAAGTTTTTCATACGATTTAGAGTCAATATATGAAGAATGAATGAATGATTTGTCTTAAAAGTTGAATTGATCTGTCTGTATCAAAAAATCAGGTGGATTGAAATTTGGTGTGAATATAAACTACAGTTTGTTGAAGAAGTGTGAAAATTGGCATCTTGACCCCTTTTATATTGAATGGGGAAAGAATGCTGTCTGTGTACAGTAAAGTCGAACTGACCCTTGCTAGAGCAGTCAGAGGGCTGGCTGGTTGCCCAGGTCATTGAATTTCTGTACTGGGGCTAGCGAATGAACCACTGCATCACAGCCCGAAGAGGGTTCTGGGCTTTCATGGCCACACAGAAGGCGCTACGCTGCGCAGTGGTAATGTGTTTTGGCGGCCATTTTGAACCATGCTGGTGAGATGTCAGTGATCAACGTTGTAACCATCATAAAAAACTGGTAAGGAAAGCATTTATTAGGCCTTTGATCAGTTAATAGCGTTTGATATATTTGCAGTTATCGAGAACTGTTTTCACAAACAACACTTTTAACCTCACCTTATAGGCCTACGATGACTTTTTCAGCTTTCGAATTTAACATTTTTCTCAATAAAAATTTGTTGGTCTATCAAGTGCACCTGAAGGCTGCCTGTAACAGGGAAGGATCAAGATCAAAATTTGAAGGTGCTCAGTTTTAGTTGGGGCTGGTGCTACGCCCTTAACAATGTATGGTGACTACTTCTTTTGGATGTTTAAAAATTATTATAATGTTCAGGTCAGTTTATTTTTCTAGTATCTTTGAATTCTAAAGCAGTAAAAAATTGAGCACGGGTTGCCAATAACTGTTTAAAATAATTGATTTGCAATTGAAAACAATTATTTTTTTTAATTTCATGGAAATGTGCCATATGAAATGAAACAAATCGATAAAATAACTGGAAGGCAAACCAAATAATGATAAGAAAAAAATTCTAAGTTCTTATCTCTTTGTTGAAATAAATACTTTATTCCTAATAAAGGTATGATAAGTGTCATAGAAAGGCTGAATTTGATTTCTTTATTCATCATTCTGACAACTGTATTAACCTTTTTACAATTACAGCTATTCCCAACAGAAATAAGTATCATTGAGGTTTTTTTCAGTTTATGTATCATTGATATCTGGTTTTATGGTTTTGAGAAATAACATTATTCTAGACAATCAGTAGGTCTGTAAGGCTGCGTTCTTGGCTACTTAATTAACAATCATATAAGTTTCATAAACACTAAAATGTTTTGTGGATTTCACCAATCAGAAGTGTTTTCAAATAGTTTATGGAAACAAAATTGAAGAGTTGCATTGGAGAGGTCCATGGACAAAATGACAATTGTTTTTAACTCAAAAAATTTTCTAATGCATCTAAGATTTAAATTAATTTACCATGCTTGGCATCAAAAAAGGTAAAGAAAAACAGGATTCTCACAAAATACATGTTTCCAAACTTTTTGTCAATAATTAGAACCAAATTTAAACCTTAGAAAGTTATCAAAAAGGGTTCTATCAGGCATGCATACTGACCAGGGACGTAATTGTAAAAATCTAGCAAGGGGGCTTTATGAAATTTCTAAGTTGTTCTTGTCAGTAATAGCAATTTGGACATGACGAGGGTTATGTTTTTTTCAATCATTGGTTGAGCAGCCAGATATAGTGACTGTGTTGGGTGGCAGCTAAGATCAGAATGCCAACATGGTTCGCAAGGAGAAAAACTTTGAGATGTGACATTCTAAGAGTGGTCAGAAAAGGCATAAAAAATATTTACAGCATCGATAAGGATGAACTTTGTTCTTAAATAATGACTTATTGGTTGGATTTTGAATTGACACATTTTCTCTTATGTTAGCAAAACAGAGGAAATTAAATGAATAAAATGTCATGCAAAATTGTTATTCAGTGGGCTCAGAGAGTATTCAATGTTTGCAGATATGGAAAAATCAATTTTGAAATTAGCACAATATTAAGAACACCCAAGCCCAAAATTATCCAAAAATAAGAACATCAAGCAAAAATTATCTTTTTCTTATAAAAAAAGTGTAGTACATCAAATATTAACAGTACGCATGAAAGAGTCAAATAATAACCCTGGATTACTGTTGTTTTTTGGACTTGTTCACAAGTTTTAGAACCAGCGTCAATTTACAATGGTTTGATGGGAAACAGCTTGATCTCTTTAAATGCTATTCATTGAATCAGTTCTGTTATATTTTACACCGATTTCAAAGAACTCCAGAAAAGGTAAAGTCCTTAATATTTCTCTTTGATTCGGACTACAATAGGTCTATTACCTGGCTGTAGGGTGCAAAGGAAGACAAAAGAGATGGGATCATGTCTTTAAGTCTAGAAAGCACTAGGGGCTTTCTGTCTTGAGTAAAAGAATGTTACATAAATAGCTTTGGTATGGTCTTAGTTGTCTTCTTTCCAGGTGCTGTATTGATTTTAGAGGAACCCCACCGTTCCAAAAAGAATTTCAGAATTTGAGTTGTCATCTGAAAGCTCGAGCGTTTTCGCCATTGCTTTGGCATGTTAATCTTGCTTAAACTAAGCCAAGAGATGTCCAAAGAGACTTAAATTTACTGGCTTTGACGCTACACATTTGTTTATAAGAATACCTAAGTTCTTGCTGAGCCTTGGTAAGCTGAGACAAGATGTAACTGAGTCGCATTATAGTGTTTATGACTCCAATGCCGGACACGTCTATTTCAAGACATATAGCGTGAAACTCGCTTGGTTTGTTTTCCAAAAAACTAAAAAAACAATTAATTCTTGATACAGCTTCTGCTTTGCAGTAGTCTTAAATTATTCCTAAAATTAAGCGATTTTAAGTCTTACTGCTCGTTTTGAACAGGTTTGAACAAAAACAGAAATATTCTTATTAAAATGTGTGTATTATCCTTGTAGAAATTCGTGTTTATATCTACGTGGACGCATAGCTGATGAAAGGCAGTTTGATAAAATTCTGCACGAGCCCAAGCTTTCCATGGGAATTTTTCTTCGAGGGGGCTTAGCCATCTCTTAGCAGCTTTTCGGTGCTTTTTCTTACCAAGTAAAGCAGAAGAACATTGCCTTCTGCATTTAAGAACCAAAAATCGAGAGTGACTTCCAGCTTTTGAGATTTTATATAAAAGAGACACTTTTGGTACGTTTGTGTTGTTTAAAAATCTGTCGTTAACACTTTAGCCTAGTATTTCCTAAATGTAGTAGATTTTTGGTTAATCTACCTATTGAATAAATGGAATGAAACTGAGAGGTTTGAACAAACCCAATTCTTTATTGAAGAAAGAATTAATCTAGCAGGTAATCATATCCAAAAATCAAGCTTAAAATTCTTAACTTTATTTTACAGTTCATTGAAGGTTGTACAGGCCCTCAAGCAAAAAATTTGATACCGTACACAATTATCACAAGTTAGCACCATGGGGTCGACCGCAAACAGTGTTTTGGGAGGTCAACTGGCCGACTGGCAACTCTGGCTGGAAACTGACCGTTATTTAATCGACGGTGAAGTTGCAGGAGCGTAAAAGGTGCAAGACGCATCCAAGTCAAGATGGGGAACAGTTTTGCATTGATCTTTCTTATTCTTGGCTGGTTAACTCTGTCCAACGGTATGTACTGCTTGTCAAACTTTATTCAATAGCGTACATTCGAATATAACAATTGTCCTTCAAATACAACCTCCAACCGATTATTTCTGCGTCTTATTAAACGTTTTATTTCAACGTCTTTAAAAACTTTTGGATAAAACTCAAGTTTATGTTTATGTCTTAAGCGGGGGTGAGGGGTGGGGGTGTAAGGAGGCAAAAAGAGAGTAAGAAAGATTGCCTTCATATAGAGACTGGCAACTACCTGTTCCGTTTCTTTTACAAATTTTGAACATCACAAGAAGAATTTAGACATTTTGTTCAAAACATATAGCTTTGCTGTATTGTGTATAAACTCATTTCCTGCTTTCCTCGAAATATTTAGTTTACAATATGAGTATCGATGCTCTAGCGAAACGTTAACATTTATTTTTCTGCATCGTTAAAGCCGTTAAGGGATTTTTCCTCATATCCTAATCCATTCATAAATCAGAGACTGGCAGACAAGACCGCATTAAAAAATGCGACAGTGGTTAACAAGAAAAACGATACGATCCTAAGTTTTGAATCCATTGATCGAAGACCCTCCCCTGGGCGAATTTCAGCTGCGAGTTTTGATACTTATTTTAGATAAACTTCTTATTTAGCTAATGCATATGTTAAAGGATACTTGTAAAGGGGGGGGGGGGGTTCCACTTTGGCGAATCAGGTCGCGCGACCCTTGCAATCGCTCGATTGCGATCGCAAGATTGATTTCCTCTCTTGAAATTGGGTCGCGCGATCGCTGTCAGCGCCCCAGTAGATTTAGGCGCGTTAACAATATGGCGATTACAAGGCGAAAAATTTTGATTCTCATTTTGTTTAGGCGACGATTAAAAAGAAAGGCGCTGTAGTCTCGTAAGAAAAAGAGATTTTGGGTGAAGAAAAAATATGCAGAAAAATGTGAAAAGGGAGAGTCTCATCAGTTTGTCAGAGAGATGAAACTTTTCGACAAGGAATGCTTCTTGCAACATTAAAGGCAGGTTTCCACTTTTGCGAATCTGGTCGCGCGACCCTTGCGATCGCTCAACTGCGATCGCAGGATTGATTTCCACTCTTGAGATTTGGTCACGCGATCGCTGTCAGTGCCCCAGAAGTATTAGGCGCGTAAACAATATGGCGATTACAAAGCGACAAATTTTGATTCTCATTTTGTTGAGGCGGCGATTAAACAGAATGGCACTGCAGGTTCGCAAAAAAGTTTCCAGTTTAATGCCATTGATGCTACAAATGCCGAAAGAGCCCTTGGTAAAATGAAGAAATTATTTAGATTTGGATCTGACGGTATAGCCAGTCATTTTATCAATGTTGCTTTTCCTATAACTTCACAATCTCTTTGCAGTATCTTCAACTTTTCTATTAATACCGGAAAATTTCCTGATAGTTGGAAAACTGCACGTGTTGCACCTATTTTCAAGAGTGGAGAGCGTAACGATTGGTCTAACTAGAGACCCATCTCCGTTCTTCCTGTTGTATCCAGGCTGTTTGAAAAAAACATCTGTACATGCATCGAACAAACATATGTACATGCATCAGTCGAGTTTCCGAGCTTTACACTCGGTCGTAACATGTTTGCTTAAATCCACTCATGACTGGTACGTTAACATCGATAGTCAACGCTGTAATATTCATTGATCTAAAAAAGGCATTCGACACTGTTGATCATGATATACTCTTGGCGAAAATGCTTCACTATGGCATCAAAGACATGGACCATGATTGGTTCCGTTCCTATTTAAATAATCGTAAGCAGTTCTGCAATGTCAATGGTGTCTCCTCTGAAACTCAGGCCATAGAAATAGGAGTACCACAGGGTTCATGCCTTGGACCTCTCCTCTTTTTATTGTATATAAATGATCTGCCCTTTGCACTGAAAAAACCCATGCTACAATGTATGCTGATGATACAACCATATGTTACGCCTCTGATAATATGGAGGATTCGAATGCTATTGTCAATGCAGAACTTGCAAATCTCAATGGATGGCTTCGCGGGATTAAACTCTCATTGAACGTTATTAAAACTCAAGCAATGATAATAAGCTCAAAACAAAAACTAAGTCATATAAAGAAATCATCATCTGTTAATCCAAGTTTCTACGTAGGAAATGGTGATATTGGATTTGTGAACGAAACTAAATATCTTGGCATAATGATTGATGATAATTTAAAATTGGATTGCCAAATCAAGAGCATCCAAACTAAGATTTCGCGGGCTCTTGGCCTGTTGAAATACGTTAAGCGATATGTTCCAACTAGCACTCTAAATGATATGTATAAGGGTATAGTGGAGCCTCATCTTAACTACTGTTGCTCCGTATGGGGCCCCTGTGAGACCACCAGGTGGATAATTACAAAAACTCCAAAACAGGGCAGCGAGAATAGTAACAAACAGTGATTTTGATACATCTGCAGCACCTTTGATTCATGTTTTAGCATGGCCTACAATCGAGACACCTCTTCACCGCGAAACTTGAACTATGGCCTTTAAATGTCTGAACAATCCAGCCCCAGAATACCTTAGTTGGTGCTTTTCTAAACTATCAGATTGCCATAATCGCGGTTTTCGTAACTCAAAGACTGACTTGCTACCACCCGAATGAGAACATCCTACGGACAAAAATCCTTCGCTTGTCGTGGTGCAAAAGTTTGGGATGAACTTAGAATCATAATTGGCATTCTCCATCTATTGCTTTAAATCGAGACTTAGAACTTACAAGGGTCTCTTCCATGGACAAATCCGTCCTTCTTTTCGTCTCTCTGTCTTTCTTTTTATTATTTTAGCTTGTATTATATTGTACTTTTATATTTAATTAAAATAACGCGGTATTTTTTCACAGGGCCAATTGTAAAACAGGTTTCTACACTGAATTGTTTCCCTGTATAAATAAGTTTAAAATGAAATGAAGTGAAAATGAAAGGGAGATGTTGGGTAAGAAAAATATGTGCAAAGAGATGTGAAAATGAAAGTATCATCAGCTTGTCAAAGAGATAAAACTTTTCGACATTTTCAAACGCAAGAAAATTTGACTGTACTGTTGAGGGTTGACTTTGCTGAAACTAGCATAAAAACGACATGACTTCTGGACCAATTTTTTTCCGTAGTCTTTTTCTCAGCGTAGCAGAGCGTGGAGTTGATTTTTTTATATGCGCCAAAGAAAACAAAACAGGAGAATGAGGCATTTTACGTAAAGCAGAGAAGAAAACAGAGCATCTAATTGATTCTTGATAATTTGGTCGCAGAAAAGTTGGTATCTATTCAACTCCCAAAAACAGTCGCGCGATCGCCAGTGCAAAGGGGAATCACCGCCACTGGATAAAATGCGCATGCCCAAGAGACGGAATGCTTGGAATTTATTGCGAAATGTTCTAAAGCCACGTGTAACCTGTATTTTTGATTGACAGGTTGTCTTCATTAACTAGCCAGAGTTCCAGACCCCAAACTAAAAGTATTGGAATCTGGGGCTCAGGCTATCATTAACGTGATTTCTTCATTTCTACTTTTAATAATTTTTATTGCTTTCTTATTTATTATCATGTTCTCTTACTGTTATCTATCGATGTGCTGTTGTGTCATTTCTAAATTTTGTAATACATAAATTCCGTAATTTTTCATGAGTTTCTAAAGCCGTAAGTATTTTTCATGATTTCACGAGCCGTAAATAGGCCCTCTTGGCCTAGATACCCGTGGTCATAAAAAGGACAAAAGAAACAGTCCTTGCGTTTTACAATGCTTTTAAACCGAGGGGCAATTCACTGTTGCAAATAGCGTGCGAGAATTCCCCGAAAACAAAAGGATTTCCATGAATTTTCAGATAAAATAATAGAATTTTCACCAAAGATGTACGGGATTTTTACGAAGTGAATTGTTCCTCGTGACCCGAAGAACTCCCCCCCCCCCCACTTTCATTCAATTCAACTTACTCAATGAATTTCAATGCTGATCGAATGAAATTTTATTAGAGTTAATTTCACGAGGGATGTTGTAGAATTTGATTTCGCTAGGGGTTCTTATTTTGGCTTATTAGTATTATTCTCATTTGGGTGTCAATTGTCATGCTTCAATTTGGCATTTAAGTCCTGATGCGCTTCTTTGGCGCCATTGGGAATAATAGAGAAGAAGGACTTCTGTAGTTTGGGCTTCTGCGCGAAAGCGTGGGTCCCTTGACTCAGATGGGTGTATTTGACTGCTCTGGGTCGGGATTATCGTGCTTATTTCGTATGCTATTTCCACGCTGTTCTCTTCCCCCGTCCCTCCCTCCCCTTTTGATATCAGGCGTAGCGTGTTTCTCCAAATCCTTGTCTATTCTTTTGTATTAGGCCAGGGTCTGTTTACATCACGGGATTCTTTTCTAAGTTCTTCTAATTTTTCGTTTAGGAAAGACTTGGATCTTAATTCAATCATGTTTCCTCTTCCCCTTTCATATCTTTGGTATCTAAGGTAGGATTGGTGCATCGCTTCTATTGTAAGAAAAGTGAACTTTTCTTGTCCATTCCCTACCCAGAACTTTAAGCTGTTTGTACTTGAGTCTATTAAGCTATATCAAAGGTTAGGATTTTGTATGGGTTAGGTGAAGCAACTTGTGCCGATGCACCAACGGTCCAACGTTGCTTCCTGTGATGAGGGAATGTAGACTCTAGAACTGATTTGATAAGGGATGTGGCAACGTCTTCTGAAGGAGCTTTTTTTAGTTGATTGGAAGCATTTGTTGATGCTTTTTCTCCCAGTAAGAAATTAGATTTTATTTACACTTCATCTTTTCCTTTATAGCTGGGATCTGTTGGCGACGCAAAAATTCTGATGGCAAATGCTCAGGGTTTCGTGGCTTTTACTCAAGTCAAAAATCCTGCTGTGAAGCTGGTGGGTTGGCCTATGGCGGACGAGGCACCATCAAGTCAATTTTATTCGAATTATTTATTGATCCACCTCCCTGCGTTGTCTGTAATAGTAAGTAACAGTGTTTAAGTAGTTCTTTCAGGAGATCTTTCAAATTTCATTGGATACCTTTGTTTCAGAAATGCTACTTCAGGCCAGGATTCGGCTGTTTGTGGTCTGAAGTAGTTCTTTCAGGAGATCTTTCAAATTTCATTGGACACTTTTGTTTCAGAAATGCTACTTCAGGCCTGGATTCGGCTGTTTGTGGACTTTATATGTCTGTCACCAATTTTAAGGTGCTTGATGGTTTCCGGGTATTTTTGTCCTCCATTTTTTCTCCGCTAAAATCTAATATTCATGTGTCAAATACCTCATTAAGAGATGTGTTTAAACTAAAAAATTGGACATTGTACGTTTGCATGTATCAGACATTTTTCTTCCCTTGTATTTGTTTTTGACTTGCTTTTACCACCATCTTTAGGAAAACTTCGAATTTCAATATTATCTTGCGTCTGTGCTTCTTCCATGGCTCTAAAGGTGCATTTAAAACCAAGAAACTTTTTGTGATTTAGTTTAATCAACAGAGGATAAAAATGTAAGTCTTTAAAGTCCTGTTGTCTTTACACTTTCTCTTCAACCCTATCCAGTGGTGGGGCTGCGATGGCCCTCCTGGTGTGGGCAGTCTTCTCTTACTGCGATGCGAAGGCTCCCCTGTGTGATCGGTAAAAGAGAGGGGCAGTGCGGGTGAATGACTCGGCCTTGGGTGTTTGCTTGAAAGACGCAATTAACGCACAAAGTCGGGGGTCGTGATTTCGAGCCTTGCTCGGGTCGGTTATTTTCCCGCACTATCTATTAGAGGTTAAAAAATAACGAGCTTTAGGAGCCAGGCCATGGGCTGAGCTCCTTATTAAGGGAATGCATATTTTGAGAAATTGTGTTGACTTGGTGTACTAATGTGCCTTTCCAGAGGTAATTGTATGGTATACCGTTAAACCTCGAACTGCCCCCCCCCCCTTGAAAAGGCCCCCTCCTCTGCAAACAAGTCCCCACTGCTACCGTAAATCCTCAAATTGGGCTCCTCTCGATTTGTTGATTTTTGCCATCTAAGGATTGCCTTTGGGGTTTTATTGAATTATTCAAAAAATTCATGCTTTTGATAATAATTAATTAAATGTTCATAAAGGAATTCCAACTAAAATATACGAAATCTTTTAATAATGTCTGAACAACGGACAACGGTCTTTTGTTCTAGAACAATGGGACATGTGACGTTATCTTATTGAAACAATAGGCTTGCCCTCCTAATATTTGATCAAGTGTCCGCCCCTGTTTTACCATATGTCAAAAATCCTAAAAATTGATTTCTTGTGACGTCACACTTGAGTATTTGTGACGTCACACTCTATTACTCTTCGTAGGCTCCTGAAAATGAGAATAATATTCTTTAATTTCAGATTCGTGCTCAAAATTAACGTGTGAGGAGGGTATGGCTTGTAGATTGTCTGCAGACGGTTTGCCACTCTGCTATTGCCAAACAGACTGCTCAACGTACAAGCATGGCCCTGTTTGTGGTTCTGATGGTCGTACCTACAAATCGGAATGTTACATGAGAAAACGTTCTTGCGGGCAACATCGGCTAGATGTCGAATATCGTGGCACCTGTAAAAGTAAGTTACGAAATTTATTCTTTCTTATTCCTATTATATTCTTTTATGAAGGTTTCCAAGGATTTCTATTTTATCATTTTTCTCATGTTTATTTTTTTAGGCATGGTAGCCCCCAGTTAGAGGAAAACTCATTTAAAGGGGGCCATGCATTTGAATACAATTTAAGTTAAAATAATTATAATAAATACAATAAAATACAATGAGATTAAATAAAATAAGATTAAAAAAAAATAACATTTAAAAAAAATACTGCGATTCATGCAATGCGGGATTTATGCAAGACCTTTCTTAAATTTCTTTAGGGTTGGTTGACATTTTGTCTTGTCGTCAACCCCTTCCCGAGACTCGCCCCCCTGAATGAGAAACAATTGCATGTTTCTTTCAAGGAAAATTACATGTTTCTTTTTATGTTACGTATATGATAACTTACACATTTGCTTCTATGAAGAAAACTACAGGCACCTGAAGGTTACGATGAAATTATCCGGGGGGTCCGGTCGGATAAGGAGTGTTTGAAAGGAACGGTCCGGAACGCAGGCTTGGGACGTCAGGGTCCAGATAGGAGGGTCTGGCTTTAATGGTATTATTATTATTTTTATTATCAATTTATTTACAGTAGGCTACTAAAAAAAAGCTTATTTGCAGCTAATTAAGGCCTACTACAAACTTAAAGTTTAAAATGCATATTAAAGGTAAAGTTGACACATAAAACAGATCTAATAGATAAATAAACAGCATTACGTATAGAGTACCGAAGTGATGACGTCATAAAAACTCATTTTTAGAATTTCTGAACCTGAAAGAGCATCGTGAAATACCTCTAAATATGCAAATTCAGTCAAAGGCATTACGATTTGGCTGATATATGGCCTCTTGAGCACAGGCTCTTGCCCCATCAAACCTCTGTAATTTGGTCTTGGTTCATAACTTTATGAACCAGGCCAGGATAATAGTGTTAAGAATTGTTGCCCCGAGATCATTCTAATAGAAAACATTTTGCAATGAGTTCCATATCGTATTATCAAATTCACCGTTTTGTAACTCGACTAACTACCAACAGCAAAACATGCAAACATATGGAAACAGGTTTTTGTCAAGAAATATATTGTGTAAAATAAACAATGTGGGTTCACACTTTGTGTAAAAAGAACTACAAGATGACATTGTTTTGTTCATTGTATAGCTAAAATTGTATTCTTAACAAACAGTGATCTGTCAGCAAACTCAAAATCTTTCATTGGCCATAACTTGACTCGCCCAATGTTGAACATATCTAACTGATTTTGCATATTGAGAGGTATTTTATGCTGTTCTTTCAGATTGTGGTCAAATTTAAGAAATTCTAAAAAAATATTTTTGATGACGTCACACTTCGGTACTCTATGTGACATAATTCTTGCCCATTCGTTCCATTTTTTATACGCTTCTTGAGAATTGGAAGGCTGACTTTTTCTTTTATCTCATTTAGTAATTTATTCCATTATATATTATAATTTATTCCATTATCTGCAACCCAGAAAAGATATACTTTCTAGACAATATGTCGTTGTTCATCTTTTTGGGAGCTGTATTGGCACACGAACCCCCTTTTTTCCGATTTGATTGTTTGATGGCCTATTTGATAAAGCAACATCCATTTTTGAAGAGCAGACTGATCTTCGCTTCAAAGTCATAATGGGCTTTGAAGAAAGAAAGCATTTTGGAACATACTTAAGCTTTTCGACTGTCACTTTTCAGAATATAAAACGTCACAACTTGGATCGAAAACTCGACGCTATGAATTATGTTTACCCAGTGGCGAATCGAAAAAGGCCAATCAGACACGCGTTTATTTCGTTCCATTACTGGGAATACAAATTTCCCAACTTTGAGTTTTCGATCTATGTCTTTCCTCTCGATGTGACCATCCCCGTGATTTCTATGCCTGTAACTACAAAAATTCTGGTGACTCTCCTCTCTCTTAGTGAAATATCGGTCATGTCAGCGACTCGAACAAATGCAGTCCCTTTGATCTGTAGTCTGCGACCCTGAGCCATTTTTGCACCAAATTCCAATAATTTGTCTGCCTGATAATTCGTACAAATTTATTTCCACTTGAACTTTCAACTCATCGCTGTTCCTTTGCTTATAGAGAACTGCGTCGGTGTCACGTGCTTAGAGCGTCAGGTTTGTGTAGCAGATAGGAGCGGCAATTCGTACTGCATCAATACACATTGTCCATCGGCTTGTCCTTCAACTGTCAGTAGAGTTTGTGGTACAGATGGAAAAACATATCTGAACAAATGTGCCTTAAAGAAAGCAAGCTGTGTTGGTGGAAGAAAAATCGACTTTGCCTATTTAGGAACATGTGAAGGTACGGTAATTTTGTGTCGCTTCATATTAAACTGCACAATATCGAGTTATGCCAAATTTCACGCCTTAAAGGCTTTTGAAGTTGTTATATTTCGCACTTTACAATGCAAAATATTTTTGATAAGATGCGGATCATTTCTGCCGAGGCTACTTGTTCTTATTTTTTCTAGATATTTTGATGCTCTGGTATTCTAAATCTTGCTCTTATTTCAACATTGATTTTTCTACATTCACTCACTATAAATTGTTTCTAAGGCCACTTAGTAAAAGCCATGCATGATATTCCTAGTAGCACGGTTGATTAGGTAATCAAATGTCTTGTCAACATGAGTGAACATTTTCCTAAACATGTTCTAAAATATTTACATCTGCGGCTGGACATGTTCTTGAAATGTTCTTATTTTTTTGGCAAATCGAGCCTCTGTGTGTTCTTTTATAATGATGAAAATGGTGTTTAGCAGCGATGCTTGAGGTACACCTGCTGATGTTTGAGATAACACCGTTCTCTATAAGTTTTAGAGAACGGTGTTGTCTCAAACATCAGCAGGTGTACCTCAAGCATCGCTGCTAAACACCATTCTCATCACCAGCTGATAATTTTTTAAGCCATATATGGCAGAGGCTGAAATTTGAGCTCACCCCCGTCAAATTATTCAAAGGGCAATAGCCAATTCATTTTGAATAAATGCATAAAACGGCTTATTCTAAGATTTGCAGTGCTCGTCCCCTCAGAACGTAAGTTTTTTGCAGTGAAAAATTCATGTCGAGATGTGCAGTGTCCGAAGAAGACAAAATGTATGTTGGATGTGAATCTTCAACCACGATGTGACTTTTGTGATTGTACTGAAAGTGAACGTGGCCTACCGGTGTGCGGGTCTGATGGCAAAAAGTACAAATCGTGGTGTCACATGCGAAAGCATTCATGCTCCATTGGAAAGATAATAAGAGTGGACCCAAGACTCAAATGCCAGTGAAAGCTTTGTTACAAAATGAAAACGACAGCATGCTTGCTTCGATAAAATTGCCAGGTTTTTTATGTACAAATATTCAGTCCGCCTGTACTATACGATTCCCTACGCTTTATTGCCTGTAGTTTTTCGTTCAGCTTTGTAAATCCAAAACAGATATATGAACTTGCTCTTTCACTTACTTCAAGATGCAACGACGTTTGCACCGATAATGATTAGGAGCAAACGCCTCCTAGCAATCCTTTATGGCATGTCATATCACAATTTGACATGGGCGTTTGCTTTGTACGAGCAGTGATGGCAAAAGTTGACATGGAGAGCAGTAGCGGTGTGGGCCACTAGGCTGTAGGGGAAGACACAATGAAAACGTTAAGGGCGCGCCTTTTCTACAGTAAGAAAAAAGCTTCCCACTAACATGGAACGCCTTTGCTTACCTTTTAAAACGTAAAAGCAATTTCAAAATCATAGCATCGTTTCACGAAGAATACGTTGCCAAAATATCATGCCTCTTCCAACATTTCCTCATCGATTTTAGACGAATTGCAAAATCGACACTGTCGAAAACTAGGATGGAAGTGTTCCTCCTCAGTCCCCTCGTGCCACCGCGATTGCTGGGAAAGTGGGAAGCAATCTTATTACTGAATCCAGCTTGTAAAATGGAACGGTATGGGTAGAAAGAGGGACATGGGTAGAAAAGCAGTTAAGAGTAGTATGCATATTGTGTTCTGTAAGCAGGGGCGTACCTTGAAGATTTGGAGTAGGGGGTGTAAACGGGTGAATTTACCGACCAAAATTCAACTGTTGCTAATCAATGTATACACGCCAATATACTATAAAAAGTCAAGTTGCGCATCCACATTTACCGACCAACTTTCCAAAAGTGTACCACTCCCTCCCCCCCCTCCCACACCCTTTGGTAGGTACGCCCCTGTCTGTAAGTAAGAGGGGAATAAGTTTATTGTTGAAGCATCTGTGTTGCTGTAAAGTGAGGCAGTAGCGAAACAGAGGCTCGTGGAGTAAGTGTTATGGATGCCTTGGATGATCCACGTGTTCGTGAAACAAAGTAAATCAATTTGCATTAAACAAATCGCAATTACCCATTATGAGTATACCTACCTGTAAAATTGTATTACCATAAATATTTTTCACATGAGATCATCAAAATAAGCCAGAACCATGCTAGCAAAACCTGGGGGTATTGAAGATTTCCACTATTCATAATCAAGGTACAGACCAGTGTCCTCTGATTTCTCTTGAAATTTTCGTAAATAAAGCTTAGTTTTTGGTAACTATTTTGGTAAAAGTTTCGTTTTGAAGCTTTGGCTAGATTTTCCGGTATTTTACACATTTTCTCGCGTCAAATATTCCAATTTCTACATATGTAGATACTTCGACATTTACTTGCATTTTTGCTTGTTGCTTCGAAACGATAATAAACAACAGTTTTTTCTAGACATTCCTTAGTTGTCTAGGTTGTTAGCCTTCATTATTTGTAAGTCTTGTCCAATGTAACGTGCTTTAGATGTTCCAGACAAAAGAGATCTAAAGTATGACGTCAGCAAAAGCCTTTTAGAACTTTTGAATTTTAACCACATAACATAAACGAACACCATGAAATACTTCAAATTGTGGAAATTTATTCTAATATGCCTAAAATCGAGATATTGCCAATGAAAGATGTGAAGTTTGCCAACGAATTCTAATAATAGATTTTTGTGACGTCATCATCTTTGAACTCTATTAACTTTGAAATTTTAATTTCGACGTTTACGCTACGTGTGTTGAACCCATGTGGAATAACAGTGCCTGTATTTTCCTTAACTAATGTTATGCATGCTCCCCGATGCTCGCCACTGTCAATTAAAGTAAAGATTTGGCTGTCATAAAGCTATGAACAGAGACGAAATTACAGAGGTTTGATGGAGAAAAAGCCAGTGCACATGTGGCCATACCGTATTTTCTTGAATGGATGCCGCCCCTGAATAGAAGACGCCTTTGATTAGAAGCCGCACGAATTTCGTAAAAACCAAAATAGAAGCCGCCCTTGAATAGAAGCCGCATTTTTTCCTACTGAAGTTAACAGAATAATAGAATAATTGAGGACGTGTATTTTCTTCATCATATCATTACGATTTCCACTTCACTTTGCTCTAAAATTTCATCAGTTAAATCCTCTAAATTATGAATATTATAAATATCCGTTTCTTCTCGAAAGTTGTTTTCTAATGTTGGCCTTGGTACAAATTCGATGCTTGGATTCGATTCACCAAAGAGTACCCTGGCTTCCTCTCAACCAATTCAAAATACATTTGACTAATTTTGCATATTTAGAGGTATTTAATGATGCTCTTTCAGGTTATGGGATTCGATTCAAAAATTGTAAAAAAGGGTTTTTGTGACGTCATCACTTTTGAACTTTATTGTCGCATTATTATTATTATTAGCTATCATATTATTGCGCTCTCAATAGAGGCAATTTAGAAGGGGGTAAGTGCCCCTCTTGTATCATTATTTTTGGAAATTTTATGTTTTTGAGAAAGACTACGGATGAAGTGATTTTTTTCATAATCTTGTATCAACAGTTGTTTTGAAATAGACTCGTTTTAGGGGTGTGTCGAAGTATTGGTTGTTGGAATGTTACTCCCATTTTTTGATGAACAATTTTTGAACTAATCATTGCCAGTGATGTCACTTTTTAAAAGCTTCAGACAAGTGTAAATAGAGAAATGGGCTGTTGCTTTTGGAAACAGTCGGTGGATACTGGTTTTCAAACGATATCTTCTTCTCCGATCATTTTAAATCTGTTTTAATCCTAAACTAATCACCTGCTCACCTGCTCTCCAATCACCTGCTCTTGTCACGTCTCTCAATCTTCCCTTGGCATCTTCAACATCAAATTATCTCAAAATCAGGTCTGAGGAGATGCCATCGCTCAACACCTGCGAGTCCTAGGTGGTCACACCCTTGTAAAGAATTGTGGCAACACTGATTTTTAGAATGTGAATTCTGGAAATGGAAATATTGCGATGAATCTGTCTGAGTTGATCTATTCAGTCATCGCATCGTTGTTGTTTTCTTGCGCTGGTTTCGTTCGTTTAAACAATCGCGTTTGCTTACAATCAGTTACACTTTAATTATGGACACTAAAACAAAATATAACAATAAGAAACTGTAGAAACTGTAGCACAGAGGAGCTACAAGAAATCGCAGGGGGACGAATTTAGGGCACGGCCTTCATAGGGGATGCGACGCTTTTCCTGAAAGACTGCGGTGACAGTGAAAATATTTGAAGAGAAAATAAAGTGAGAAGGCAGTGATTGTCTTTCGTTTTTTCGGATCGAAATGTCGCGAAACTGTGCAGCCTTCAGCGCGAACTTCTACCCAGTCCTTTTTCGATCTGCGCGTGAAAATGTTGGGTGAAATGTTGGATGAAATGTTGGATCGTTTGACCACCATCGTTGGGTCACATTTCACCATAAAAGAAAAATTTTGGGCGAAATATGGTTGAAATGTTGGGTCGTTTGTCGCTTGATCCGTTTCAGTTTTGCTACGGAACAAAAAGTGATCCGTAGCATTCTAAACGGGATCTTATGTAGGATCATAGTTTGCCCGTGGCCTCTTGGCGGCATCAATAGTAGCCATCAAAGGAAGAGAAACTGTCTGAAAATTTCCGTTTATTGGCCTAAGCGGATCACGCATTGACAAAAATATCCCACGCATTGACAGAAGTGGGGATGAGGGGCAGGGGGGATAATCAGTGGCGCGCCAAGGGGGGTATGGGGGTAATAACCAAAACATGGTCTACATATTTCTTCTAATAACGGATTGAAAGACGCTAGGTAGAGGTAGTTCATAAATTTTCCGAAGAAAATCAACTTGGTGCAAAGGACTAAAACGAGGCAAAAGGGGCGTGGTCTCACGGACCACGCCAATTACCCTCCCAGCCAGAAGTAACTGGCGCCGCCACTGGTGGCAATGTACATTCAAGTTGGTCTCCATAAGCCTTCCTGCATTTTGCATTTGATACCGTTTAACCATTTTTAGGGCCTGTTTTATATGAGCAAAATTATCCCACCAATGAGAAGGTCCGCCATTTGTTAAATTGCTTGAATTACAAATACAAGTTCAAGCTCGCGTTCCAAGGATTGGATTTTGATGCAGATAGGCCATTGCATTCCCATTTCCATTCACATGCCTGAAGGACAGCTGGGAGGAGAGCTAAAAAAGAAGCAACATGCTGGAAGGTAGGATGAAATTTGCATGTAAACATGCGGTGATTTTATCCCACTTGCCAGCCCATATGCTTGAAGGTGGGATAACTTTGCTCATATAAACAGGCCCTTATAGACAGGTCCCAAAAGAGAAAAATCGGAAAAATTGTCCAGTCAAAGTTCTGAAAACGATTTTAGGGCCGCTAGACATTGCAGAATCAAATTTCACTTGGGGACTTTTGAATTTTTTCCTTATTTTCAAAATGGTGGCTCAGTTGCAAAATGGCGGACTTTTAACTTTTAACAATTTAAGAATTAAATAGGCATATTCTTACATCAAGCGCAAGTTTTTGATATCTTCAAGCAGATAACTATATCTTTTTGTAAATATTCTGTAGTAATTATCTTTTACCATTTCCCTTCATAATGGCGGCATAAATTCAATATGGCGGGTATTCAGAATTTTGCTTGCACATATCCTTTTTTGCCGAGTATTTGGATACGAAGATGTTTTGATGTGCTTTAAGTCGCTATAGTCGATACCAGATGAAACACATAATGGTAGATTTGAAAAATGGTGCATTCTGCCACAAGAAATATTCTAACTAATGATATGGTCCTTCTGCCAACAAAACAAATGTTTTTCTGTGCAAAGCAGTATTGTTAGTGAAGGTCCCCAAAACTGCTGTCTGAATCCCAGTCATCTTCATAATTATCTTCTTCCTTTGCTTCTTTCTCTTGTTCTTCATCTTTTTCTCCTGTTTCATCAAATTCATCTTCTGAAGTCAAAGTCGTAAACAGACTCTCGACTTCCACATTCCGTTCTTCTGCCTCTTTTGTTCTGATTCGTTTTTCTGGGGGTTCCTGTTCATCGCGCGATCAAATCTCTCCATCTAAATGCACTCCTGGGTCTAAAAGAATCAGTCTCATGACGTAAAGCAGGAAGACCAATCAACGATAAGAAATTGGAATCAGGCTGGTAGAGCTATTCTGGAAACAACTAGTAGATAAATTTCGACAATGCAGAACTGCTAAGATTCAGAAAAGAAAAATTGCTAATCAACTTTTAACTGCTTAGTTGCTTACCATAAATTTCTGCCTCTTCGTTAATGTCTGTCATATCTGGTGGAAACTGGCTGCACGAATACCACAATGGCTTGATGAAACCGACATTCTGACTCCAACCAAAAGTTTCGTCAATGGTAGGGAAATCAATTTGACTCTCAGTACAATGACACCAAACATAGCATTGCAGCCAACTTCGCTTAAGGTGTTGCATGGCACTGTTTTCATCCGGAATTATTCCCTCACTAGACTTCAATTTTTGCTTTTGGTATATTCTTACTCTTGTATCTAGGTAGCTTTCTTTTATTTCTCCATTATACATGATACTTCGAAAGGATTCTTTGGCTGCTAGCAGGCTATCATCCGTCAGAAATCTGCAGCCAAATGTCGAAAGAAGGTCATATAAACGCATTTTCATCAGCTTTTTCCATGGGGCAACTTTACCAACTCTAAATGGAAATGATGTCGTGTCACATCCAGTTATGCTGTGAAAAGCTGGTAAGACATTGCATGCTTCCGAACCGATGTGATCAGCAATTGCGGCAACGTTGACGAAATTTTGATGGTCGATTTTCATTTGCCATGGTCGATCAATATCTCTCCATGAATAGATATGCACCATCAAAACCAGGACGTCGGTGTCTGTTGCGCTAATAATGACGGGCATATCGTCGACTTGGGTAGCAACATAGATTAGACGGGTGTCAGCTTCGAAATGATTACAGTCCTCTAATTCGGTGATGCTTGTGGTTGTTAGAAGCCATGACTTCTCATTTTCTGTAATAATTGTTGGTATTCTGATGAGACGTGACCGGTTCTCTTGACGAGAAAGTGGATCAGCTCAGTTTTATTTTCGGGGTTGTGTAGAAAAGAGTTCCATTCACTCTGCCTGGGCATATTTTGCTGGGGGCTTGTTATAAAGGTCCGTCTTCCTGGCATTCCACGGCGCAACTGTGGTAGCTGTTTTATGTTGCTTTCTTTGTAGCAATCAAAGATAATGCCTAACCTTAAAGGAGACGAGTCTCTACTTGGTGTGCAAAAACTGAAGAATGCTGTTGCGTACTCACCCCATGTATTTTTACGTAGAATCGTCCTTACAACAGCCATACCATCCACGATCCAAAATGCCCCCGTTTCTGGTTGTGTCGTCGAAGCATTTGCTTCTTCAATTAGATGTTTTCTTAGTGCAGCTTTTGAGCCTTGTCTAAGATCACCATCTGGCGATGCTAGAGCTAAGGGAACACTGGCGAGTGGATATGAAAGCAATTCCTCTGTGGACTTATTTTTGCCTATCATTGCACCAAAGGCTTGCCGATCTTCCTTCAAGCTGCTTATTATCTTTGGCACTTTCTTCACTTTTTCCAGACCTGTTTTCAGTTTGGGGTTACAAACTCTTTCGAAAATGCTGGCCCTGTCATTAGCGTTTTTCAGCCTTTTTTGAAAAAATTCTTTAAATATTTCATTTACCATTTGGGTTGACAACAAAAGACCTGTTTTAACTGCTTCATCAATTTGGCAGCCAGTTTTAAAATGTCGGGCGGGACTAGCCAAAAAAGGGTCAAAGTAGCTGTCCAATTTGTTGATAAGGCTTTGTATCATTATTTCGTGCTTCTTTCGAGCGCCTACACTTGTTTCCTTGTGTGACGACGTTGTAAATACTCTCAACCTCTCTTTCAGCTTCATCCGTAAGTTTGCTATAAAGTGACTTGTTTTCATGAAGGTGTCTACAGCAGTTATATCTGTGCTGAAGCCTCCTTGCATTGGGCCTCCTCTGGCTGTTACCTCTCTGTTTATTGTCATCTCTGTAATTAACTCGCCATGCATGGTAGAAAATGACTCGCAAGAGACCGATCCGCCATATTCGTTTTCCAACAGGTCTTGCCAAATTGTTGCATGGTTCCTCTTGATGTCTAGAAGGTTGACATGCTGGAATGAAAGATACCGCGCATAATTCGGATGGCCAAATGCAAAACACTTGGGTATCAATGCCCTCTCGGCTGCAAGATGCCGCTCAATTGTATTTTCCCTTACTGAACTTATCAGACATAGCATTGCCGAAACATCTTTAAGATACTGCACAATCATCTTCGCTTGCGTTTCGTTATGATTTAATATTGCATTCTCGAAGAGGAGCTGAAATGCAGGTTGTGCCAAGACTGATGTAAGCGTTACTGGAGACTGATTTACCCGTAAGTCTGCAATTGATTGCTTCAAATGATTATCAAGAACGTGCAAACTGGCTAGCTGCTTGATACTGAAATGCAGGAGTGCTTCAAATGATTGCTTGTGGAGTCTAACACTACGATGATAGTGACGACCCTCTATTGCCTTGTCTACAGATCGTTATCGCATGCAAGGATTACATCATTCACAGATAGTTAGGAAAAAGGATTAGTGCAAGATCAAAATGGTAATTTCTGAATACCCGCCATATTGAATTTATGCTGCCATTATGAAGGGAAACGGCAAAAGATAATTTCTACGGAATATTTACAAAAAGATATAGTTATCTGCTTGAAGATATCAAAAACTTGCGCTTGATGTAAGAATATGCCTATTTAATTCTTAAATTGTTAAAAGTTAAAAGTCCGCCATTTTGCAACTGAGCCGCCATTTTGAAAATAAGGAAAAAATTCAAAAGTCCCCAAGTGAAATTTGATTCTGCAATGTCTAGCGGCCCTAAAATGGTTTTCAGTACTTTGACTGGACAATTTTTCCGATTTTTCTCGTTTGGGACCTGTCTATTAGCTCTATTATCATCATTGACCACCGATTATGTGACCCCGATTTGACCACAGATTAACAGAATAGAATTCGCATTCTTTGTCATGGTTTGGTAGACAGACACAGAATTTATTTCAGACTTACAATCTAATGAAAGAAATTGTTTTAGTGTGTTCCTTCCAATCTAATGTGTTATCGATCTGTATTCCAAGATATTTGGTTTTTCGAACAACATCCAGCTCATTGTTCTGAATTTTTAGCTTTAAAGATTCGTCTTGATTCTTTAATGATTCTTTTATGCTTAGGTTTGGTGGAAATAAGCAGGGCATGTGTTTTCATTACATTCAGTGAAAGTTTGTTACCCCTGAGCCATTTTTCAACGTGTGCAAGGTCATTATTGATGGCCTCATTCAGCTGAGTGATATCATGCGATTGATGGCAAAGACTCGTGTCATCTGCATACATAGACACATTTGTTTTTGGACAGCTAGTGGGAGGTCATTTATATAAATGAGAGGACCAAGACATGAGCCTTGGGGTAAACCAATAAAGCTTGGGGTACTCATAAAGCAATTAATTCTGTTTTAACATGGAATTGTTTGAAAGTAAAAAAATACACTTAAAAAGTAAACATTTTTAACGAATGAATGAATTCAAGCTATTCATAAGGGCGTGGTCACAAGATTTTGTTGCTCGCTCCGCTCGCAAGAGGTCTTTTATTCCCCCCTCGGGTCTCCAATGTAGACAATAAAATGTAGACATCAGTCAAATACAGTGGGGTCATTCAGTGTCGTCTCAATGGTTTTAGTTCGACAGTTTTAGATATTGTCGCAGCCAATCGTTTGAGTATGGAGGGCTTCGATATAAATCAAAGGCTAGAGAGAATCGGGTTTGGAAAATTTAACATCATTGCATTATTGATTGTGGGGCTGAGAGATCTTTCGTCCGCATCGTCTGTAAGCATCGTGGCAATAATCGAACCGTATCTTCGCTGCCACTGGAATCTAACCTATATGACTGCAGCATGGCTTGTCCTTCCTGAAGCACTCACAAATATAGCTGGCTCAATCTTTATTGGCAAGTTGTCTGATACATACGGTAGAAGGAAAACTATGATATTTACATTCATTTTGAACTCTTATTTGACGCTGCTGTATTCGTTGTCTTCAAACTTGTTACTTATGGCCATTATTCGAGGGTTCATTGGCCTAGTGTCGTCAAGCAATATGATTGCATTCACATATGCTATGGAAGTATTGCCGCTTTCAAAACGCAAATATATGTCGTTTTTTAAGATTTCATATTTTGTTGGAAATGGACTTGGCATTCTAGTTGGGATGGTCTCGCTGACGTATTTAACATGGCGATGGTCTATCGTTCTTGCAGAGACTATACCCATAGCCCTGACTGCAGGCTTCACGTTTTATCTGCCAGAATCCCCGAGGTATCTTATTGCCGCTGAAAAATTTGACGAGGCAGAAGAATCGCTACAAATTATTGCTGAAATGAATGGCATCGATTATGGCTATATCTCAGTACCTGGAGAAAGCTCTGGAGCAGGCGATGTGGGGCAGTATGACAAAAAATTACAGGAATCAGAGGAGCAAACATCAAAGCGCGAAATCGCAAAACGAATTGCAGTTGTGTCTTTCCTACAATTTTCTGGATTTTTATTTTCTGGCACAATGCGTTTCGGATCAATGCAATTTGGCGAGAATTCCGACATTTCCGAATGTGGAAGATGCTCCACAAACATGACATACAAATATCGTTGGGCTATGGAGGTTGCCATCTTATCTTCAGCTATTCCTTTGTACTGGCTGATTGATAAAGTCGCGAGAAAACGGACGTTCACGATTCTACTGGCGTATATCAGTGCATGTATTGTGCCATTTTACTGGGATATCCGTGGATGGCCTCTGATAATAATGATGACACTAATTTGCGTTGGGTTTACGGCGATGAATATGCTTATATTTGTTTACAGGGCTGAAATCCTTCCTACCCCAATAAGGGCCTTTGGTTGTGGCATCTCTGAAGCTTGTGGCAAAGCCGGGGTTTGCCTAGGACAACTCATCGCCCTGTTTGTTCACCATGTTGATATCTACCTCTCGTTTGGCATTTTGCACGTGATTACTACTGTGGGGCTTATTATATCGATTACTGCTCTTGTAGAGACCAAGCACATTAACTTAAAATGAGTTGGTTTATACATACATAACGTTTGACATGCGTAAATCATTTATTGACAAAAAACATTTAATTTTGTAAAAGAGTATGCTCAGATTCCTAGTTTTTCGTCTCGCTATGCTCTTTCCTGTTTTTAGTTTTTGGCAAAGGCTGGCAGCTGGGAGGAGTGCCCAAAATATTGTTCTATGGTCATTTTGTTCCATTTTCAATTTTAAATGTGAATAAAGTTTCTTTTCTGCTTTTTTTTCGTTTCGCTCTACATTCCTCCTTCATCATAATGTAAAATAGAGTTCTCAAGTAGGACGTCACCAAAAAGCTATTTTTAGAGTTTTTGAATTTTGATCACTGAAGAGTCCTCAATTATACAAAGAGTAACACTCATATAAAACGTGCTTCTGTCACTTCGGTGTTACATCATAATAACCTCATAATTAAACAGCCTCGTTTAGAACATTACAATCACATAACTTTAAAGATCACCATGAAAAACTTGCTAACATGCAAAATTGGCCAAATATGTCTAAAATCGGTTGAGATATGGCTAATGAAAGATTTGAAGTTTGCCAACGAATCACTGTTATTTTGGCTCTGTTCATCAAGCTATGAACAGAGACCAAAATACAGAGGTTTGATGGGGAAAGAGCCAATACATATGTGGCCATATCTCTGCCAATTCTTAACACAATTGACGATTTTTTTTATTTAGAAATATTTTATGATGCTCTTTCAGGTTATGGAATCCAAATACAAAAATTCTAAAAATAGATATCTGTGACGCCAGCACTTTAGAACTTTATACCGTGAAAAAGTATAATACTCCCAAATGTTAAATTAGTGACATCATAGCTAAAAAACTCTTAAGAAACAACCAGTATTGGAACTTCTAAAGCCCCCCCCCCCACTAAAGCGTAGAGCAACTGAGAGTACTCACGGGCTCATGGTCTCCAAATACCCTGGGTGCCAGAGCTGCAGTGAAAGAGTTGGTCGGTGAAGAACGGGTCCGTCCTATTTTTATGGTCCGACCACTGCCCGACCATCTCTTTTTTCATTTTATCGATATTTATACACAAGATGCCTTTCAGCCAATAAACAGCCTATTAAGAATATTTTCTCAATAATGATAAAAGAATTAAAATAATAATGTTATGAAATGCGGCTTTGGGATTCAGGGTAGTGTCCAGATAAAAACACTAGGGGTGTACCGGATCAGGATTTTCAGAATCCGGCCGGAACCGGATTTAACGGATTTCTTCGTGGAATATCCGGCCGGATTCTACCGGATAATCTGACCATTTATAGAATTTTCAGTAATAAAAAGTTTTGAGCCACTTTGCGAAAAAATGTATAGCGAGAAGATCAAAGAGACCTATTCAGGGTTGCCAGATTGAATTTACAAACGAAGGCTAGACTGGTGAGCAATTTAAGCCAAAATGCTCATAAAAAGGCAAAATCAAAAACTCTCTCAAGAATCCATCGAGCAGGCACTGGTTATATTTCTACGCTTGTGCCTGTTAGATAATTTCTTAGCTTTGATAAGAATCTTACTTTTTTCCAAAACCCTTTGCTAATATCAAGATAATATTTAGGTTAGGTGATAAAATTTGAAATTTGGTAAACACTTTGTAGTTAACTACTAATTATTCTATGAATGTAGTAATTACTTATTTATTTTGGACGTCTGCTGAAAAGGCCAACAAGGTCAAATTTAAGTAGTAAGCAAAAAACAATTTTTCCAGGCAATCTAAATCTAAAAACCAAAAATGAAAAATTTGGCCTAAAAAGCCGATCTGGCAACCATGGACCAAATTTGTGAATTATATAATCCAGTTATCCTGTTTCGTGATGACGAGCACTTTCATTTCAAATCTGTTTTCAAGGCGCTTGTTTTATCGTCGATATTTTTTAGTTATGGAAAATCCACTTTTAATCACTGTATGAAGGGAGTCTGACTTGGTTTTCCAAATTTTCTTAGTTATGATTAAAGTTCTGGAAAATCCGGCAACTGGCCGGATTTCGGAAACAAATCCGGCCGGAACCGGATTTTCAAAAAATCAGCGATCCGGCGCCGGATTATCCGGCCTACCGGATATCCGGTACATCCCTAAAGAACACTAGCGTAATTTTAACCTTAAATGAGAAACATTTGCTTTAGAATAAATTAATAAAGAGTTAAAGTGTTTTCATTAAAACGTAGTACCTGCTAGTTGCTCTGGAAATCTCTAGGGGTAACAAAGTCACATTAACCAATCAGAGGCCACATCCGGTTTCACCTTGCTTTTTATACGGGCAACTGTCATTGCTTTAAAAATTGTTTTCTTAGAATTCACAGCTGTTTTCCTTGAAATACGATAATATCACATGAGTAGGATTGTCAGTATATTGTCTCTCTTTACTGGGACTGCGGTTCTCAGAACTACAGTGAGTACCCGCATATTAGAAACCCCTTGTATAAGAAATAGGCCTCATTTTCTTCTAAAGGGGCTCACTTAATAGGAAAAAATTGTAGAGCTGAAGTTTTAATTTTTCTCATATTCAAGTATAATCATTCGTGTTTTAAATTATCTGTTTCTGCTCCAGGATGGTTGTAGTGTGTGTATTTCATGGATATGGAAAATTATACTGTAGATTATGTATTTTACGCTTATATCAGAAATTTTATCCAAGCTCATTGAAAAGGTATCAGAACCTGGCTATTCCCTCAAAAATTACAAACCAATTAGAAATTTTCCAGTGGAGAAGCTTGATCTTCCGACGAGGGGGGGGGGGGTAGATTGGCAATTGGAACGAGGACCTGAAAATTTAGAATTAGATGAATCGCGGGATAAAGCGTGATAATAGATAGGTAATATATTATCTGGTCTCTTTCCGAGGTATTTCTGTTTTCTAGCGTTTCTATCTTTGGAGAGGGGGGCTGGCAGAAAGCAAAATTCGTGGAAATTAAGATAATTCCCTTATTTTACTAACTGGTAAGGCCATGGAACCATTGTATTGTTCAGTATTGCTACAAATCGCTGACATGGGCCTTCTAAATAAGATACTGCTGATGGTGCAAATGTTACATTAGCCATTCAAAGTGGCCCACCTTTTGAATTAAAATAAAGCCAGCAGGTCAACAAAATAGATTTGCGTTGGACTTTCAAATTTTTGCAGGCATTGCTTCCTATGGTGAACACTTCTTAGGATCTGAATTTCACAACTGTTATAGAATTTCTTCGACTGTGATCTTTCTGAAGGAGAAGGTCATGGTGCTTTTGGCGGACGACTTTATTTTGAGGACACTGGGGTGTGACTGAAAACGTTTTACAATTGTTAAGCAGGGATCGTCCTCGTGATTATTCAAAGGCTCTTGCTCGTGTTTATCGGCGATACACAAAGTTCCCGTTATATTTGCAAAAAAATTATTTAGAATTTCAGCAACTTTGCCCTCATCTGATTTAACGACACCATTTTCTAAAAGAGTGATACAAGAGCTATCGATCGAATTAGATCGATTGAAAGTTCAAATCATTAGAATTTTTCTTTCAGCGGTCGAGGGGGAGTCTCCGGTATGCTATTTGCGCATATGTGAAATCGATTCGATCGCTTTCATTAACTCAGCATAAATTGACCTTTTTTGTTTAGTATTTGTGTTTTCTCGGAAAAATCCCGCAAATAGATGGTGACAACATACGAAGAATCCCTTAATCACCAGCTGGGTATTGTGGAGCGGACAAATCTTGATTGGTTTTTGAAGAGACCCTCTTCCTGGGAATCCTCAAGGAAAGAAAACAGAAATTTCAACAAACAGGGCGGAAAACGTCGAGGGAGTGGTAAGTACAACTCGCATATTTTCTTCAGCCGAATAAGATCAAACAAATATGCACGGTAGATTTTTAGATATGAGATCCAATATCAGTATAAAAAATTATCAAAATATGTTGCCAAATTTTGCATCTGGCTTTTAAACGAGGGTTGGCCTGGAGGATTACCAAGAAGGGGATATCGCTAACAATCAATCAAGAGTTGACTGGTATGTTTGGTTGTGGTTAATGGTTAATTTCTTGTTTTCTTGGAAATCATTTGACGAAATTCGGTGAGGGCATAAGTTTTAAAGCTCTGAAATATTTCATTTATTATGTTATTTCTAGATGAAAGGTGGTGACTGTAAGACGAATTAAAACATTTCTGAGGTAAATTTCATATTCATGCTGCAAGTGGAATATCTTGGTGAGTTTATCTCATATTTTGAAATCCGCCAGCAATCTTTTTGTGGTACAAAATTTATAAATGGCTTAGAAAGAAGCAACATTTTGATGCAAACTAAAGTTTTTCGTCTGACACTAATCAAAGTTTAAAACGTCAGAACATAGACCGTTAGTCTAACCACACTTACGTGACAAAAGTATTAGGACGATCGCCTCGAAGCAAATGTGGTTAATCCTTTGCTCAAAGAACAGCATAGAAAATCGGTGAAACATAACGAGATTGCTGGTTGAGATTTTCGATGGCAATTTTACCCGATTGTAAAATAAACATAAATTTAATACTCTAGTAAAATGCCTAGTAAAACTTAACTTTAGATGAAGTAAACTTTTTTTGAAGCTTAAAAGTTTGATTTTATAATTTCTTTTATAATTTTTTTTGTTATGCAAACTTGAAATTTAAGAGTTTTATTTGTTTGGACAGCTCTAAAGTTTTTGGAAGGTCATGTGACTTTGCCATTGTTAGGCCATTCAACCCTTCTGCATTTTGTTGTTATATTCAGGAAAATATTAAGAATCCTATGTTTTCAAGGTTATACTTTATAAGTTGAAGCATTTTCTTAACTTTTCATTCCATTTTGGGGAAACGTAGGCCTAGATTATTTGTAGAAAGACTGCCCAAATCTGAAAAAGTTTCCGTTGCAAAACCGAATCCAACGGAATGCCATAATTCGTTTATCGAATTCGTCCCAATACTTTTTTAACGTAAGTGTAGATTGCAAAAGAGTAAACTTTTTAGACCAGTCGCATTTGCTTTATTCTATATTTTGTCAGATGACCTCTAAGAATCCAGGATACAGGAGGAAATCTAAATAAAATTTTAAAATAGCGTATTCTTGGTCTTTGAAGATTCCATTTCTTGTATTTTTTAATGAAAACCAGTTGTTTTCAATTACATCAAGGCTTTGACTTTGAGGGGATTGTTGAAAGACCATTATGTTATTGTTCTTGGAAACTTATGTCACAATTGCAACCTAACAAGGTTTAATGCCTTGCTTGAAAATAAGTGGTATTTCAAAAGAATCATTAGTTGTTTCTATACTTGCCTGGGGACTTAAAACAAATAATTGGACAAAATATTCAGCATTGATTGACTTCGCACACAACGCCAGCTTGCAGGTGCCATTAGGCCCATCCAGTAGTCGGCCTGCCCTGGCCTACCATTCTTTTAATTTTAGTAGGCCTTGTTAACTTGTTGTTCTTGTAAATAGCATGTGTTGTAGACTTGCTGCAACCAAACTTTCTTGTAGTTTTAGCAAACAAATGACTCGCTAGTCCCAAATATTTTATTGCTTCTCATTTTTCTTTCTGGTCGTTTTTGTGTTTTCGGCGTTGAAACTAAAACGTTGATATTTTCTATTTCTCCATGACATTTTGTTACTTTTCTATCATAGAAAGGTAGAAATAAATTGAATTTGTTAGGAATTGCGTTATTGATGACGCCATTTCTAGAATCCCGCCAAAACAGCAAGATTTGTTCAATCAATGTTAGAATGCTAGTTTTGGAGCCGCCATTTTGTTATTCATCGTCCTAATATTTTTGTCATGTGAATATATAAAGTCTAGCCTGGAGTTTACGAAAAATGTTTACATCATGATCTCGTTTTGCAGATAAATATTATAAACAACTGCATTTCAATTTATTCCAAGCATCTAAAAGCCGGCAAGTGCTCTAGTTTGGTGTTTCGAATAACCTGCAGTCCTGTAGCAAACAGGGCCGGCGAAACGTATTTAAAAGTACCCTGGGTGCCAGAGCCTCAGAGAGTCAAAGGATGAAGAACGGGGGAAGGAATTGCGAAGGATCCTTTGACTCTCTGAGGCTCTGGCACCCAGGGTAATTTAAAAGTGGAGAAACCAAAATATCAAAGTCTTGAAAGGGCTTAGAAAAGGCCTTGACTTGAAATAGGAAAGGTCTTGCAAAGTTTTTAAAATAACCTTTATAATATAGCTCGTAATGAAACTTTTTTAGATTTTGAAAATACCCAAAATAGGATGGGGGAGAAAATTAAATAAAACACTAATAAAAAATTTAATAAAAAACATTAACATTGAAATATCAATAGAAGAACTATCAGTTAAAAATAAAAATGAAGCATTTTATATAGTTGGGATATTATTTTGTAACATCTGATCTTAAACTTGTTTGAAACAAAGGGTTTTTAACAAAAAAGACTCTAGACTTGAAAAACTTGAGACCGGGCTGATCAAAACGAGTTTTAATAGATTTTACAATTGCATCTAATTTGCAGCTCTTTCTTTTCCTTCAGCAGCTGACTCATCTCTTTTTGTAATGTTTCTGAGAAAGTTTTCGTTAATAAACAGACCTTGTTTGCCAAAAACGAATCTCCGTCAATTTGTGCTGGCATCAACTTGATCTATTTCCTAAAAAACAGTTGCTCGTTGTACAACTTTGACAATGACCGATTTCTTCGATCAAATTCCAATATTCACTTTTATATATGTCTTCTATGGTTAAGACATAGCAACGAAGCTAAAGCTAAGGGCATAGTTAAGGGATTACTAAGCACAGTTACTTAGAGAGTGATATAGTAGATTTCTGTCCACTTTTGCCTGAAAAAATTTATTTTACTCTGCAGACTGCAGAGTGGGGGGGGCATGGCCCTCTGCCCCCTGGTTTCGCCGGCCCAAGCAAATTCCGAAGGTCTCTAGCGTAGAGTTATGTTATTTGGCGTGATTTTATCGTGGGGAAAACATCGTACGGCGTGTAGCGTACAACTGAAATTTCAGTGAAATGATATTGTGGTGTAAAGCTCGTTCTGCTTTTGTTTTTGAGTATACCTCTGCATCATCTTTCATGTCTAATGTATTAATGATTTGTCTGCAAGTTATGGGGGGTAGGTAGCCCGTTCTCACTTCTAGCCCGTTCTCTGAATTTATAAAGCGAGATAATTTACGGACCGGATTGTGCAACTTTTTATCGTTGTAAAATTTCCAGCTCTCTTGGTCTGTGCTTTAGTCTTTCGCCAACTAACTATAGCCAATCAATGAATGAGCTTGAAGACCCGTGATTGTAGAGCAACTAATCGACTTCTGATATCGCTTGTGCTCACTTTTGGCGGGAGCACCCCATATTTTCAAACGTAGTTCAAATTCTCATTTAGGCAGGCGGAAGAAGCGTGTTGCAGTTGCTCGTTGTGTAGAAATGGCGATCGGCACTCACAACAGAACCTAGGCAATTTCTTTTGACTGTTGGGTGCTCAGACAAAGTAATTCCAAAGCCTGAAGCCATTGGAAAAATAAAACGTGTGTTATAAGGTCAGTATTCTGTATTTGATTTTTTAAACTTGATGCAAGAGATCCAATGATAAACCTTTGCGTTTGTAATGCGAGCCCAGCCTGTAGAGTAGTTTTTGCGAAAGCAAAAAAGATGTGTGCAAGTTTGTAGGAAAATGTGCAATCTTTTGTGTGCACATGTCACACTGTGGAGATTCGATGACAGTAAAGTAGATTTTGTTTCAGGTGCTGTGTATTTAGATTCTCCATTTTAAAATGTGAGAGGCTATCAGAATATTTAATTGGAAGGTGATAAATCATACAATGGAAAGCTTACATAAGATGAAAGCATAAGATGAAATCTTACAAAATTTATAAACAATTGAACTTGAGATTTTTACAAAATCCAAGTTTTCCAGTATGTTCTGGCATACACCTTACCTCATGATATGACAATTCTGAAATATATGATTTTAATATTTGGTATTACTTTGAATTCGAGATCCACACATTGAACGGTGGAATCCACAATTATTTTGTGTTTCTGAAACTTCTATGATTCTTGTTAAACCAGCCAAGAGCTCAGCCTTACAAACCTACTGGTTGCCTGGAATATTGTTATTTCCCAAGATAATAAACCAGAAATTAATACATAAACTGAAAAAACAATAAATGATATTTAATCCATCTATTAGATGTAGCTGTATTTAAAAAGATTGATACAGTTGTCAGAATGATGAATAAAGAAATCAAATTTACCTTTCATTGACACCTATTGTACTTATATGGATAGAGTATTTATTTAAACTAAGAGAAAAGTAATTAAATAATCTTATCTTATTATCATTTTTGTTGTATTGCAGCTATTTTACATATTGTTTTCATTTCAAGTGGCTTATTGCCAGAAGTTGGAAAAATAATTGTTTTATTTGCAAATTGATTATTTTAAAAAAATGTTATCGTCAACCCTTGCTCAACTTTCCGCTGTTGAGGTTCAAAAATCGACAAATCAGCATAAACTAGGCATTTTATTAATTTCTGAACGTTCAAAAGAAGTAGTAATCAAAAATTACTAACGGCGTGGCACCAGCCCCACCCAAAACTGAGCACCTCTCAAATTTTTATCTGGATCTGCCACTCTTGTGTCAAGCTACATATGCTTTGCATGTTCAGAAGAAGGAGATGTCTGGGCATGATTATGTTGCTCCATAGTCAAACCTGCAGATGTTTCGAGATAGGATAAATCAAACTATTTTGAAAAGAGATTAGATATAGACCTAAAGGCGATAGTAGGATCGATGTGTTTTGACACATCTCTGGGCAGTTCTACATGAATTATGGAGTCACATGATTCCAGAATTCGAGATTCCAGATTCAATTTTTCACCTTTCAAGATTTCCAGGGACGAAATTAAGAGGCAAAGTTGAGGGGAGGGGGGTGTTGGATAAAGATTGGATTTTGTGTCACGCCCTTTTGATGACTGGTCTGGAAACTCATGGAAATGCCGATTTTTAAAACCCAGTCTTTAACTTTCAGAAAAAAAAGATTAGAAGATAAAGAAAGCAACTCCTCTGACCTCTACATCTACTGAAGTCAATCCTACTGTAGTGACTCTGCGTTCAGAGTTCAGTTCGACTCAAGACACGCAATAGTCACATCGTCTCTTCTCTGGCTCCGTGTTCTCTGCACGTAAAATAAGACACGACTTGCTGGATTTGGAAATGACACGTTAGTCAAGGATGGATTTATTTAGGGCTTACGTTGATCGCCGTTCCGATGTACACTAAGCTACCAAAAGGTGCTTTTTTACCGAATCAAAGCAAAATCTACCGCAGAACCCAAGAATATTGTGGGGGTGTCACATCCCAACAAGCCCCCGGTAAACCCGTCCTTGAAGATTGTCTGTACACAATCTTCACTTTATTCTTCTTTACACCATACTATACACTACACTTTATACTCAGGGCCGTCGCTAGCGAAGGGGGTGCGGGGGGTGCGGCACCCCTCTTAATGCTTGTCAGTAAATTTTCTTTAAGTAGAGTCTTATCGGGTTTTACTTTCAAAGTTCCCAAAGCAATAGCTTTAGCAAACAGTTGGGATGACATGAGGGCAAAGTGCCTTAGGGCCTTGAGGTCTAGGGGGCCTCATAAAGTAATGCATTCCATTTTAAGACGGAAATCAATGAAACTTGGCATAAGTATGCCTAAAAAAGCAAAACTTTCTAAACGATTGCAAGAAATGTCTGCAAGAATATTCTGAAATGCATTTTAAGATAATCTAAAGGGCGTGGTCGCAAAAAATTTCTGCTCACTCTGCTCGCAGGGGGCCTCGTCTTTAAGTTTTGCCCCAAGGCCTCCGAAATCTCACGGCTCATACAAACTAAGGTTCTATGTCACATGCTTAACTATTTGAATAAATGAGGGTATCTCATTGCTCAAAACTTGACTTCTAGAGTTAAATCAAAAAGCACCTTTAGGTACTCAGGTAAAGAAAATTTCAACGCGAAAATCGAAGTGATTTTCAACTGAAAAAAAAACATGTTCTTTGATAAATAAAATCAACTTTTGTCAGCAAATTGGTTACTGGCACCCCCCTAGCTGAAAGTGTTTAGTGACGGCCCTTTATATACCTTGCACATTGTTATTAGAACAGATTTATATGAGCACGAAACCACAAATTTAGTCATAAGTTAAAATCAGATTAAGAAGAAGCTGGGGATGTAGATTGTAAAATATAATTCCAAAAAACCTTTTCAAAAATCATTACCTGAAAAACGAGGAGTTTATCGCCATCTAGGGTTGCTTTTTCAGTGAATATTTAAACTCATCAGCAAGTAAAGAATGACTCGATGACTTTCTTACACCCTAATAATTTAAAAAAAGTCAAGAACAACTCAGGGCTTGAAAAAAATAACAGCCAGCCTGAAGTTTAATTTGCTGGCTGTTATAAGGGAAAATTTTGCTTGCAAGTTGGAGACCACATCTGATTAAAGGCACCAATTCAAAAGAGGCTTTGGCAATAATTAGGTTCTTGGTAAGGTGGCGTGAAGAGGAATTTAGTAGAAGGTTGAGGATATTATCAACAGGAATATGAAGAGTGTATAGGGGTGTAGAGATGAGAGAGATAGGATCAAGGTTTTTCGGAAGTTTAATTTGGGATCAAAGGGTTTCTCTTGCACCTCAACATGTGCAAGCTTCAAAAATTTATGTGAATGATTCCATCTTACACGAGCTGAAAAAGCACCCTACTAACTTCACGAAAGAAGAGAAGGATGCTCTTCACAACCTGATACATCGGTCAAGCAATGTAAAATTATCAAATGTCTTTGCCAAAAACATTTTACAATATACAACTTTTTACATTGTCTCTTATGCTATGAATGGAATTGAAAAGCAGAATTTTTGCAATCACGTCCTCCCGGAAGATCAATATGAACAAAGCATAGTTTATACAAGGCTTCAAGGCTTAAAGGCATTCGACATGCATAAGTACAGCGTATCCAAGAATAACTTAGGCGAAATTGCTCAGAGAAAGCGCACAAGAAAGGAATTAGAAACAGCTCACGTGAAACCACTGCGTGCTGCCCTAGGATTTCACCGATTTGCAGAAAGGCGGAAACTGCTCACGTGTTTTTCTCTGTGAGCAATTTGATTGGTCAACCGCTGATGGTCGAGTGGCTGTAAGCCACTTTTACCTGTTTCAAATCAAATGCCTGGGATGTTAGTGCGGCCCTGCCTGGGATGGAATTTTCTGTTTTTCAGATGATAATCTAAGCCCGTGATAAAATCTTAACCCAGGCTGAGATGCTCTTTTGAGTCTAATCCCTGTTGAGTTCAGTCCTTTTTGTGTTTGACTCAGCACGGGTCGAATTTTCTCATGTAAACAGCCGCATAACTTCCTAAAAACGGCCTCCACAGTTCTGCATATGTATCTTTTGATGTCCCAATCTAAAGCAACGGTTACCTTTCCTGAAAATTATCTTCATACTAGCTGATTTAATTTGAAGTATCATTCTGTATTTTTGACATTATATGACGTATTGAATTTCAAATTTATCATTGTTAATTAGGCAGGTAGGTATGTAGAGTTGGTGTTTGGAATTTTAACCATGAATGAATTGAAACTGAATGAAATTTGTTGATAATTGCAGTGTTAAAGTACCTTCAGGAGCACGTTAAAATTGATATATTGATTTTATACATGACAGGGTCGTGAATGGTCAAACGACGTCATGGATGCAGTAGTCAAAGTTGAAAATCTTTTCAAAATTCATCGCAAGTTTGATTTGTCGCGGTTTAAAGAGTTGTATGAAGAGCGATTCAAAGAAAAATACTCGTGTCCAAGCGAGTCAGGAAAGTGCAACGGATTAAAATTATGTCTTGAAAAGCATTTAGCTGGGAAAATAGCATTTCGGACGAAAGGCTCTTCAATAATTGCTTTGTTGAAAGACAGCGAGGCAGACAAGAATGCCAACCACAATATGTTTGGAGATGAAGAGGAGTTTCCTTCCCTCGCTGTGTCAGCCGCCACGTCAGCTAAAAAGAAACCTTCCCAAAAGCAACAAATGAAACCAGTTTCTGCATTTCGTGGCTTTGATGTGCCTTCAAATATAAATGTGAACCAAATACCAAAAGAGGGGGCTAAGATATGTGAAAATAAACATGCATGTACCTTGAGTTCAAATATACCTGACCCAGCCCCTTTTCATAGCCACGGGGATATCAAACCGTTAGACTCAGTCTTGTTTAGCCGGACTCGTAGAAGCGTAGCATTTGATTTCGACTTGCCAATTAAACCAAAGATGAAAACCCTTACAAAAGGTGAAGTGGACGAACGTGTAAACAGCATTCGGAACTTTCTATCAAAATCTGGGAAATATTTTGATGTCTATGATTTATCTAGAAAGCTTTGCGAGGATCTTGGAGTCCAAAGTGTCCAAGAACTGAGGTGTGTTGACGATAAAAGGCAATTCAACAAAGAGCTTGATATTCCAGCGATCAAAGAATTCTCAATGACGCAAAGAAAGGTACGAGTTCTTATATATGTCAAGATATCCTTAAGCTTCATTTATACAGGGCCATTTTGGTCCATTTGAAAATGCTCCTAAAATTCCACTTGAAAAGTAAAACTTCCTCCAAACCGTTTCTATGCAGCTTCTAATAAAACCGATCTCATTTAAAAACTGTCTTGATTTAGTATGCAACAATATTTCTCCGAATATTGTACAAATAAAACAAAGCTTGGTGAAGTCAGGCCGTGTAAGCTTTTGCCTCCATGGCTTTTCCTATCTCAGTTTTTTGTCAATAATAATCCACCTCTTCTAATCTTGTCTGTAAAACTATATTTTCTCAACCAATTACAGTGAGTACCCGCTACATTAACACTAAGTAAACAAACGCAGTTAAAATATCCGAATTATGAAATGAGAGGAAAACGAAGCCTAATCCACTTGCTTTATTCTTTTGTTCCAGTTTATTAAGTATATAGCCAACCTTGTTTCTGTTCAATACTTTTTCTTGGGTCCCGTATGTTACAATACTCTTCTTCTGTAGAATACGATTGAATTGTGGTGCGGTTCTTGGTAATATACCTTAAGGAGACTGTCGAGTCTCAAAGACTCATGCATACTTCTTCTCCCATAAACCATAAGGCCTATTTTATAGAGTGTCCTCAATCATTGAACTTGTTTCTCTAGCAACTACAAGTGTCACGAAGAAGCAGAACATCTTATAATCAAGCGAAACGAATTCCCTTTCTCGACCCTCATTCCCTACTTATTCTTCAACACAACTTTTGTTGAAGAACCGAAGACTTTGATTGCAATTTGGAGATTGGCAAGGCACTCTTTGTTCATAACATTGGAACTCTTGATTTTTGACCCCATAGCCTATAACCTTAAAGAGCATGGGCTCCGACACCGGTTGAAAAGTGGCGGCGGGGGGGGGGGGCAAGGGAAAATTTAACACCCATAACAAAAGATTTTGAAGAGACTCTATTGTTTTGCAAAAAAATGGGGTGGCCATGGCCCCCCGGCCCTCCCCCTTCATCGGAGGCCCCGAAGAGCATCGTAAAATACCTCTAACATGACAAAATCAGTTTTTGTTGCAAAATGACAATGATAAAGCATGTGAAAGAACTGGGTTTTGCTAATTGATTACTGTAGTTTAAACCTTGTTCACAGATTTTAGAACCAAGACCAAACTGCACTGATTTGTCGGGGAAGAACCCGAGCCCATGTGGCTAAAGATCACCCAATTTGTAACAAATCTGTTTCAGAACGATTAGAGATATTTTATGACGCTCTTTCAAGCTTTATTTTCCAAATCCCTCAGTATTTAAAATATATTCTTGTGACATCATCATTTTTGAACTGATTCGCAAATGTTGAATGCCTCTATTTGTTGGGACTAAGACAAAGTTTTCGTCGTAGGTCCTCTGTCTGATTCACTCATATTGCACAGCCGCTACTATAGGCACGTTGCATGACCTTCGAGATTTCATTTGTGTCGTCGAGAAGAAAGATTCCTTTGAAGAACTGAGGCTAGGCCCTTTGGAGAAATTCCCCCTTGTCTTGTTTCATTTCCAATTTCCTCCTGATGTGGAGATTCGCAAGCTAACAGTTGTCCAAGTTATGAAGCATTTATGGCACTACAGCGGCACAGAGGGTAAAGGCAAGAAAATAGAAATTGTAAAATTCTTGGAATACGTTGCTAAGAAATCTGGAATTGATTCCGTGCTGGAGACGGGTGTTATCATTAACAGTATAGCCCTTGCTATATCGGTAAGTTTGGGCACGTTTTTGCTTCTTTGGGAGGGGGTGCTTAACCGTATAACCGTAAATCCGAGCATATCAACTATGATCCGAGCATTGTTTTTGTGAAACCGTAAAACCGCGTGAAAATGGTTAATATTTTCTTTATTGTTCATCAAAATCATGTTGTCAAGACATTTTTCCGCCAAATAACTGTGACAGTTGCTGTTTTGTTAGCTTGTCTTCTTATACATAAAGACGTCAGTTCGGTTTTTTAGCATAAGGAATCATACCCTGGGTACCAGACTCACTATATATAAAATATTTTATATATAGTGAGTCTGGTACCCAGGGTAAAGGAATCACAAAGGACGGACAAAATGTAACTGACCATTCATTAAGACCGAGGTATTGCTGAAAACGCTTCACCGCGAAATTAATAAAGACCGAAAAACAACACAATTTTGCAACACAACCCGAAAACCTACCCAAATAACGTCGAAAACCTTTAACTGAGCCTTTATTAAAAACCGATAATCCGAGGGCTTTTTAGGCAGAAACCGAGAAAATGAACCAAAATATGAGCAAAACCGCGTAACCGGAAAGCCCAAGCGTCCCCTCCTTTTGAAGATGTTGGAAGCTTTCGATCTCAAAAATCAGCTTTTCTGTAGTTATTCTTGAACAGTGTCGTTTTTTTAGCAGCGGGATTCAGTAAATATGAAATAGGCATTTACTTTGAATCGATGTGAAACAGTCTCCCAAAAACAACTTTCTTTCAATCCAACTTAAAAGACACCAAGTAAGTTTATAAAAGTAGGATTACACGATCGAATTCGAGTCATATTGGCATTATATTTTTCGCCAGAAGATTATCGTGAGAACGTGCTGAAAATTCGCATCATACATTCGCTTCTACTAATTTCCAACAGAAAAATATTGGGAAGGGGTTTTGCATTTGTAAAAAGTATGTCTCTTCGATGTTTCTATTTCATTTTAATTCTTGTGAAATTTTGGTAAAAAAATTTGGCTCCGCTCGAATGCTGTTCTTTGACAAGAGTAATGTACTTTTATTCCTTGTTTCTAAACTCACTACCCAACCACATTGATAAGGCTTTAGCGAAATTTTGAAGTTATGATGTTTTCCTCAAAATTATTGTCCAATACCCACACTTTTATATAGCAATTTTCTTATAAACAACGAGTGTATCTGACATGAAGTTCACTCCTTTCTCCGATATCAACCCTGTTTATGGTGAATCGGCCCACAAATCCTTACCATATTTTTGGAGGTTTGTAGGTTGTAAGGGGAGCCTGGATCTTTGATTTTCTCGTGCCCTTTATAGGCCCCCGAAACCACGACAGGAACAACTACCATGGGTACCAGACCTTCAGTGGAGGTGGGACATAGCCTGTTCTCAGGCTAGGTCGCTCGAGCTGTGGTGGTTTCGGAGCACAGGGTAGGTCGAGCTGTGGTGGTTTCGGAGCACAGGGTAGGTCGAGCTGTGGTGGTTTCGGAGCACAGGGTAGGTCGAGCTGTGGTGGTTTCGGAGCACAGGGTAGATCGAGCTGTGGTGGTTTCGGAGCACAGGGTAGGTCGAGCTGTGGTGGTTTTGGAGCACAGGGTAGGTCGAGTTGTGGTGGTTTCGGAGCACAGGGTAGGTCGAGCTGTGGTGGTTTCGGAGCACAGGGTAGGTCGAGCTGTGGTGGTTTCGGAGCACAGGGTAGGTCGAGTTGTGGTGGTTTCGGAGCACAGGGTAGGTCGAGCTGTGGTGGTTTCGGAGCACAGGGTAGGTCGAGCTGTGGTGGTTTCGGAGCACAGGGTAGGTCGAGCTGTGGTGGTTTCGGAGCACAGGGTAGATCGAGCTGTGGTGGTTTCGGAGCACAGGGTAGGTCGAGCTGTGGTGGTTTTCAAGCAATTATTTTGTCCTTTTCCGGTGCTTTGCCCCTTCCTGCTCAAAAACTCTTCCAGCATCTTTGCATACAGGACTTCGTATCTTTTCCTTCTACCCTTTAAAGGTTGTTAAGAAAACAAGATTTGGTGACAGAGACTCGATTAAGAAGGCTGAAGATGATTTGGTGCAAAGCATGAATGAAGATGTTGAAAACTATATTCAAACTCTTCGCCGTGGTTTAACTGGCAAAAGTAACAGAACAGCACATGGGCAGCCAGAGAATGTAATACAAAAGATTGCAGGTATGGCCATGGAGGATTGTATTATGGAGATTTTTACGTTTGCCAACAACACGAAGCAGAAGTTCAAGAGACAAATAGCGACGAGGACTCTCTTATATGGAGCAGATATGGTCATAGATATAATGAAGATATTTAGAGGCACTCCGCTCCTTTGCAAATTGTTTCATGTTATTGTTGCAACCGGTGTTTTTCGAAAAATTGGGATGGATGACTACGAGTTGTTAAAGATACTTGGATTTGAAGATTCGTTAAAGAAGATGACTAAAGAACGAGCCTTAGAGGTGATGGGAGGTGATGGGAGTTCATTTTCAAGTCAACAACCAGGAAAAATGGGCCACGGCAAAGTGATTGTTGATCACGGTAAGTAAACCAGTTTCAATTCGCTGAAATCTGCTAGGTATGTGCATTTTCCTGAATGAATTACGATTTAAAAAGAGAATTAAAATTTCATTAAACGTTATTTGCAAAGAGTAAGGTCAAATATTTGTCATATGTTGGATTTACCCTTTCATTGTGGCAGCCCGAATTTCTAGCAAGAAAAAAGAGGATGATTTGATTTAGGGAGAGTCAATCTTCAGCTCTTCAAAACCACTTTGAAGTTCTGTTCAAACGACTGTTATTTAAAAACTTTCTAAAAAGAATGAAATTTGTTAACTTGATGTTATTTACTTTTTTCAGGCAAGCTAGTTGATGTACTTGTAAACTGGTTGAAAAACGCATCTAAGCCAATAAATGTTCAAACACTGTCTACTATTGAACATAAGGTGGTGCAAAAATTCAACGCAACTTGCTTTGGTGATTTTGGGGCTGGACCTCTTCTTGAGTTCATCGCTAGTCAAACCGAGGTTCAGACTGCAGTTGGGAAACACATTGTGGTTTTTGGCGGGAATGAAGATGACGAGGAAGATACAAGGTACACAAGGCAGAAGATTGCCAGTTTTGCGTTACAATGTGGCTCAAATAGACAAGAGGTAAGAGTTCTAGTTTCTGTTGCTGCTGTTGTTGTTGTTGTTTTTTATTATTGTTGCTACTGCTACTAGAATAGAAGTTTTGCCCTCCTTGACTTTATTAAAGCCTTTTATTGGTAATAATTATCAATCTACATGCACTTTCACCAAAAGGATGGGAAAAGACGGCAATGGAAGAGAAAGGACGGCAAATTCTTTAAAAGTCTCTCTATGCGCATAATGTAAAAGTGAAGCCCACCAATTATGCATGTGTTGGTTCGTTTAATAGCACTTCATTCGCTCATTCGTTCATTCGTTGGAATTCACTCAGGCAGCCTTTCCACTAGCCCGGGTTCTGCGTCGCGTTCCCACTAACCCACTTGAAAAACGGATGAGTTTGAGAACGAGTCTCAGAGTGGGCCAGTTTTTACCCGGGTATCTTTTGACCCACCTGCGAGTTAATGGAAACGCCGAAACCCGGATAACTTCTGATCTACTTGCAACAACAGCAACTTTTAAGAATTGAGATGGCGCCAAAAATAAAAAAACAAAATCTTCGATGTCGATGTTGCTTTCATTGGCCTTTAACGATGGAAATTGAAGGATTATTGATGCACCTACTGTTTTTTCTTACAACTTTTCACCCCGAATACATTTTATCCCGGTTTAGTGGGAACGATCAAAAACGTATTAAAAACGGGTCGAAGAAAATTGCCGTTTCCATTGACTCACTTTGAAAACGGATAATTTTTAACAAAGTTTTGTTTTAACCCAGGCTAGTGGAAAGGCTGCCTCAATTTATTTTTTTGCGGTACAGAATTTGAAAATGGCTTTGAAAAAAGCAAACATTTTACAACATACTTAAAGCTTTTTCGTCTGACACTCCTCAGAGCATAAAACGTCAGAATAGGTTCCGAAAAAAACACGTTTGAAAAATATATACCCAGTTGTGGATCGAAATAGGCCAATCAGAAAAACGCAAGCACAAGACCGGTATAGTTGACCAATCAGTGCCGCGAGCCTAAAGAAAAATTACCAATGGAGTCCAAGAGAGAACACGAACTCAACTTTTGTCTAAAACATTAGTACATTATGGGCACTTATGTAGATCTGCTCGAAATCTAAACTGCACGCTGAACTGGAAAAACTCAAAACGATCTTCTTGGACAACGGCTATCCTGAAGACGTCATTTTATCTTATACTAAGGAGAAGATCGCAAGTTTTTCGGCTGTTCAAAAGTTTGGTCCGCAAAAGTGCCCAGTTTATTTGAAACTACCATGGATTGGTAACACTTCCTTGCGATTCGAGAGTCAGATTAGGCAAACCATAACCAATTGTTTCTTTGCTGTCAATCCTCGGATTGTTTACAGCACTAGGAGAGCCCTTCCATCCATTCAAAAGGATTGCGTCCCTACCAAACAAAAAA